TTGTACATTAAAAAGAATGAATATTGCAATGTACATGATTTGCATAAATGTATATGTAATGTATATTTTTTTCGTAACTTCCTGATGATCTATTATCACGCTATTTTACTAATATAAAAAAGCTTACATTTTTTATTTAATCACTACTAAAGTTTTTAATGATAAAAATTGCTCTGCAAAAATGAAATAGAAGTAATTATTTTATTAAAGAAATAATTCAAAAAAAATCCTATATAGAACTCCAATATATCTAACAACTTATATCTAATAACTAAAAAACCAGTTGTCTATAAAAAAGAAAAAAATGAAACTGAAGTAGTTAGTAATATTTTATTAAATAAATAATGTTAAAAAAAAAAATCTACTTACTGACTGAAATCCATATATGTCCAATGAAGGTATTGTTAAAAGAAATAAAAAAAAGAATATTGAAATCTATGTTCAAAATTATGTGAACGAAATATTAGTTAATTTTAGTTAAAAGAATCAATATCTGCAAAAAAAAGGAGAAAAATTAAAAAAAATAAATTGAAAAAAAACATATTTCAAATTTTCAAATTGAAATTTACTAGACTCAAATTCTAAAGTTGAAGAAACTGACATTTATAAAAAAACAAGAAAAATTGAAAAAAAAAATAAATTAAAAAAAATATAAGTTTTGAATCAAAATCAAAATTTACCAGATCAAAATTCTAAAGCCAAAAGAACTGATATCTACAAAAAAAAAAGAAAAATCAAATTAAAAAAAAAATAAAAAAGATTCTAAAGAATCAGCAACCTATAAAAAAAATAAAATATTATATATTTCGTTAAAAGAATTATTTACAAATAAAAAGTCAAAAATTCCCTCAGCCAAACTTTTTTTTTATAAACTTTAGTACTGAATTTCCTTCTTTATAGTTCAAGCTATACTTTACAAAAAAATATAAAAAGAAATATTAGTTCATTTTTTATATTTAAAATAAAAAAAATTTTCCTTTTCCTTATTTCTTACCTTAGAGTATAGTTTCATATTTAAGTTAGTATCCTTCTAGTACGTGTCTTACAAAACAAATAATAAAAAGAAATGTTAATTCATTTCTTAAATTTAAAATAATAAAAAATCTTTCTTTTTCTTATTTTTTATTACCTTTAAGTCCAGTTTTATAATATTTAAATTGATATTCTTCTAGTACATATACTATAAAAAAAAATAATAAAAAGAAACATTAATTTATTTCTTAAATTTAAAATAACAAAAATTCATTTCTCACTACTTTATACAGTCAAACATTGATATAGCGAACCCTTAATATAATGAATTTTTCCGACAATTATAATAAATTTCCCCTCATTATAACGAATTAACCAATCAAATCTCTTAAAATCTTCACTATAGTTTTATAATGAAGTTGAGGTTTGGACCTTAGGGTTCGTTATAACAAAGTTGACTGTACAGGTTAAAAAGTGAAAAATCAGATATCAATCAATCACCAATCGGTCATTAATTAGGTAATTGGTTGGTGATCAATTGGTGACTAATTGGCATTTTTGCTAAATATCATTACCAATCAGACAGTTTGCTACTTTTGATCTAGTAATCAGAAAAGGATAACATATAGCTCATTGGAATCATCTCAACAAGCCAAATCTAATAGTAGTAAAATTGCATTTTTAGAATTAATTGTTAATAAGAAATTAAATAAAATATAAATAATATATTTTTATTTTTATATTTTACTTAATTTCTTATCAATAGATTTCTTTACTGAGCTCAATAATATTAGGAGTGAATGAAACCACAATTATTATAGTAACCCTATATTATCTATTATTTGTACATGATCAATCTATATTTCTCAAAGAAAACTCAAAAAAAAAGACAAAAAAAAATCACAAAAAATATCATTAGAAACAGGTAAAATTTCTTTATCAGCACCAAGACTAAATCTGTTGATAGATGACTGTAATAGAATGCAAATACAACAGTTAATTAGTAGCAATCAACATTTCCTGAAAATCAAATCAGAAAAGGATCATCAATTTTGCATTTGATGTATCAGTTACAGCTTGCAATCTGAAAGACAAACAAAATTTATATATACTTTAGAGAAAGAACAATCATCATCTTCTTCTTTAGAATCAGCATGGAAATGTAATCCTAAAATAAGAGATTTAAAAGTTTGGAAACTGTATGGAAATAAATGTCTGGATTTCTTTATTCCAATAGAAATTAGATCTTCAGACTCAAACAATATCAGTACACAACAAAGAAATAAAGAAACCATGAGAAAATTGCAGAGTTATTTAGAATTGGTTGCTACATTAAAGAATGATTATAAGTTTCGTGATTTTTATGAATCTACAGATGGATGGCTAATTGATCAAGAAAATAAGAAACACTTCAATGAAAAGTATGGTATTACCAATATTTACCCACTGTTTGTAGATCATTTTGAAATGGTTGTTTTTTTTTAGATGATCGTGATATTTTATTTGCATGGTGTGAAATGACAAGAGAAATGGATATCTGGGGAATTAATAAAATGGAAGGTATTGCGAACTACCTTTACCATCCAAAAAAGGTATATGTCATTATGAATGATGGTAAGCTAGTAACTAGAGTGGAACTTGTATGTCACATAGAGAAAGAGAGAGCAGAGGAAAAGTTGATAAAGGAAAAATTAATGGAAAAAAATAGGGAAAAAAATAGGGAAAAAAGGTTGGTAAAGAAAAAAAGGTTGGTAGAAGAAAAAAGGTTAAAAAGGTTGGCAGAAGAAAAGCAAAAGTAAAGCGTTTCACTATAAAAAATATATATTTTGCTATTGGTCTTTTTAATTAGTATAATCTTCAGGATTTTTTATATCAAAGTCCATATTCTTCTAATTATTATTACATGATTTTTTACCTTTTATTGTTTTAAAATTTTTTTTGCTAAATATTATTATATATAGTAAATTTCTGTATATGTAAGATTTGCTTTACAATTTTATTGTACTAAATAATAACATTATATATTAAAAAAAAAGCCCTTAAATTTTTTATTTTCTAATATTAAATAATAAAAAATAAAAATAAAAATCATGTGACCACATGAAAAAAATTCATGTGAAATTTATTAATATTCACTATTTTGGAAAATGCCAAGAAAAATTTTTTATTGATATATGCAAAAAATAAATACAAATGTTCAGAATATAGTTCAAAATACATTATTTTTTTTATTTTAACTCTTTTACTAACTTATCTGTTCAATATTTTTCACTAATCTTAATGAACAAAATAAAAATGATTAAATTTAACTTTATGCATTTTTTTTATAAATTCACAAAAATAATTCTTTTTTTAGAGTTCTATATAAAGTTAAATTACCACTTTTAAACATTAAAAATCATAATAATAAAAGATATTGCCCATAGCAAAATCTATATATTCTATTGTAAAATTTTTCAAAATTTTTTGTCATCTAAAAAATACAACTTTTGACCAATAATTAATCTTTAATCTTATAAAATGAAATTAATAAATAATAATTATTGTTATATAAATTATGATTTAAGCTCTTTGCAAAAAAAAATTTTATTAAAATAACTTCATTTTAAATATTTTAAAAAAATAAATAAGCAAAAGAAAAAAGATTGAAAAAGTTTTTTTTAAAATTTATAATAAATAACTTTTTTTAGCCAGATTAAACTAAATAAAATGAAGTTTAAAATTTATAAGTATGTTCTTAAAAATTAGGTAAATATATTCATAATTATTAAAAAAAATGTTACATTATGTAAATGCAATGTTAATTTTACATTATAATTTGGCTGAAATTAAGAAAAATTTGAACAGAATTGTAGTTTTAAAATAACCATTTATACTAACTTTGATCAACTTTAGATTATATATATACAGTCAAACCTTGATATAGCGAACTCTTGATATAGTGAATTTTTTAGACAATTATAATAAATTTCCCCTTGCTATAACGAATTAACCAATCAAATCTTTTAAAATCTTCATTATAGTCTTATAGTGAAGTTGAGATCTGGATTCTAAGGTTCGTTATAACAAGGGTTAACTGTATATTATAGATTTTAAGATTATACTATACCAATAATTTATATATTATTATAAATTTAACTTAAAATCTGTAATAATATTTAATATTATTAAAAATTTTTTTAATATAAAAAAATGCAGCAAGTTTTTTTAAAAATTTTGTTTAATAATTAATAAAAAAAAATCTAATTTAGTAGATATATTTATTAAATTAATTTATAAAATATTTTTAATTCAATAAAAATATAAAAATAAAAATGATTTTTATAATAGTTATTTTTGGATTATATATGTAATAAATATGAAATTTCAAATATTATATTTTAAAATTTCATACCATTTTTTTTTCTTTTTTAATAAATTACTAAATTCCAATAATTGCTTTGATAATATAAAAATATTATTAATGAATTATATTTAATTTATTTCTATAATATTATATGTAATTTTAAAATTATATTGTAAATTTATAAATTGTTTATTTTATAGAAAAAATTATTTTAAATTTTAATAATATAAATTTTAGTAATTAAAATATTTTTTAATATTTTAAAATTTAATTTTAATAATTAAAATAATAGGTAAATTTAAATTTTACCTCTATATATAATACTTAAATCTTGATTTTTTTTTAAAAAAAAATACTTTTTATGTCAATTATTTAATTCTGTTTAACATTAAATACATTATATGATTTAATGAATCAAATAAATTAAAAATAATATTCAAACCTATTTTTGATGTTTTAAGTATTTTAAATAAACTTATAAAGTAATTATATAGGTAAAAATACATATATTGTATATTTTTTAAAAAGTTTGTATATTAAGAATTTCTTTTTTACAAATTTTTGTGAGATTTAAACATTATATAATGGGTAAAATTACTAAAATACACATTTATTTATTAGAATATTTCTTTTTAAATTATTTTTCTTTTATATCTTTTATATATATTTCAAACTTTACTTTATAATTATAAATATTAAAATATTTTGAAAATAAAAATCAGTTTTTAATTTTATAATTACAAGATATACAAAAAATATTTAATAAAAACTATTTTTATCAAAAAAAATTATATTATTTTTAAATTTTTAAAAAATTTACTAAAACAAATATTTTTTTTACCATGTGTCATCATACGTTCTATTATTATTGGTAGTATTGAAATTTCTATTATTATATTCATTATAATTATTTCTATTATAAGGATTTTTGCTTTTATTTTCATTATAAGTATAATTGTTCTTATTTCTACTATATGAATTTTCACTGGAATTATGACTTCTATTTTCATCATAAAAATTATTATAATTGTTTATATTCTTATTATATTTTGAATTTCCATTATAAGTTTTGTCTTCATTATTATAAAAATCATCATTATAATTCTTATTATAATTTTCACTATAAGACCTATTCTCACCATATGAATCAGGATATGGATTTTTATTATTATTTAAATTCTTGTTATAAGAGTTTCCATCATGAGAATCTTTACTTCTAACTTCATCATAAGAATTAGAATAGTTTTTATTTACATTCTCACTACCATTTTTATAATTTCCACCATAAAAATTTTTATCATCATTTTTACTATATAAATCAGAATAGGAATTTTTATTATAAGATTCTTTCCTTTCATCTTTATAGAGAGAATTGGAACCATCATAGTTGATCCTATTCTTATTTTCATTGTAAGGATTAGAATAGGAATTTTTATCATTCTTACTATGAGAATCAGGGTAAGGATTTTTACCATAAGGACCCTTGCTCTCATTTTCAATATAAGGATTGGAATATAAATTTCTGTTGTTGTAAGAATCTTTATTCCCATCCCTATCATAAGGAATAGTATACGAACTATTATAAAGATCCTTGCTTTCTTTCTCATTATAAAGATCATTTCCACCATACAGATCCTTGCTCTCATTCTCCGAATATGATTCGGGGAAAGGATTCCCACCAGAATTATCCTTGCTTTCATTCCCCGAATATGATTCGGGGAAAGGATTCCCACCAGAATTATCCTTGCTTTCATTCCCCGAAAATGATTCGGGGAAAGGATTCCCACCATAAGGACGATTCTTATTATAAGAATCTGTATAGGGGTCTTTACTTTTATTTTCAGGATTCCCATAAGTTTCATTTCCGCCAGAATATGAAATTCCGCTATAAAGATCCTTGCTTTCATGTTCACTATATGGATCAGGATATGGATTTTCACCATAAAGACCCTTATCTTTATCCTCGTTATAAGCATTGGGATAGGGATTTTCGTTATAAGCACCTTCCTTAACATAAGAAGTTGGATTAAGATTGTCTCTATTCTCACTCCCGTTATAAGGATCAGGGTATGGGTTCCCATTATATAGATAGGATGAATAGGAATAGCCCTTATTCACATCTTTATTTACATAGTTGTGGCTTCTGTTCTCACTCTCATTGCTCTTGTTATTATAATTATAGTTAATATTCTTGTACTCATTCCTATCATAATTATAGTTCCTGCTCCTGTTATCATTCCTTTCATGACTAAAGAAAGATCCGAGTCCCTGAGTTAAAAAAGAGATTGAAAAATTAATAAAAAAAAAAATGCAAGAAAAAAAAAAAAAAATACAAAAAAAAAATTGTTTCTTCATCCTACAAGATTTTGAAGAAATTTATTCAAATCGTTTTCATTTGCCATTGAAAATAGTGATTTGAAATTAAATTCGTTTAACTTTTGTATATATGTTGGTTCATCCTAATTTATATGCGAGAAAAAAAGAAAAAAAAAATGTCAAAAAAAAAAAATTCAAAATTCGATACATAAACAATCATTTGAACTTTTTCAAATTTACCACATCATTTTTTAAAGCATTTGCATATCCTTTTATTATTTTTCCTATTAACTTGTCATCATCCAAAGGTTTAAGAAGTTTTGTAATATCCTGGAAATCAAGTTCAGCACTAAATAATAATTGTCCAGTAAAAGAATAAGCCAACGGTTTATCTACGCCAATATCCATCAAAAAACTTATAGTTCCTTCAAAACCATTTTTAAAAGTATTATTATTACAAATCTTAGAAGATGCAATATTTTTAAACAATTTCATAACATCATCCACATCTTTCTGATTTGATTCGATTGCTTTATTTGCAAATAATTCTATTGCTTTCGCATGATGTTCTGATTTAAACTCCTTAAAGCTTATGATAGCCTCCTGAAAAAAAAAAGATGGTATGATCAATCACATTAATATTAAGAAATCTTGCAAAATATAATAAATATTTATCAAAAAATAAAATTATGTTATATACTTCAACATTTAATATTGAGAAGTACTCCTCCATCAAATTGTTTAACTTTCTTATTTCTGATTCCTCTGAAATTGAAGCATATTTTTGTGCAGACGATTGAGCGAGTGGTTGAAGTTCTCCTGGAACTAAAATTAATTTTAAGTATATTTTAATAAACTTTAATAACAACAATAATCACAAATTAATGATTTTTAGTTTGATTTATTACCAAATAAGTTTCCGGAAAGGGTATTAATATTATCATAAATTGTTTGAATACTTTTTTTTAAATCAAAAATTTCTCGTTGGAGTTTATTAATACTTTGGTCTTTAATTAAAGAATCCGTTTCCAATTCTTCAATACGGGCTCTCAAAGAATAAATTAACTGAGTTTGAATATTAAATTGTTTTTTGTAATCAAAAGTCTCCTTTCCACTTTCTCTATGAACGTTCATTGCTGCGGAATCCATGAGAAAAAAAATGCATGAAGAAAAAAAAGGGAGAAATTTGCAATCGCACTTTTTTTTAAAAAAATTTAATGATATAAATATTAAAACAACGATGTCACATGCAATAGTTCCCAATCCGGATTTTTAGAAAAAAACGCCACACACAGAGGAATAAGATTGTTTAACGTACCACAATAACTTAATTCAGAGAAAAAGTTTGGACGATGGAACTGACAAAGTCAAAAGGCATTATGAATTAGCTAAAAAAATGCATGTTTAAAGGTGTAAAAAAAAAAGATTGTTGTAATGAACAATACATAAAAATGAAACAATAAATTAATTATTATACTACATTATGAACCTCAATAAAGGGATATATTTCCCACTTGAAATATGAACAGTGTTGCACGAAAATCAATTTTTGCTGGTTGGGAAAAAAGTTTTAGATTTTATTAATCCGTTTTGAATCATTACCTGTTGGTATTCATGTATGAAAAAAATACATTACATCACGGTTGATGTAATTTCGCTGGATATTCAAATAATACAGTAATATATGAGGCTAGGGTTCCTAATGAGAATGGGATAGTCGGATAGATCCAGTCATCACAGTAATCAGTAATGAAATCGAATTTGTAAATCTAAATTAGATATTAATAAATATTGATACCAAATTAAAAGCGAATTATGATATTCACGTCAATAAAAAATTTGTAATATTTCATATCAAATTTAATTGTCACATAAATTAGAAATGTTAATAAAACGATACCCCAAGTCCCTAGAGAAACATGGTTACAAATATTTTTTCACAAGAAAAATGGTTTTAAGCTTAAATAATAGTAAATTTGGTATCTGATTACTTCCTAATCTTATTTTGTAAATTATATCATAAATGACTTACCTGAAAAGGAATGATCACGCTTGTATTAAATTATGATTGCTCATTTGAAACTTTTAAACCTTAAAATCATCGAATAAAAAAGTCATTATGGTTTTACTTGAATTGCGAAAGTTGCACAAATTTTTTTCAGAACTCCTCTCTATAATTGATTCATTCACCAAATGCATTTGAGTTTCACCACACATACTTATATTTACTAAATTTGTTTGTTTAATTTTTTTGTATTGCTTTAATTAGATAAGTGCGTCCATTTTATTTGGAAAATAATAAAAATTGATTTGAATTTCGAAATTAAATCCTTTTCTTTAAAAAATTTTTTTTTTTTTTTTTTTTTGAAAAAAAAAGCTCATTTTTGTTTATAAAAATTCATGATGAGCCATAATAATCAATTTTCATGGAGGTTAAATACGCGTTTAAGGATAACAATTTTTCTCTTATCCATCTTTCTATTATTAACTTATCAAATATTTACAGTAGATAATGATGACCTTGATAAACCAGAACAATGGTGGAGTAACACCAGTAATTCTCTAGAATCTATAGACACTGACATTACAAACTTTACAGAACTTACGGACGTTAATGACACTACTGACACTAATGACATTACTGACACTATAAATAATAATTATATAGGTAAAATTGTAGAAACTAATAACGATATTACTGAAACCGGTAAAGCTGTTGATACTGGTGATCTTAATAATACTCAATCAACTAATAAAATAGACTTCTTAGATGTAATTAATAAGGTTTCTTATTTACCAAAAATTCAATCTGATCCAATAAATTTTTTTGAAACCCCTGAAGAAAAAGCATTACGAGAATCTCGTAGAGAGTCAGTTAAGCAAGGATTTTTACATGCATGGAATGGTTATGTCAATTATGCATGGGGATCAGATGAACTTTTGCCTATAACTAATTCTTCTAGTAATAATTATAATGGTTGGGGTGCTACCATGGTTGATGCTTTAGATACTATGTGGATCATGGATCTTAAAGATGAGTTCAAAAATGCTACAAATTATATAGCCAACGTTGATTTTACTTGGTCTAAAAATGATATCAGCATATTTGAAACCACTATTAGGTATTTGGGAGGATTATTGAGTGCTTATGAATTGTCTGGTGATGAAATGTTATTACAAAAAGCTAAAGATTTGGGTGAAGCTATGATTCCTGCTTTTAATTCTCCAACTGGAATACCTTATAACACTTGGAATCTCACAAAAGGACTTACAGCAAATGGTTATCAACCATATTATAGTATGGGAATTTTATCTCAAGCTGGAACTTTATTATTAGAATATACGAAATTGGCTCAATTAACTGGAATTAGCTCTTATTTCGATAAAGTAAGTTTATTCGAAAGATAGAGGGAACCTTTTTTTATTATTTGAATTAATATTGTCTTTTATTTGTAGGTACAACTAGTAACGGATGTCCTAGATAAAGCAAAGAAATCGATTCCCGGATTTTACCCTCTCTTCGTTAGTCAAACATCGGGACAATTCACTAATGGTATTCTAGTTAAATCAATTAGAGTCATTTTTTAAAATATAAATAATCATTATAATTTATTATGCATTATAGATGAAATAAATTTTGGAGGTATGGGTGATAGTTTTTATGAGGTATTTTATTTATGTATAGCAAAATTTATTAATTATATCAATTATGCAACTGGTTATCATATTAACATTAATAACATTTAACTTAAATAGTACTTGATCAAAGAATATATATACATCGGAGGTGCAATTGATCAATATAGAAGGATGTGTAAGTGTATATAGTAATTATTATTAAGTAGGATTGGACAGTTTGACTAAAAAAAATATATAAATATATATATATATTTTTTAATAATAGACGAGGAATCAATTGATAGTATGAGTAAATACTTGATAAAAAAGGGTCAGGTTAAAGCTTACCCGGATTTATTATTTCTTGGATCTTACTCTCATGGTTCATTTGTTGCTAGAATGGAACATTTGGTAATATTCCACCTGAAACATTCTTATGTTTTGGAAATTATTGAAACAATTAAATTTGTTTATCTCACATTCTTTCGCTCTAATAGGCTTGTTTCGTACCAGGAATGTTAGCAATTGGATCGAAAACGTTGGATCGACCAAAAGATTTAGAATTGGCAATAGAATTAGCGGAAACGTGTTTTTGGGCATACAATTCAACTACAACGGGAATTGGCCCTGAATCTTTCAGCTTTTTTGTAAAAGGTGATCCCATAGACAAAAATAAATTAAAGATGCTCGCTACACAATGGAATAATAAACTTTTACTTTATGGAGTTTATCAAATGAATGGAAACTATTTACTCAGACCTGGTATGTATCAAATTTGGGTGATCAGGAAGAAGAATGTGTGATAAATAATACTTTATCGCTGACATTTTTTTAGAAACTATTGAAAGTCTGTTTATATTATATCGAGTTACTGGAGATAAATCGTATCAAGAAAAAGGTTGGGAAATATGGCAGGTAATGACGATAAAGTATATATATATATACATACATCTATGCATATTAATATTGATGATATCAATTTCTCGATCCATTTTTTTACTTTAAAAGGCAATCGAAACGTGGTGCAAAACACAGACAGCATATTCTGGATTACGTAATGTGGCAGGACCAAATATTGTACAAAATGATAATATGGAAAGGTAACGTATTTTATTTTAATTGATATAGTTATATATTTTTATTATAAAAAGCGAATTACTAACTATTATCATTATAGTTTCTTTTTTGCAGAAACATTAAAGTATTTATATTTACTATTCAGTGAGCCCGACGTAATTTCATTAGATAATTATGTATTTAATACTGAATCTCATCCCTTCTTAAGAATGCTACCAAATTATAATTAGATTAATTAAATAATGAATTTTCATTTATAAGCACCTACATCCTTGAAGGATTTGGGTGTTTATAAATGAGAGTATATTTATATACAAATTAGAATTATAAAGAAAATAAAATAAATTATTTATTTAATATTATATTGTTTCAAGTAAACGAGTAATATAAATAATGATCACTTATGATGGTCGTAAAACTATTTATCTAATTGAAAAATCGGATATAAAATGGTATCCCAATTTCTAGTAAGAGTATTTCGGATTTTTTGCAGTTGATATGACGGAAATGTGTAACCCGTTCAGCCATCCGATTTAAGTAAAAGCAGTTAAGCAGATCACATGTTTTGGATTGGATAACGGATTTTGCGATCAACCGAACTCCGAAGAACAGGTTTAATGATACATGGACATCTATAAAACCATCGTACAAGTTTTTTAAGTAAACAAAGTTTTAAATCAACAACTTATTTAGAATAATTTTTTTTTTTCGGGGATTCTAAAGTCTGTTGTAAATAAAATAGTCTGTTATAAATATGCAGCAGTATGCAATAGCTTAATAAAAAAGCATAAAAATGCATAAATAAAAACAACAGGTTATTTCTGAATTCGATGAGGCGTTTAACTATTTATTTGTAAACACTACGAATTATACACGTTTACCCTAGTATAGTACGTTAAAAACGTTAAATACGTTAAATACGTTACATAAACAGTTTATTTATATTATTGCTGACATTTATAATTTTATATAAATATCGTGAAACAGTTCCAAAATGAAACACAAAAAANTACATCATCACTTAGTTTAATTAAATCCATTTTAATAAATAATTTTTTGTATTATTCGTATGTAAAAAAAAAAAAAAAATAAGGAAAAGAAAAAAAAATGATTTAAGGAGTTATTTTTCTTTTACCTCAAATTTTTTAAATTATAATTTTTTTTTTTGGTTTCATCACTGAATCGTTTACCACATATACATATATATTTATATTTTTATAAAAGTATGAATTCTTTGAGTAAAGCTCCATGGAAATTAAATCGATTATTCATTTCAATATTCCTTATTGTCGTTATCCTACTAGTAACCTATCAAGTATTTTTCATAGTAAACCAATATCCTGACATATTAAATAAACCGAAAGAATGGTGGAACCATGCTTATCCTTCTCGTTTAAACAGATTAGGCAATGATGTAGTTCTAAAAAATGTAACATCACTCAAAAAAATTCAGTATGATTTTCCATATTCAAGTTTCAGAAGAGAATTCATTGAAACACCAGAAGAAAGAGAGTTACGAGAATCTCGTAGAGAATCAATCAAACAAGGATTTTTACATGCCTGGAATGGATATGTCAAATATGCGTGGGGAGCTGACGAAATTTTACCTATATCAAACTTACCAAGGAATAGTTATAATGGATGGGGAGCTAGTATAGTTGATGCATTAGATACTATGTGGATCATGGATCTCAAAGAAGAGTTTAAGAATGCTACAGAACATATATCTCATATTAATTTTAATAGTTCTGTTATACCAATTAGTATATTTGAAACTACTATCAGATATTTGGGTGGAATGTTAAGTGCTTATGAATTATCTGGTGATGAAATGTTATTAGAAAAAGCAAAACAATTAGGAGAAGCCATGATTCCATGTTTTAATTCTCCAACTGGATTACCTTATAATAATTGGAATCTCACTAGAGGACTTATAGATAGTACTTATAAGCCATATAGTACGGGAATATTAGCTCAAGTTGGTACATTGCATTTGGAATATATGAAATTGGCCCAATTAACTGGAAATAGCACTTTCTTCTATAAAGTAAGTAAGTTAATAAAATTTTACTATTTGGGAAGCTTTTTAAATTTGACATAATCTTATTTGTAGGTACAAAATGTAACGGATGTTCTTGATAAAGCAGTAAAAAAAATTCCCGGCCTTTATCCTACGTTCATTAGTCAAGAAACTGGAAGATTCCTTAACTGTAAATATTTGATTCATTTCGTAAAAAGTTCAACATCGTTAGCTTATAAATAATTTCCTTTTTTTTTTTAAAAGATGATGTAGTAAGTTTTGGAGCTAATGCTGACAGTTTTTATGAGGTATATTAGAAAAATTTTTAAATAATTTATTAATTATTGACATACTTAATCACTTATTAATATTTTCCGTTTTGTTAAAATAGTACCTGATCAAACAATATTTATTTGTTGGAGGGGCAATTGATCAATATAGAAGAATGTGTAAGTTTATTTTAAGTTAAGAATCTTTTTTTAAATAGGATTAAAGTTTGTAGTTCAAAAAAAAAATAATTTTTTCTATAATAGATGAGGAATCAATTGATAGCATGCATGAATACCTGATAAAAGAAGGTCAAGTAAAAAATCGTCCGGATTTGTTATTCCTTGGAGAAATCTATCATGGTTTTCTTCCTAGAATGGAACATTTGGTAAATCTTTTGTTTTTTTCTTACAGAAAAAGAAAAAATTCACATTAAAAATCTCACCTCAAGACTTTTTTTTTTTTTTTGTTAGAGTTGTTTTGTACCAGGAATGTTAGCAATTGGATCAAAAACATTAAATAGACCAAAAGATCTAGAAGTAGCAATAAAATTGGGAGAAACATGTTATTGGGCATATAATTCTACTACAACAGGAATTGGTCCAGAAGATTTTTATTTTCTACAAAAAAATGTTACAGTAGACGAAAAAACGCGTTGGATGCAAAAAAATCAAAAAGATACTGTTTTGCCTGATGGTATTTATAAACTTAATGGAAATTATTTGCTTAGACCTGGTATGTATCAAATTTTAAGAAAGGAGGGGCAAGCTTTTAAAGTGAAAAAGGTTTTAAGAAAAAGGAAGAATGAATTTTGACACACGTTTTCTTTTCATTATATAGAAACTGTTGAAAGTCTGTTTATATTGTATAGAGTTACTGGAGATAAGTCATATCAAGAAAAAGGTTGGAAAATATGGAAGGTAATTAAACAAATAACGAAATTTTTTTTTATTTTTAACAGTTAAAAGAATTTAAAATTGAGATTATATGATTATATATAAATTTATTGTTAATTTCTTTCTTTTTTATTATTTAAAAAGGCAATTGAAAAATGGTGCAAAACTGAATCTGCTTATTCTGGATTATATAATGTGGCATCAAATAAAGAAATTGTACAAAATAACAATATGGAAAGGTATAGCAACAAACTTTCTAATTTTTGACATTTACTACCGTGTAAATTATTATTACTAACTATTTCTTTTTTTTTTTTTTTTAATTTAGTTTCTTCCTCGCAGAAACATTAAAATATTTATATTTATTATTTAGTACACCTGATGTAATTTCACTAGATGATTATGTATTTAACACTGAAGCTCATCCTCTCTTAAGAATGAAACCATAATAATTATTCTTTTGTTACATATATATATTTATTTAGAGTTAGATTAAAACTTTGTTTATTTTTTAATTTATATAATTTATATAATATTTTTACAAACAAAAAAAAAATAAACATTGGAAAAGCGATTTAACAATTTAGCACATCAAGCAATTCACTGACTATCACGTGAGTAAATTAATGTTCAAGAACGTGTAGCCCAATCAGGATTTTTTATTAAAAATAAATCTACTTTTGTTTTTTTTTGAAAAAAAGAAAATCTACTACTTTTTTTTGTTTTAAGAAAAATCTACTACTTTTTTTTTGTTTTAAGAAAATAAATATGTATATGTATATATATGTAATTTTTTTGAAAGAAATTGTCCTTTTTAGCAATGTCTATGAAGTATATGATATATTTTTTTATGAAAATTGAAACCCGTCCAATGTTTGTAATATATTTAACTATATTCTAATCTTTTTACTAACTTTCCCCTCTTCCGTCTAAACACTTTCATGATGTATCTTGGTAGGTAAGAAGGCCCAGATGGTACCCAACGTGCTCAGGATACAACAACTAATAATAATGCAAATGTTCAAAGTCTTTTCTTTCAAACTCATTCTTCTACCGAATAATTTCAAATTAACAATACAAGGAAATATAGCTGAAATGAAATATGAGAAAAAACTTCCTAATATTCCCATAACTCTATCAAAATCAGGAACTTTTAATGCAATTAACAATACGATAGTTGATGTCAACACGCGAGAAAGTACTTTAAGTGTCGTACGACGTCCCCTACCGTTTTTACACCAATCTTCTATTCGAGGAATCGAATGATAATAAATTTCGCATGTTAAATTAATCGGATTCATAATTAATGCATATTTTGGTATCGGATAAGCTGCTACTAGCCAAATCATAAATTGATTAAGTATACGATTATAGCCTTTTGTTACCATTATGTTTTGTGTGATCTAATATGATTATGAAGAAATAAATTATTTATATGATGTATCGAGAATTAAAATTTTGTTATAAGTGAAAAAACTTTACCTCTTGCATAACACTACGTCCAAACATCAAATAACCGCATGCAGCCATAAGGAAATAAATAACAGTTGTTAACATATAAGTATAATTGACCATCTTTGGATATTGTTTTGGATTTTGCATGTCTCGATATACACTTGGAAATACAGCATGACCTATTAAATAAATTAAAAAAAAACTATTTAAAAAAAATTTCCGCTTAAATAAAATTATATATGTGTCAAAGTTTGTATCTTTACCTGTGAATCCAGCCATGATTAGACCGAAACTCATTGGAACATTATACCATTGGAAAGGTAACCAGTCAGTTTCCATGGGATCAACTAAACTGCCAGGCATTTCACGTTTGGCAAATCCATCAATTACCATAACATTTACTAAACACATGGCACTTATTATACCAAGTAATGAGAAGTATGAAAGATATCTTATAGCAATCGTGGTTAATGGAGTCATAATCAACCATGCGATAACTTTCAATAAAACTTTCGATACATCCGGAAAAATTGTATGTAAAGAGTCTCCAATCAAGATGACAAGTGCTACTCCAGAAGCAATAAGTTCAAGGCAAAATAATGCTGCGATATACATTCGTGATTTTTCACCGAACGCGACAGCACCTAATAATAATAATAATAATTTGTTAAAATTTACGCGAAAAAAAAAAATTAATAATCACATGACAGTTAATTACCCATATCTGCATAAGTGTATAATCCTTCATCGTAATCCAGACATTTTTTAATGACCTTTGCAGTATAGTTCGTTATTATCAAGCAAAAAAAGAAAATTGTAATTCCAAGAACCCATCCAGCATATTTAAATCCAAGTGGCAATGCTAAAATTCCAATACCTAAAAAAAAAAAAAATATGGTTTTTAAAATGACCGTGGATTAATTCGAAATAAAATCCGGCAAAGAAAGCGATCAACAATTACCAATTAAAACATTGCAGGAATTGAAAATTGATTGTCGAAAATTTGATCCAATCCGCTCAGGAATTTCAATTTCTGCAACTTTTGATAATGGAACATACGAATTGCTATGGACAACAACAACAACAATAATAAAATATCGTTAATTTCACGGAAAAATGAATAAATCAAAAAATTTATCAAAATTATATACTTTGAATCGGTTTGGATTAAAGGAGAATGTTCTTGAATTTTCGTTGGTCGATTCTTATATTCTTCAATAGCAGTATTTCTCCACATAGAACTATAACGATTACTAGTAAATGAAGTTCCTAAGAAGTCACCACCTTCCGTTATACTTCCACTAATTGGGTTTAAGTTTGAATAATGAGAATTTCGTGCAATTGATCCATAGTTTGAGGGGATAGGTGAAAGGTATGCCGTATGATAACTTTGATTTGTAGAAAGAGATCCTAGATGTTGATTAAATCTTCCTTGTCTAAAATTAGCTTGTCCGAATGTTCCAGTTGGTTCAAGGTTATCTCCTACGAATGAAGCTGGTACCGCTATATTGTTGCTCATATATGTACTATTTATTTTATAAATAAAAAAGAGAAGTTAGATTGAAAAAAACGCGTTAATTGGTTATAACGAACCGAAATGAATTTTACCTAGCGGTGAGGCTATAATTTCCTGTCCATGATTGTAATGTATCAGCTAGAGAAGTTGCAAGGTTTGTTAAATTGTTAGTTCCTGTTCCACCTCTTCTCTGACGAATTGTTGGGATATTTATAGGTGAGGCGTCGGTACTATTACTACTATTACTAGACATTTTTGAAAAAAAAAATATTTTTTTTATTATTTTTTTTTTTTTTCNTTTTTTTTTTTTTTTTTTTTGAAAAAAAAGAGGAATTTGTTATTTTGATCAATTCGAAAAGACCGGTATATAAATGAGAAAGTAGATATATCAGAGAATTTTTTTATTGGTGATGACAATGACAAGCTTAATAGATGTGACGTTTAATAGTAACAAAAACGGGCATTTCCTTATTCATACATCCGATATATAAAAAGTAACTGGTGCTTCAGATACTAATTTGTTCAACCTCAGATTATCTTGTAGGATTATTACTCAGTTTATGTAATAAAATAATTAAAAATACAGTAAATACAGTCAAAAATCAAATATTTATGATGCTTAACTAAAATAAAATTTTACGGTTTTTTCCTGTTTCATTTTATATTAATAATATATTTTCTATAAACCCTTTAAATAATAAATAAGAAATCAATAGGCTAAAATTGAAAATCTTAAAAAAAAAATAATGCGTAATGCGCCTTTTTGCATGTAATAAGAAAAAATTTTTTTCATTGAGAAAAAAATTTAATGATATCATACTGCGGATTTCGTGCTCAACAAATTCATATGTTCCTGATAATGTTGTGTTTTTATTTTTATATTATTTGCAAAAATATGGTGAATATTATTTCTCCGAATCTATCATTTATTATTACGAATTTGGTTTATCAATATTATAGTTAATGCATAGGCTTTGTTGTTGATTTTGACTTTTTTAATCGTGTAACAAAAGAAAGTTATCATATATTCTTCACGGACGTGATATCGTTGATGTATCAATTTAAATTTTAATTTTATTTATTATTTTTTACTTTTTTTTTTAGAAAATATTCTCATTGAAATATTTCAATAAATGTTGGACACGTAAGAAACTCAAATGCGGACATATAATATGGATATATAATGTTCCATATGGAAAACAATATCTAAAATATTTTTGCGCGAATTATGATCGTAATAAAGAAAAGAAAAGAAAAATATAAAGAAAATCTGAAACATTTTAAAAAAAAGAAAATTAGCCAACTATAAAATTTTTCATTCATACATATGTACATATGGGCGTAAATTATGTTTGTGGTAAATCTTTTTTAATAATATTGATTTTTCACACGAGTTATAAACGTTAAGTTTTTTATTTAGATTTTTTCTAACTTTAAGTGGAAAAGATAACAATTTTACTTCTGATAAGAAATTTTTTATTCATTCTCTAAAGAATTTTTTTCTTTTTTTTTCATTGTGATTCTCTCTTTTAACTTTTAAATAATTACTAATATGGTATTTTTGCTTGAATTTATTTGGGATTCATTTGAAATGTTAAAAATCATCTCATTTTACGGTTTGTTCTCCTCTTAATATATATAAATAAATGTATGATATATATATTATAAAATTGGTTAGTGATAAATATTTTTTTCTTTCTAAATTGAGCTCATTTAATAAATTTGTCTCCCCACAAATAAAAGTGCAAAATTTTACAGTTTTTTTTTACCACGATGATTTCCGTATAATCAATCCTCTTTCTAATTAGTCGTACAATCATATATACATATATACATATATATATACAGATTCCATTTTCTCTTTTTAAAGTTTCGTATTTTCCGTAGATGAATGGACGTATTTTTGTATATACTTATAAAATTTTTTTGAGATTTTAAATACTAGAAAAGAAATATTACTTTTTAAAGATGTTGGCAATGTTTATTATAAACGTCGCCTTTGGTAAAATCATAAATAAAAAATGATGCAGTTGCGCCAGATCGTGACTAACCAATCAAATAATTAATTTAGCCAATTGCCTAATTCCTTGGTTAAATCGTTCAACTTCTAATTTTTTTTAAAGTTCCAACTAAATATATACTAGTCAATTACGTTATGTGTTACGTGTCATGCATCTAAATTATTTTTCATTTGTATATATATTATATTTATAATAAATAATAAGAATGAGATGTAAATTTACAATCTATGATTAAATAATAGATAAATGGGGGATCAAATCTTAAAATTAACACAATTATTATAAATATTATAAATAATAATAATAATAATAATAATAAAAAAAATCTAATTTATTTTAATATTAAATGAAAAAAAAATGTCTAATAAATATTCTATAACTAAAAATTAGGCTCCAACACATTTCCATCCTGTTATTGCATTATCATCTTCAATTAATTGCCAAGTACTCCAATAATGTGGATCCAACTTCATTGCTACAACTTTCGTGACTTCTGTACGACTTATGGTTTTAATTCGCACATAATCACTTCTATCATCATCGGACTTTTCTTTCATCTCCTTTTCATGTGCGTGTATTGCTTCTAAAAATGAATCTAAATCACTTACTTTCCTTCCTTGTATTTCAACAATCCAAATTCCTGGCCTTAATGAAACTGATGCCGGTGAACCATATAATGTACATGACACATATACACCTGTTGGTACATTTCTAACTTGTTCCAATACTGCTCTATATGGTGCTTGCACAAGAGCACCTGACCACCCTATAATCCGTGCTGTTTCTTTTCCATAATAAGGTGTTGTTGCTACTTTGATATTCATCTCTTTACCATCGCGTAATATTACCTATATATAATAACAAATAAATTTATTATAAATGGTAATTGAAAAAAAAAATTTCTCTATTTTTAAAAATATAACATGCTTACCATATCGACTTCTTCAGAATAATGAAAAGCTGCAGATAAATCTGACATCCTTGTTACCATACGACCATTCATCATTAAAACAAGATCTCCTACTTCTAATAATTTTCCTGCAGAACTTGTTGAATCAAGTATATTTAAAATATATAATAAAGTGTGTTTTGAATTTGGTGTTGATTCAACTTTTTTAACCCATTCATCAGATAAACCAAGGGCTCTTGCTGCTGCAATTCTCATTGTCCAAAATTCAACATCAAGACCACGTAATTTGGGAAATTCTCCACGCTTAAGTGGTTCTAAAACTGGTTTTACCAAAGATATTGGTAGCCCACTCATGAATGTAATGTCCTTGTTTTTTTCATTTTGAGAAGAGTAATTTAACCACAGTCCTTGCACCTTTCCATCGGCATCACATAATACACCACCTATAACATCATAAATATTATGATTAGTTACCATAATATAATTGTTCTTAATCATTATTCTTATAAATACCTTGTGAACCTACAGGGTCATCCACCCTAATTCCCTCGACATTCATAGCTCTCCATCTTGGAGGACTACATTCTTTCGTACCAACATTACCAATACTTGTAACAATAGTTTTTTTCATTACGGGTGAATGATCTCCTCCAATTCCAACCAAATAAACAGAATCACCTTGTACTAATTCTTTATCGCTCAACTCAATTGCTTTAACAGGAGTTTCTCCCAATAATCTTTTTTCATAAGTGAGAATAGCATAATTATACATTGGGTGAAGATAAAGTAATTTTCCAGGTATAATAATACTATTAGCAAAAGTAATAAAAATATCTCCAACATTTATGGGAATTGTGTCTCGATCACATATAATCAATGGCGGTTCAGTAGATAATACCACTCCTGCTCCGTAAAACTATCACATTATAGTAAAAAGGAAAGAAAAGAAAAAAAAGATTAAAATTAAGTAAAATCTTTAGTCATATGCATCTAGATAAAAGAAAAATATTTACCTGTGTACTTTTCATTCCATCAACAAGATATGGTAAATGAAAATCCAGTGCAACAAATGAAGGCCAAATTTTTCCAGCAGGATGTAATGATCCATCCAAAATTTGAATTTGTGCTGTAGCAGGTTCGTATGAATGAATGGCTGGAGGGGGGGGCATGACTTCATAATTCCATAATCCAGTCATGTCTACATAACGATAATGTTAAATAACATAAATAAATAAGCTGTCAGTCAAAAAACTATCTATAAAAGTGAATACAGAATACACACCATCTCGGGTAGCTACTTGGAATTTGTGCCAATGTCGATCCACATGCATAATCATAACTTTTTCCTTATAAACTTTGGATAAAGAATAAAATCTCAATGGTACTCTAGCACCATCAGGCAAAGTTTTCATAGCTTCAATAAATGCATCCAAGTTTGGAGTAGGAATATTGTTAACACTAACGATTACACATTTACGCCAAGCTGACGCGCTAGCAAGCATATGACCACTAGTAGCAACAAATGAACCTCCAACAGGTTGCGAATAAGAATGAGCAAGCTGATATGAAAGCTCGTTAACTATTCCACCACCAATTTCGACAAAACGATTTGGTGTTATTGAATGAAGATCTTGAATTTTTATCTTAACATCCATTTGAACTTTTCCTCGACATATGGTTAGTTCTATATCTTCACCAATTGAATCATCAATTATTGAGAATAAATGCGTGAAATTGGTTATCATCTTTTTATTTGCACGAATGACAATATCACCAGGTACAAGTAAACCATCAGCTGGCCCTTTTGGTAAAACAGTACGAACAACCAATAACCCAGTATCATCTGGAAAATTTTCACGAATTTCTTGTTCAATGCTTGATTTAAGACCCAAACGTCGAAGTTCATCATAAGGTAAATATTCAAATTCCGTTTGAAGAGTTCCACGTGGAACTTCTTCCCCTTTTTGAAGATATTTGAGAGCTCTTTTTACTCTATCCAAGGGAAGATAATAACTGGATGATGCTGAACTTGCACCACCTGCATTAAGGGCAACCGCATGACCTTCAATATCAAGCACAGGACTACCTGATGATCCACCACTAGTTCCAGATGCTGCTTGTAAATAAAAGGTATTGAAATCATTATATTCTCCAATACCATATTCTGGAGCTCTAATTAAATAATTAAAATAATTAGTACTCGATGAATATTAATATAAAAAAAAGAATTTTTTTATAATTTGCCTTCTATCAAGTCTTGCTAATGTGCCAGCCAAAATTGACAATTTTTCACCAGCATCGTTTCCGACAACTCTTATTTCCAATCCGACCTTTGCTTTTTCTGGACTAAGAGGAATTTGAACTAAATCCATAAACTTAATTTTGGATGGATCAAATTTCATAAACCCAAAATCATGAACTGGATCACGATAAATTGGATGTAATTCTACTTCTTCATAGTTTGTAAAGATAGCTTGAGCTACAATGGGTGCTGGCGATACAACGTGACGATTCGATAAAATAATTCCTCTCTCCTTATCAACAACAAACCCCGTAGCTGAATACGCGCCTATAATGTGATAACCAATCAATTATTATTACCTTTTTTCTTTTTAAAGTTCGACAGATTTCATGTTATATGCGTGTTAGTTTAACAAAGAAATTAGACTAACCGGATGTTTCGGTATCAAAACTTCTTACATGATTTGCTTTGATAGATACAATAGCTTTTATAGCTTTTTCCAGAGTAGGTTCCCAAGAATGTACTTTGACAGGAAAATTTAACGCTTGAGAATTTTGGCGTGGCCATATAGACGTATAAGAGACGGATTTTGAACGATTACGAAATGTTTTTTCATTAACATTCGGTGGAGCAATTTGCTCACAAGCAGCTGCAACTTTAATGGCTTGAGGATTAGGCTTAAGATCCTGTTTAAGATCTTCACTTTCATCAATCATCTGGAAAAAAGATATTATAAATAATTAGGTGATAAAAAGAAAGAAATTCTAAAATTTTTTTTTTTTTTTCAAAAAAAATAATTTTTATTACTTTTTGTTTAAATAGTTAAAACCTCCGGTCTTCTACCACGTTTAAACAAAGTCGAGACCGAATGATTAACCAAATTTGGATCGACTAGCAGTTACTTTTCTAATAACTTCAAAGCCACACAGAAGATTAAGAGAAATTGAGAACCTCTCGGTAAACATAACGTACTTTGATTGTTACATATTTTAAAGTTATATGACAGACTACCCATATTAAGATATATTGGTACGTTGACCGTTTTTTTGTAAATCTGTGCAACTTTACATGACCTGTTTTTTTGCTACTACCGAAAAGGGCAATAATTAATTTTATTGCGTTTATTTTCGTCATTTTAACACCTGACATTACATAAAATATCTTTAAAAATAGTTTATACCGAATAATTTACTAAAAAAATTCTACGCGTAGAAATCCTCACTAAAATCGTGTTAGATAGTTGTTTGTCATAATTATGAATGAAAGTGAAATACTGCACGAAATTACCGCATCGTATTAAAGTAAAAAAATTTTTCTGTTTAGCTTTTTCTTTACTATTAAGCAAAGTTGCGACAGAAAATTCTACAGTACATGTTAATATATTATATTATATGGTACCATTTACAATTTACAAGAATATTATTAATTCAACTAATAAAATTTAGTTCGATTAAAACATTAAAAATTGATTATATTACTAATATATATATTAAATTTTGCACGCTATATTAAATTATAGTGCATTGTAAAATTAACTATTTTTATATTAGTATAGTAATGTCAGCCTTTATTTTTGGAAAAATATGATTATTCTTATTAAAGATTAGAATATTATAAGATGTGTGCATTCCTTGTACATCGAATGGGAAAAAATCCAATTTTTACTTCTTCGCTCTTGGTCCCAATTGTGTTATGTCCTTTGAATTATTGATAAAATTAAATAGTTCCATTTTATGATTTAATTGTAATTGTTCTAAGCATCTATCTGCCACATATTTTGATGCAAAGAAGCAGGTTGACGTTGTGTATGGCGAAAATTTACCCATAATTTCAATGTTGGTATGTGTTTCTCTTCATAAAATGATCCTCATTAATGTATGGACGTTTTCAATAACATTAGCAATGGAAACATCACCGATACCATCAAGGGTATTTTTCAACCTATTTGTTTCCCAAAAATTGGGATTAATCGTTCTAGTAAGGAAAAATGTGGCTCGTGATGAAAAAACAGGGCCAAAGTGTTTATCAAAATTGTCTTTTGAAATAATCAGAACACCTTTTTTTTCTTTTAACCCATCATATGGTTGAGTAGTGAAGATGATTATAATAAGTTCGTAATTATCAAACATACTTTTAATATTGGAAATAAGGCTATTTAAATTTTTATGTCTTCATCATTGACATTTTTCTCTGTCATTTTTTTTGAGCTATAATCCCATTTGCATTGGATCATTAACAGAACATCTGTACCATTCTTCCTAACCAAGATTATATCGAATTTAGCAGATTGCACTAATTGATAGTTGTCGATATTCCCTGAAGCTTCCTAAAGGAAAACCATTTTTTCTATCAATTCTGATGCAGTTAAATTATAGTCTGTTTCATCAAGTCTGATACTGGTTCCAAAATCCATGCAGAGGTATTCAAAATGAGCCTCATACCATTTTCGGACATAATAAAAAAAAATCACGGCCAAACCGAGTTTTGCCTATTTATGAGATTTCAGATACGGATAAGCAAACTAATATAAGCCATACAAGCACAATAGCAATACCTATCCCGGGAGCTCCTCCACTGACAAGACACCGGTAATTCGCGTCACGCTTCTCCTCTTGTCGTTTCTCTTCTTGGCGTTTTTCTTCTTGTCGCTTGTAACGGAATGGGTTGACGTCACACTTCTCCTCTTGTCGTTTCTCTTTGGCGTTTCTCTTCTTGTCGTTTCTCCTCTTGGCGTTTTACCTATTACATCCTTAACATTATTTCTTATATTTTAATTAACCCTAATCATTGCTAGTTCAAAATCGCGCTGTTGCAACGGCATTTTTAATTCATTGGGTAAACAAGGGATACTATGGAGCATCCTTTGTCATTTAAGAGAGGACAATAGGTATATAGTTTAAGGATTGCAGGATATTCACGCTTACTGCTTTTCGAAGATTCTAAAAAAAAATAAAGACAGAGAAATGTGATGTAAACAATACAATCAAAATTCTTGTTCAAGAGGTAAACCATTGGGAGACACTTACCAGTGGTGGCGGGCTGAGGCAGTTGCACAATTATGTGTATGTGCTCCTTCGGAGGAGTAGCTGTGAATAATTCAGTAATTTCCCAAGTTGTGATCTAACTCCTCACCTCCGAACTCTTGTTGAAATTAATTTTTTACTATAATTTCTTTTTAGGAGACTATATAGCTTTATCTTTTATTTTTGTATAATTTGTAAAGTTCGATGCAAAGTTCGATGCTACTATGCCACGTTTGCAGTAGCAAAAATTTTTCACCATTTATATAAAATTTTTGTCGATCTAGCTGTGTGCAACAGATAAGGATGACACCGTACACCGCAATTAGCGGATTTTGAAGATCCGCAATCTCTCTTTAAAAAATTAAACTTTTTCGGTTTGTTTAAACTGAATATTTTTTTTTTTTAAAAAAAAAATATAGTTTCAAATTATTTATTTCGGCTCTTTAAACCAAAAAGTGTTATTTGGTTTTTTTTTTAGGAAACGGATGCCTAGATTCTAGGGTAAGTTCTAAAGAGGAGGTGGGAAATTAAAGAAACGTTCAACGTTTCTTTTTCTTTATTTTTGTAGGAAACACCAGAACCTCAATAGAAGGAGTTTTTGTGAAATTGACTTAAAGAAACGTTCTAACGTTTCTTTTTTCTTTATTTTTGTAGGGAATAGCCTTAGAATGACCAGGTCGCGGTATGTGTGGTTTAGAGAGGAAATTCGTAAATTCTTTAAGAAATGTCACGTAATTGCGGAATTGCGGTCCACTATACGCAATTCAACTCCGAAATCCGCAACGCGGCGTCATCCATAGCAACAGAACGATCCAAAAAAGAAAGCGCATTCTCTGGACTTATTTACCCAAGCCGTATTATTATTTTCTCCGTGTTTGAAAGAACTGACGTATCGCTGTTTGGAAGAAGCGGTGACGAAAGAATTGTTAAAGTTCCAGACGAGATTTATGGGGCGACTCTTTAAGAGTGCCAATATTCTAATTGGAAAATTATTTCTATAATAAAATAAAAGAGGAGATTTTTCTTATATAAAGAAGAGACACGATTTGTTCAATTGGAAAATTTCCCTTATAACAAATTAAGTATGTCAGAAATATATTTTTTCAGTGTAAGAAATATACTACAGGGCTTGCAAATGGATGGTATTTTCTCATACAGATTTCTGAAGACCTTACTAGCACTCACGGAACACAAGCAATATAAAATTTCGGTGGGCTTTACTAAAGTTAATGTTCATTTATTCTGACACTGCATTCTCGTATAAGTATGATTGACGAGTTTTATTTTATTCCACAGATTATCTACAAATGAAAGTCAATGTTGGAATGTTGAGTTAGTATATAGATAATTTAGATGAACGAAAACTGACGTGATTTATTGGCATCAGTATAGAAACGCCATTTCACTTGTAAAACGAAACTATGTATCACAGCTATGAACCGATTCATGCAAAACTTCATCAAGTGTCATGAACTCATGGGGGATATCGTAGGTTTGTTGAAAGTTGATAACTCTTATTCACGGAGATATCGTAAGTATAGTTATATTTCATTCTTCCAAAGGATGTTACACTATAACACATAATTAACACGTTCTTTTTTTCGTACTGAACCAGTTAACACTGATATTGAGATATTTGTTTGATACATATTTTAGTTGCGATTTTGACTAATTAGATTAGCGTTGCTATGAGCATGAGATACCTATGACACTCCTATGACGCAAATGTTAATATTTTTTTATAAAAAGCAGGTTAATAAAAAGAAAAAAAATAGGCAATGGGGAAGTATCAAATCCGCCGTTGACGAAAAAAGTGAAAAAGAAATTGATCTGCCGAGAGAGGACAAATTTTCTTACAATCTAGCAACAATACTAGCGAGAGATAGAGAAGTCGTTGCAGTAAACTTGAGAGTTTTATCAAATGGATATTCACGTAAAATTAACGTAAATATCCAAATCATGGAAAATTTCCATTGCTAAGAACAGTGCTCGGCTTATAAAGATCATGAATATGTCACATATGATAGAGAGGATATGAAAATTTAACTTTAACTATAAAGAAGTACTGTTCTGAAAAGCTCAGGTATATATTGGGCAAACTTAGGAATGATATAATTGAATGAAGACAAAGAATACATTGAATCTTTCTTAGATTATGTTAAGACTAAAATCAACATTGATGACATATTTTGACAATAAGGAAAAATTCACTATATTTGCGGTTTGTTACGAGTATTATAAAATAGCAAAAAAAAATTCCACAATCCCAAAAAAAATTTTAAGACACACCAGAAAGGTGGGATCATATGTTAGATCTTTAGTTAATATTGTAAATTGCGTAGGTAACACAAAGTGAAGGAATCATGTTTTAAAGATCATGTAACAAAGATAAGACTAAAACGTATATATGGTGACATAGATGCAGAATTGAACTTCCAGTTTCTACTCATCATATAAAAAAATTATATAAAGAAGAAAAATAGAAATCTGAACAACATTAATTTGTATGAGGTTTATTACATAAAATTGGAAATAAAGTCAAGGAGGCTCATTACATTTTTTTAGTTTTTATGTCATTAAGTGTTATTTCAGTTGCTAAAAAGAGAAAAAATTGTAAGATTGATAAAAAAATTATCATTTAGCATAAATGTTGATTAAGATTATAACACAGAGTACTGATACTGTTATTTTAAAGAAAATATCGTTATATCAAACAATCATTACTTATAGAGTTATAGGTTATCAGTAAATCATAATGCGGGCCAAAATCCAATTCTTGCCAGCATTATGCAAACACCTTTATGTTAATTCCGGCCAAAGTTACAGTGTTAGCCCGAATTAATATCAGTATAACCTAAAGTATCAGTACATCTTATAATACAGTATATAAAATCTATTTGTGAAATTTGCAGAATGCAACCTACTTTTTAATTTTCGCAAATTATATATAATTCTAGTTTGTGCATAGCACAACTTATAATTTTAAAATTTTATCATATTTAAAAACTTGATACAGTATTAGGACAAATTGGATTTGCTTTTGTGCAAATTGCATGTAACTTTTTGTTGTGCATTGTGTAAAAAGTATTTGACTTGAATTTTATACACTAACTATATATAATATTAGTAATAATGAGAGTTTTTTATTAATTGTAAAATGGAATTTGACAGGATCCTATTTACTTATAAGATAAATTATAAGGTAAAATTCATAATGATTGAAAATTTCACAGATTATACTATATATAGATAAATTACACTTAAAAAAAGGAAATATTACACTAAGTTATCATAATTTTTTTCTTTTTTAGATCAATTAACTAATAGAATTACTGGTAAAATTACTAGTGAAATTCTTTCTGAAGACTTTTATTAAAAATAAGTGGGATTTTAATTTGACTGTAAATAAAATTATTAAATTATTTAGCAAAAAAAATGTGTTTACTTGTAATAAATTAATAATTTAATTTGCAGTTAATTTATTAAAAATGATGATATCAAAAAAAAAAATTGATAAATAAGGGAAAAAAAGGAAAAAAAGTATGATTTTTTAATGTTAGATGAATAAAAAATATGATAGTTGATAAGTTAAAGTAAAAAGAAACTGGTTTTATTATTTTTTATAATTATAGGTTTAATTATTATACAATTTTTTAAAGTTTTACAAGTTTATATAATTTAAGTTAAAATCATTCAGTAACTAAATTTTTATGATTTTAAATTTATTATAGTCTCATTAAAAGAATTAGAATAATAATAATTTTGCATTTATAGAATTCAATTTTTGGTATGTAATTATATTTTAAAAAGCCTAAACATTAAATTTAAATATTTTTTATAATATCTTATTATAATAAATTTTAACTCATTAAATTTATCTTATTAAACAATTTTAAATTATAATGATCTAATTGATATTGATTAAATTACAATATTTTTAATTATATAAATTTTTTATTATATAAATTATAAAAAATTCATGCAGTAAATAGTTCCATATTTCTAAAAAAATTCTAAAATAATATAAAGGAATTAAAGTATGAAAATTTATTTATTGCTATTATTAATATAAAAATTATATGTTTTTATATTATATCAATCTGTAATAATTAGTATAATTTTATTTAGCAAATAAACTGACCAAATTATTTAAATTACCATCTGTATTAATTAGTAAACCTTTTTAAAAAAACTAAAAATGTTAATACATTTACAAATTAAATAGAAAATAGGAAAATTAAGCTATATTATTTATTAACAAAAAAAAAATATATACTTTTATATATATTTGCAATAAATTTTGTGAAATTTTATAATCAACTAACTATATAAAATAAAAGAAAATTATGCAAAAATAATTTCTAATTTGCAAATAATATATTAAATTGTTTATCACAACCATTTGCATAAATTCATATTATTCTTATATTTAATTTATAATTCTTATATTTCTTTAATTTCTCATAATTTCTCAAATTATTAATTTCAAATTATGAGAATTTCCCTCTTATTATTAGTTTATTAAGAATTTAGATTTTTAACTTAATTATTAATTTTAAAATGCAAAAATTCCTTTTTTTAATTAATTTTTAATATTGCAAAAAATAAGTTATTATTTTTAATTTGCAATAATTTTTTTCTTTTTATATTAATATCACATTTCATCATAAAATATTATAACAATAAAATAAAATAATATAACTTTATTACAAAATCTATAAAATAATTAAAGTTTAAACCTTAAATCATTATTATTTAATATTAATTTGTACAATATTTATATTTATAATTTATAATTAACAAAATTTTCTTTATAAATAAATTTTATATTTATGTTAAAGTAGTTATAATAATTGTGTAAATACTTGCAAACTAAAAAGAAAAATAAAAATTTTGAATTTTAATTCAATAAAATTATAATATAAAAGATTTAATTTAAAAACACTATATATTTAATTAAATTTTAACAATTAACAATAAAATTTTAATTGAAATTGCTAAATATATACAGTATATATATAAATATATAATAAATTCTAGTAGTATAATATCTTTTTTCTTATTTGATATAATTTATTTGATATAATAAAATATACCTAGTATTTCTTTATTCAGCTAAACAGATTTGTTTATAGTTTTTAAAATCTATTAGAATTAAAGAGATTCAAAAAAAATCTTTAAATTTCAACAGTATCAATCATTAATGATAACTTATGATCATTGTTTTACCAAATTATAATTTTAATATACTTTTTTTAATTATTTTGTTATTATTCTATATTACTATCATAATACTTGATGATATTTAGTTGTTTAACTTCATTAATAGTTTATTATGATTAATAAGTATTAAAATATCTTCAATTATAAATATATACAGTATTCACATTTAATTTGTATAATAACAGCAATAATTAAATATTAGGAAATGCAAACAGTTGATAAAACTAAAATTTATGATTTCATTGGATGATATCACATGATCAATCATTTACATATATAAGCCTTTGCTACTAATAGCTTGTTTTTCTTTTTCTTTTTCCATAAAAAGTTCACTTTTTGAATGCATATTCATTAACTTACTTTAGTTAGTTTTTCTCACTATGTATTTATACCTCTTAGTTTGTACTTTACACAAAGTCAGTGCAAATCTCATCCTTTCAGTATTTCATATGCAATCATATTGTGTTCTTTAATATTTTTCCCAGTTGTCTTCCAACTAGGGTTCAATTAGTATTATATTATTGGGTTATTTAAATCTAGCCGTATACGGATTGATCCGGACTGATCTGGATTAAACCGAAAATCCGGATGAAAATCCGCAATTTCGGATAATCATTAACAATTGCAGTAGGTAACTCAAAATATTTCTGAAACCAATGATCTGATTTAACAGTTGATAGTTTTTAATGTTGCGCATATAATAGTAGGACAAATAATTTTTTTTTTATCCGGATTTTCATTAAATTAAAAGTTTTCATCCGGATTTCATCACACGGATTTGAAGTACTATCTACTCTGTTAAAACGTGACTTACTTTTTTTTTGAAGACTTACTGGGGTTACTTCAACAACAGTAAGGGAACTTAATTTTAGGAAATGTTAAAATTATAAATTCTGGTCGGCATTTAAGCCTTTTACTAATTTTCCAAAAGGGAAATGTGTAACATCATCTTCCACGTCCCTTTTTCCCCAACAATGGTTAAGAAATCATAGTTGGGATATAGAATATGAACAAATAACGGGATTTATCAAACTTGCTAATATTTGTATGTAGACGGGTGAGTATTTGCGAAATTATTAATTTTAATAATTCAAAAAAAAAAAAAAAAAATATTTTTAACAGATTTCTCAGTATTAAATTAATTGTTTCTATCCCAACAAATGTTTGACCAAGATTTCAACGTCATGCGTGTATCCACAGCATTTTAGGAAAATTTTAGTAAATTTTAAATTTATCATAAACAGTAAACAGTAAACAAAAATTATTTTATGCACCAATTAAAAGTTTAAAATTCCGTCATTTGTGCAGCAATAATTGGTTATCAAAGATATGCGTTTGTTTATCAAATTAACATAATAGATAAATAATAATAATAACTATTGATATGCATCAAATTAATTTATTGAACTACAGATTGCCGTTGAAAGTTTAACCTTAAAAGTTCTTGAATTTTATTGGTAAAAGTTTTAATTAATAGTTTTTGACAATTTTTACGTTGAAAATTTCTCTAATAATTTTTTTTTTTTATTTTATTTTCATTCTTTTTCCTCCGCATTTTTTTATAGAAAAAAAAATAATAAATAATACTACGCATACCTTTTTTAAACTTTACCCTTTCAATTAATCTCATATTCCATATTTTTCAATAGAATTTTAATTTATTTGATCTAGACTTTATAGAAACCAATAATAAATTATTTATTTTAAACCCATTTTTTTTACCAATATCTTTTTTTAGATTTGTTGACTTAAAATCTTTTTCTACATTTCGGGCAGGTACCCGGCATAAATCAAATAATCATACAAACTGGATTCTGTTTTGAATAAAATTTTAATCCCATATTCCCAACTTGTAGTTACCTTACTATTAATCCACATTCCTTTTTTTCAATATCTACTTTCCTTTATAAATTGTATTTATCCTTCTACCAAAAAGAATATTGTTCGTATTAATATGTCCAATAACAACACAGATAATATTAGCGAAATTAAAGAAATTAAAGTGCAAGTTGGTAAGTTAAAAGGAAATTTTTTTTTGAATATTTAGGCAAGTAATATATTATTAACAATGAATCTACTACATAAAGCTCTTCGTATAAGACCCTTGTCCGCTGAAGAGTTAGTTAGGATACCATCAAGATTACAGAGAAATGTTATTTCCACAACACCTTTTACGCCGAATCAAGTTGTTATCCAAGGTGAAAAGAAACAATCATTCACCTTTGATCATGTCTTTGGTCCGGAAACAACACAAAAAGAGATTTATGACAAAACTGTCATGAAATTAATAGACCAATTCTTAGAAGGTATGTTATATAAATTTATAAATTTTTTAAAAATATTAATATTTTTTTTTTTTTTTTGAAGTATTAATCGATTATTTTCGTGTGGCGCAGGAAACAACGTGACTGTACTAACATTTGGACATACATCATCTGGCAAATCATATACGATGGGAACAACAGAAAAATCAACTCATGAATCAAAGGGAATAATTCCAAGATCAATTACAACATTATTGTCTTGTGTAAATTCAACTCAATATAAAACACGTAAACCTTTCATGAAAGTTTCTTTCGTGGAAATATATAACGATGAATCAACAGATTTGCTTTGCGAAGGCGGTGATAGAAAATTAAACACTTCTTTAACTGGATTACAAGAAATTAGAGTTAATAGTGCTGAAGAAGTTACGGGGTAAGTATACTTTATGAAAAATTATAGGTATATATTGTACTTGATTCATTAATTTAATTAATCTTTTTTTTTTTTTTAAAGCCTTTTATCCTTAGGACAGTTGAATCGAAGATCAAACGCGCAAGATTTAAATCGACATGATCCTGATAACTCACACGTAATTGTTACTTTCACCTTGACTCAACAAAAATTCATACCAAATAATGGACCTTCCACGGGTTCTTCAGATACACCTCCGTCAACTCCGTCAACTCCAAATAAGGTTTTTTCTCCAAAATTAAATAAACAATTTGATGGTGAATGGGTTACGGTAACAAGTAAATTTCATTTCGTTGATTTAGCTGGTAACGAAATGGTACGTCATAATTATTATTTTATTTTTTTTTTTTTATTCAAAAATTTGTGTAACAGTTTTTTTTTTTTTTTCTTACATTATAGGAAAAAGGTAGCTTCGGGTTAGAACATAAATTAAAAGAACATTTTACGTCAACCAATGAATTAACGACCAAAGTCGCGATTGGTAATGCAATTTGTGCTCTTGGAGATCCATCAGAAAATTCAACATTTTTACCTTATAAAGGCAGTAAACTTACTAGAATATTACAAAATTATCTTTGTAATAATATTCAAGCTTTAATTATAGCTTGCGTTTCACCAATAGAATATAATATTAAAGAAACTGTTAATACATTAGAATACGCTAAACATGCTCGTAAAATAAAATATACTCATATAAATCATCAAGAAGATCAAGTAGAAGAAAAAGAAGAAGAGGAAGGTTGGAATAATTTGGAACATTTACAAAATTTAGTATTAAAATTAAGATCTGAAATCAAAGCCTTAAAAGGTGCTTTGACATTTTCATTTGATAATGATTTGGAATCTGGAACAATTTCAAATGATCAATCAAGTTTATCTTCTTCAAATAATGAAAAAGAAATCAATTCACTTGAAAATAAATTTATTATACTTAAACGTTCTTTTAATGATCTTTCAAAAGAATTTGTAAAATCAAAGACTTCGGATTCGATTACTGAAGAAAATATTGACGATTCTAATTCGGAGGAAGATGCTGATAATGTTACTTTGGTTCAAGATGATAATAGTTCTACTCATTCAAAAGATGAATCAAGATCAAAACAAAATAATGATAAATCTTTTATTAAAAATGTTTGGCCAAGTTTTCAGAAAGCTGTTGGACCTCTTATTCAAGAGTATGAAAAATCTATCTCTTCCCTTGAAAATCAATTATCATTGGTTCGTGCAGCTTTAACTCATTCAGAATCAAAAATGCAAGTTCAAGAACGTAAACTTAATGAAGCTGAAGAATCTAATGAACATAGTAAAACGAAGATAGATGATTTAAAACATAAAATTTCAAAACTTCATGAAAGAGAAGAAACTACCGAAAATTATATTAAAGATCTTGAGGCAAAATTGAATTCCGATTCTAACGAAATAAAGAAAGATAAATTAATTATTAATGATTTAAAAAATTATGTAGAAAAATTATCTGGTAACGAACAATCTGCCGAGAGTTTTATTAGAGATCTTGAATCTCGTATAGAAGAAAATGAAAATAAAAATTTAGAAATGAGTAGACTTGATTCTCAACTTGAAAAAGAATTACAAATTAAAGAAGAGAAATATCTTGCCCTCGTAGAACAATTTAAAAAGCAAAAAAATGTTGATAAAGAAGAAAATAAATGGTTATTAGGAGAAATAAGAGTTCGTGATAATAAAATTTTACGACTTGAGAAAAATGTTGAAAATCTTATCAATGAAATTGAAAATATGAAAAAATTAAAAATTGAGGTAACTTCACATTCAAGAAATAATCATTCAAAATCTTCTTCTATCTCTTCTATTATGGATACTCCTTCCTTTTTAAGACCGAATAAAATTAGGGAATTCCCTTCAGTTACTCCAGTTTCTCCAATTTCCGTTTTCGATCAATTTGATGATATTCAAATAATGCACGAAAAAACACTAACAGAATTAGATGAAGTTAAGAATAAATATGAGAAATCTCTTGCCGAACTTAATGAACTTCGTTCCAAATTATCAGATACGCAATTAGAAAGAAAAGCTAAAATCACTACCTCTTCAATGATTCAAAATCTTCAAGTTGAATCAAACAAATTAGAAAATGTGCACGCTGATAAAGATTCTGATTTAGATTCCATCAAAAATGAATTTAATAATCTTAAAACAAATTATTCTGAAACTCTTGAAATCGTTGAAAATCTTCGTGAAGAAATCAAAAGAAGAGATACGCTTGCGCAACTTGAAGTTATGTCCGGAAAAGAAACTGAATTCTCTTATGAAAGTAGTTCAGTAGCTGCAAATGAACAACAAGACGAACTTGTACAAAGACTTCGAGAAGAGGTTAAAAGACATAAAGATAAACAACGTAAATTATTGGAAATTCTTGCAGAGAAAGAAAAAATTCCAAATATCCATTTAATTACGATAATTGAAAAACATATTTCCGGTCTTAAATATGAATTGAATCAAGATGTGAATAATGAAACTATTCGTGATTTGCAAATCATCATAACAGCGCTTGAGGATCAACTTATTAAATTCCAGAAAAGTTCTATCGAATCTTCAAAGGACGAAATTTCTGAATCGGTACAAACAGAACAAAACATGATTTCAGAACTTCAAAATTTGGTCGATAAAATTCAAAAAGAGATGATAGTAAAAAGTCATATAATAGCATCTTTATTATTCCCTTCAGTTAATTATGAGGATTCCATACAAAAACTTGAAAACGAACTCGAAGAAACAAAACAAGAATTCAGACGTAGGTCTCAAGAAAGTATAAGATTTTCTGGTGTTAAAATTGGTGAAAATACTAGTGATCGCTTAGTACAAAATTCTAATGATCAATTAAAAGAATTGGAAGATAAAGTTAAAAGTCTTGAAGATCAATTATCAAAGGCAAAACTTGCTCAACAAGATACAATTATACAAATTCCTTTATCAGATCTTTCACAAAAATCTATCAAAGAATTCCAAGAAAAACTCGATTATCTACAAAAAGAATTATTTAACAAATCCGAAACAATTGAAAATTTACAAGTGGAACGAGATATTGTAATGATGCTTCAAGAACAACTAAAGAATCTTAAAACCGAAATAACAAATAAACATGAATTGATTGAATCCATAAAAAAAGATCTTACAAATGATGTTACATTAGAAAAGAAATTAAGACAAAAGGAAGCGCAGACTTTAAGTTTGAAAATGAATCTTTTCCAAGTCCAAAAACAAGAAGAAGCTTTACAAAAAGAATTATCTGAACTTAGAAAGAGCCTTGAGAATGGGGAAGCAGATCAAGTTCGTCAATCAGAATTGGATAGATTACGAAAAGAGCTAAAAATTGCACATGAACGAGAAATTATGGCTCTTGAAAGAATTCGCGTATTGAAAGCAAGATTAGGAAACGATTCCGAAGAATCGCAATTACAAGAACAATTGGATTATTCGCATTATGTTGAAATCATACAAAAAAATAAAATTCTTGAACTGGAAAACCGAATTTCTGAAAAAGGAACTCGAGTAGATGAATATTTAATTCAATTAAAATCTGATCTAGCTATAACTAAAGAGTCCATGACATCTCATATAAAAATCATTGAAACATTAGAAACAAAATTGAAGAATGTAGAGCATAGTTCTCAATTATTTATTCTTGAACAACAAATACAAGATTTGAAATTAAAAGAATCTGAACAACTTCAAAAAATTCAATCTCTTGAAATTCAATTGAATGATCAAAATTTTAACGATTTTGATCAGATAAAACATTCGCTAGAAGAAGTTAAAAAAGTTATCGAGCAAGAACAAAATCCGGAATATGAATTTGACACAATTACAAATTCCTTAGAAGAATTTAAAGAAGATTCTCTGATCAATTCAATAAAGAATGAAGTTGATGAGTTAAAATATTCAAAAACTGATTTGTGTAAAAAAGTTCAAGAATTGCAAACACAACTTATTATTTCAGAAGAAAAACTTTTAATAGTTGAAGGGTTGCAAGAAGAAATCCTACACTTAAAAAATTTGAATAATGAACAAAAGATATCAATCCAACAATTACACCTTCAACTTAATCAAATGCGAGACTCAAAGGAATCTACTGTTAAAGAATTAATGACGTTGAAAGAGAATTTTAATCTTCAAAAAGAGGTTGTGAAATTCCTTGAAGATGAAATGAAAAACATGAAAGAAGAATTAGTTGTTGCTCATGAAACTCATACTTCTTTAACTCAAGAATATGAAAAAGTTTCAAGTTTATTAAATACTACACAAAAACAATGTGCGAATGAAAAGAAACAAAAAGAAACATTAGAAATTGAAGTCGAAACTTTCAAGCTAGCAGGAAATTCTGGGGATAAGAATGTTAATTCTTTACGAGAAGCTTTAACGAAAACTAAACTTGAGATGGTCGCTCAAAATGAAATTTTGAACGAACTTGAATCTGAAATGATGAACATTGAAAAGGACCGTGATCATCATGTTAAATTATCAAAAGAACTTACCGCAACTCTTGAAGAAAATGAATCGAAGCATCAAGAAACTGTAAAAGAACTAAAATCTAAAATGTTAATTTTAGAAGAAGAACTTGCTTTAGCTAAAGAATCATCAAAACTTAATGGTGATATCATTACAAATCATAAAGAAAAACTTTTTGATATCCAAACTCAACTTGAAAATACAAATAATTCTGATAAAGATCAATCCAAGATTATTAAAGAAATGGAGGTAAAATTAAATAAAGCAAATAGTTCCTTGTCACGAAGAGAAGATAAATTGATGAAACAAAATCTCCAAATTAATGAATTAGAAGCTGCAATTGAGAAATCTAATCTTGAATTACAAAAAGCTATAACGTCTAAAGCTGAGGCAGAGAAACGTATAAAAGAATTAGAATCAAAAATTGCAGAAACTGAGATAGAACTAGTTAAAGAAACTAATGAAAGCCAATCAACACGTGTTAAAGAACTTGAAGGATTATTATCAAAGGCTCAACAGAATGAAAATCACGAGAATAATACTGCCGAATTAATAGCAGAATTGGAAAAAGCTAAAGAAGCTGAAGCTATAAGAATTAAATTCATTAAAGAATTAGAAACTAAATTGGAAGAGAAAAATAATTATGTGGATGAATTGGAAGAAGCAGTAGAATTATCTAATGCGGAACTTATGAAACTTCAAGAATCCGAGAACAAGCATATTGAGCTTGTTAACAAGTTAGAAAATAAATTAAAGAATATCCAAAAAGTAAAAGAAATTCCTAATACGAGCAGAGAAATTAAACCACTCAAAGTATCGCAAAAATCCTCGAATACTTTCTTCGACGCACAAGATTCCGGAACCAAAAAATTTGCAATTGATGAAATTAATAACTCTAATGAATTGTTAAAGAAAAATAATGATAGCTTGATCGCTGAAATTATTGAATTGGAAGCTCGTGCCACAATCTTGACAAAAGAAAGCGAGAATTTACATGATGAAATATCGAAACATAATTCATATGATGCCGATTCATTAATGGAAATGAAGGTCAAGATCAAGGAATTACAAACCGTCAAAGATGAATTAGAAAATAAGAATGAAAATTACTTTGAAAAATGCAGTAAACTTGAAGAAAAAGTTCAGTCTTTAATGAAACAATTATGGGCACTTGGAAATGATGGAAATACAATGGCACTTCAAGTTACCGATCTTAATAGCCAGATAATGGATCGTGAAAAAGAAATAACTAGTTTGAAACAAAAATCTACGACAGGTCATAAAGAAATTTCACGACTTTCAAAAGAAAATGAGTCCTTGAAAGAAAAAATCAAAAATCTTTCTGCACAAGCATCTAGAGGAATAAATGATGCTTTAGTACGTAATTTATCTAAGGAAACTAATTCGGATAAAGACGAAAATTTAATTCCAAAATTATTACAGCACGAAAGTAAAATCAAGAAACAAAATGATCTTATCAAAAATCTCCAGGAACATATTTCGGAGTTAGAACAGTTACTAGATGAATCTTGCAGAGATATTGAAGGAGTAAATAATGCTAATAATAATCAACTCTCAACAGAAATACAAAAATTAAATAAGAAGATAATGAGTAAAGAGGGTGAGAATTTGAAAAATAAACAATTTATTAAAAATCTTGAGACTAAATTTAAAGAAAATGAATCACATTTACAAAAGACTAAGGAAGAATTGAATGAGGTTTTAAATCAAAAACAAGAATTATCTAAATATGTTAGTGAATTAAAATCCATATTAGATGATGCTAGAACTGAAATAGAAAATACTAAATCTTCAGTCGAAAATCAAAAAGTGCATATGGAAAAAGCATTGGAAGAAGAAAGGAAAGCTAAGGAAAAATCCGAAAAAGCTAGACTTGCTCTTGAAAGCCGAGTTGAAAGACTTATGGCTAAGAAAAATAATAAATTTATGTGCTTTTAATAGTTTTTATTTTTTTTAAAATATAACTGAGATATAATATATATATATATAGATAACTTTTATATTTATAATTATTTTTTCGAACACTTTTTTTTTATTTTTATTATTTATTTATTATTATTATTTTATATATTATTTATTATTTATTTGTAATTAATTAATATTTCACCCGTTGCAAGACAATGGGTTCAAATTTACCATTGCACAATAAAATTTTCGAAAACTTTGCTTTGAAATTGTTTCGCATTTCCTTAAAAAAGTTATTCATACAAATCACATGTCACGAGGTGCGTTATATTTTAGACTCCGCTATAAATTCTCGACGTGGTGATACAAAACGCCTGCTCGTAGCATGAGTCGATGGATGATTGGTTCAGTTATGGTTTGATTTATGCTCCGGACATAATGGTCTTCGTCTCGTGGTAAGAACTGTTACATTATACAAAATAGGTAATCTAAATTCTAAAAGTTAACATTTTATTAATTTATGATATTATCAAAGTAAAAATAAACAAGATAAATGAAACTCATGGGTGAATATGCATATAAAGTCGATTTTTACAATTTATAATGTAAGATACTTGTTTTAGATACACTAAGAATGGGTTAAGGTGTAAAGTTTGTTCCCATGTATAACAAGAAATAATGTTATTTCAAAATCAGCCTAAATAAATAAATCTTGGAAAGTTCTGTGAATTAGAGAACAATTGGGAACAACAAAAATTGATTTCTTAGAATCGAAACAATAAGATGTATAATATTTATTATAATTAATAAAAGATTCATATAAACTGAGACAATAAGAGAAAGTGAATACTAAGAAATTCCATATTTCCTTAGCAGTAGGTTTGATAAAAATGTATTCTAATAATTAAATATGATATGATGAGTAGATTTAGAACTAATAATAATCTATTAATCTATCTAATACTAATCTAATATAGTAATATGTAATTTTAGCTTTATTATAAGCAGTATCTGGTATATAACAGATAATACATATTTCGAATTAAATAAACTAACAATAACGTAAACGATTAGTCGTTAATGATATCAATCGACAATCGGTGTCTAAAATTTCGTGTGCTGGTACTAATTTAAAAATGAAAAAATTTATGATGTATTATTTTTTGAGGTCCTGTCTTCGATTAATATTTGCGGCTGATAAATTCGATAAATTGAATCTTTTAAAAAGTATTTCTTTTTAATTGAAATGAGATCCGTTAAATAATTGTTGTACATATAAATTATCAGAATTCTGAAAAGTGAGTCGCGAAATTCTGAATAAGGTATCATTGTAATTTCTTCGATAAATTTGATTAATAATTCTTTGACGGCGAATTTTCCTTCTATTAAAAGAATGTTGTCTATATTGATTTGAGAAAGACATTGTACAGTATTTCTCGTGTTTAATGTCTATTGGTTTTGTTATTATTGTTTTTTTTTTTAACATCTTGATAGAAAAATTGCCATGTCTTTCTTATATATATATTTTAGATCGTACAAAAAATATTTATTCTGCATAAATCTCGAATCACATTCTAAGGTGGCTGGAAGATATTATTTGCCTTTATCTTCTTTTTAGCTGATTACGGACATAAAAGTAAATAAACATTAGTATCATTCATTCCTATATTCGGAAAAGTATAAAAGATTGAGTTTACTAAGTAATTCTGTAGAGTAAAAGCTTTTAGTAGTAAAATATACCGCGATTTTTGTCAGGATTTTAAAATGGAGTATTCATTTTCAATGAAACAAAGGTGCATCCACAATTATCTTTGAAAACCATTCCTTTGGCGTGTACCTATTTTTAGAAAAATTTCTCCAATGACGTAATTGAAAATTTAAATTTTTTGACAAAGAAATGTTTGTGTATATGTGTGTGTATGTAAAACATGTGAAAAATTACGCGTATCATTATCGTCCTTTTTTTTTTGTTCGATAAATAAATCTTTATTATTTTATGAGTTACATATATTTTGATATATTTGATAAGGATAATAACCGATTTATATGATTTGTTAACCTAAATAATCATAAATATCACCGACTGCGGAATAATGATTATCATAAATTTGATTTCCCCTGAAAGAACAATATTAATGTTCGTATTCTTTATTAATTTACGATAAAAAACTGGGAAATTTCTTCGATTTATGACGATTTATGATAAAAAAGGTCAAAATTTACATAATAAATACTATATATATCTCGAACGATCCTCTTGTTAATCGTTTTGGATAATATTTTGGTAACAAGATCGAAATCATAAAATATTCATTGAATCATTATTCATTGAATCATTTGTGTTAAAATCATGTGAAACAAATAAATGTGTAATTTAATGTTTTAGCATTTTTGTATAGTTTTATTGATTTATACGAAAAGAATTTTTGTAATACCCCTTTGTCATACCAAATGTAATCATTATATTAGCCGCGATTGATATGGTTGATATGATGATGCATATTACAGATTTATATGAGGTAAAGTGCTAGAATATTGTTGATAATGAATGATTTGGATTTAAATGTTTAAATTGGAATTTCTGTATTGATTGTATTGATTGGTCACAATGTTATAAAATTTGGTTTTTTTATCCCAGCAACTTTATGTAATGATCAGGTCATATGACGATCTTGTTATAATTTTGTTTGAATTATATGTAAATATTATATTAATATATAAAAATATACCGTGATTAAATTTGAACAAGCATTAAAGATTCAATTTTAAATCTAAAAAAAAGAACTGAAAATTTTCGCTTCAATTTCCTAGCAAATCAAAATGAAATTCAGTTTGATGTTGGAAAAAAATATGGCTGATGTTTTTTCAAAATATTATCTAAGCATATCAAGTGATTTATAGACGTCACCTCGCATCAATCCAGTACAAAAAAAGTTACGGACTAAAATCATGAATTTCACACGTCTAAAATTATTATTTGATCGACATTCAACTACCTTTCTTAGTATAGTAAGGAAATTTCTAATATTTAACGAATACCTTTCATAGTTTTTGTTTTTGAATTGTAAGATTAAATTATTTAAATTAAAATTATAGTCAACTCTCCATAAATGCACCCTCTATAAATGCTATTTACTCTATAAATGCACTCTCTTTCTAAATGCATATATTAAATTAAAAAAATCAATTATTTTAATATCCTTATATTATATCCATTACCACTGATGGATTACTATTTTGACCATTATTAAAAATGACATATAAACACGTAAACACGTTTCTACGGTAGAATTAATGCATCTCGTATATCTCGTATTCTCTAATGTTTCCGAAACACTAAAATATGTATTACCACAAAAAACGATCTAACTTTTTATGTACAATCAAAAAAATTTTTGCGCACCGTAAAGGTACTTTAATAATTAGTTTAGATGAATAATTATAATATTACAGTATATTAATCTCCCTCGTTCGTTTTATGATCATAGAATAAGCAGTTAATCACTTAATGTTTCTATTTATATCGTTTCAAAAAAAAAATAATGATGATTTTATTACAAATTCTTAAAAAAGATCGGATCGGCAGACCACTAAAAGAATTCCATGTAGCCAAGTGGAACACATCTTACTTGTAAATTGCATTTGCTAACTTTTCGTATTAAGTATCTTAAACCAAAAACAGATTAAGTTATTTTTTTATTATCATAACAAATATATGAATTTCGGTACGGACCGACTATCGAGTCACCAAAAATCTAAATTTAGTATTTTAAATCGGGTTCAGAACGAAATATACTGAATTGGTCATATACACATACATTATACATACATATATATATATATTAACCATTATTAAATCAGTAAAAATTGCCAGAAAAAAAAAACGCGTTACAGTACTATATAATATACTATTATACTGTATATACTATATAGTATTTAAGAGATAAACACGGTTCATTGTAGAACTAAACATTCAACAAAATGATAGTTGTACATATTACGCGGCCTACGAATTATTACACCTGCATTACCTGCATTAAATATTAATATAATAGAACGGACAATAGCGACATATATTCTTATTTTAAGATCAGATCCGAGCACGTTGTGTTGAATCAATGTCGAGTTACATATAGATGAACGCCATCTAAAGATAAACCTTAATTTTCTATTTAAAAGTAGTATGATTCAAATATGGGAATGAATGATTATTGAAAGAAAAAATTTTTTCTAAACTCTTTATTATATTGCCAATTTAATATTCACAAAGATTAAAGTAAAAGAAAGATTTTAAAGATTTTTTACTTAAAATATATGGCTCATATTTGTCAATAAAATTTAATAAAATGTATAATCCACGAAATTATTCTTACCATGCTAATTCTGTTGTCAATCAAAGAAGACTAAGACAAAGGAGGTACCTACGCCAACGTTTAAATTTGTATAGAACTTGTCATGGTATACGCACTCAAACTAATGATGCAATTTTTTTGAGTATGATAATTCGTCTTCCTCCTCAGTCAAGTAATGATCACTATGTGAACGAGTTCTTCAATGGTTCTTCGTTTCCTTGAATAAGAAGAACAATAGAGAATGTCAAGATTTGGCATATTAAGCATATTATTAAGTGCATTTCTATAAAATATATATATATATTTTTATATAATTACTCTTATTATTATAGATATAAACTTGTTATTATAGATATAGATTCAGTTTATTTATTACAGATTGTTCTTACAAGAGAAACTATTTACAAAATCGAAACGTTTCGCCCTCATAAGTCCGAAACTATCGTACAGTATTTGACTATCCGAAACCTCCGAAACCTTAATTTGGAAATACTTTTGTAGATCAAATTGGACGAAACCAACACTGTTAATAATTGATAGATATAGATGTATTTTAGTTTTAAATGTATAAATGTACAATCTGTAAATATAATTTTTTGTTTTCAATTTTATTACTTTTATATAGTTAGAAATGTAATAGAAAATTTCAATAAAGTTTAATGCTTTTAATGAAACAAAAAAAAAAAAAAATCTTTTTTTTTAGATCGATTTGTTTTGTCACACCCTCACACAACAACCTTGATACTACGTGAGGATGGAGTAAAATAAACACACGTGATGTCGTATGTTGCACACTCCAAACAAATAAAAGGAATCACACAAAGCCGACAAAGGTTAAAAAAAGTCCTATTGTCCTTTGTCCTTGTCCGTAATGATAAAATTTTTATCTCAATTATTTGCTACTAAAGATTAATATTTCGAACAAAGAAAATTTAATAAAAATATTTATAACAAACATAAACAAAATATTCATTTCCTTTAAATAAGGGTGCATTAGTTTTATTAGATGCATCAAGTCGCAGAGTTTACAAGCCGCCGTAAACGTTAAATTAAGTTAGAAAATTTCCCTTTTATGATAAATTATTAATTTAATTACAATATTAAGTAATTTATTAAAAATATTGAAAAAAATTTAATGATTTAATTCTAAAAATCTCTTTAGATAGAAAATTAAATCTCAAATCCGGTAGGTTTTTTCACAAATATTTATATTATTCAACTATTTAAAGGATAACGGGTGGAACAGATTACAATGCAATTATTTGAACACAATTCAAAAATTGTAACACGTATTAATATTAAAAGAAATAAAACTAAATTATAAAAGTTTTAATTAAATGTAATAAATCGGCAAAAATTGACCGTAACGCCCAGAATGTTTCGGCAGATTTCTTTTCTGGAAACGCGGTACGGGCAATGTACATACATAATAGTACAAATATATTGTCGAAATATGTATGATACGGACATCCTCTTTTGAAAATTATGAATTACCGTATTGCGGGGATATAGTACCCGAGTATGAGATATATACATATATAATACCCTGCAAAATACGGTAAATTACCATATTTTGGATAAGATTAAGCATATATTGATATATTTAATATATCCGATGACTGAACGTCCTTTAACATAACTGAATCAGCTTATTAAAACTGCCGAAAAAGTAAAATAGAATGGGATGTCATAACCTGTGTAATCCTTACCTAATTAAGTTAATCAAACATGGATCATATGCAATTTATGCATTAGAATGTTTTTAGCGATTGGTATATTTTAATCACTAGCAAGATAATTCGGATATCGACCATTAGCGTCTGATTTGGATTGATTTTCGGCTTAAAACAGAAGACAATTAATGATCAGCATGTAAACAAAAACAAAAAGACATTTCCATGAAAAATCCAGATTTCTTTTAGTTTTTAATTATTAAAATATAAAGTTATAATCTTAAAAGATTTTATAATTTAAAATGAATAACAATGACATGTTAGAACATATTCAAATTCTTATAAGGTCTATTTCTAAATTACTTATAAGAAACCTAATAAACGAATTAATAAATACCTTAATTAATTCAATTTAACTCTTTATTATAGCAAGGTGATGATCCGGTTGGAGGATCAGGATCTTTTATATACTATGACAGTAAAAAAAGCTTCCTTTCTATATATACTGTTTAATTTATATTGAATTTAATTTCATTCATTTTTTTTAGGTGTTGATGCTGATAGAAACTATTCTGAAAATGGTGTACTTTTGTAAGTTTTTAATTAACAAAATTTATCGTCAAATTATTGACTTTTTTAAATAATTTCATTCCTTTATTTGTAGTATTTGCAGTCATTATCGTCGTTATCGCCGAGACCTTTATGAAAATTTTTGACCGGATTTGGCCGATTGTTATTATTATTGTTGTTCTAAAGTTTCTCAATGCTAAAAAATAATACTTATAAAATAAAATTACATTGAGTTTTAAAATAAATTCTTGTTCCGAAAAAAATACCAAGTTGAATATACCACTTCAAAAAGAAATTGTCTAGAATATAACAACAAATTTTTAATACATACAATATTTTATTTGTCCAACTTTCAATGCTGAATATGCTGAATGTAATCATTTTATTTATGGATGTTCTGTGGCACCTCTATTTGAAGACAATTATCATCAGGGATGGAAAAAGTTTCGATTTTGGAGTGTTGGAACCATTTTCGAGCTGAACCGAGCAGCTCGAGTAGAACAAACAATTCCATGAAAGTCGATGTTTCGAAAATGGTTCTCGACTTATTTTACCAAACAATAAAACTAATTTCTTTTGTTTAATTATACATAATTATGATATATTGATTGTATGTGCTTGATAGTAAAAGTTAATAAATATAGTTAAATAATAAAACAACAATCAATATTAATAATGTAATAACAAACAAACAAACATTTAATGATAATAAAAATATCAATTTACTAAAATTTATTGAATAATTTGACTAATTTATTTAAATAATAATTCATTTTTTAAATAAATTAAAAAATTTAATATTTTATTTCATATCAGAACCAGTTCCTGGTATGTTCCTCGTAGAACCGGAGCCGAACTGATGGAGTCGTCCCACATCATAGACATGTACTGTAAGTTACTCAATTTAGTGACTTTATATATGGAAAGTTAATTAGATAAGTTGTTAATACGCGACAAACTAATAAAATTATGTCACATCATGTGATTTCTTTTGTAAAGGAGGCGCGTGATTATATTCACCCCTTCGTCACATACGCTAAATTTATCGTTTATTCTTCTACTAGGTATATGTAAAAAAGTGCCTAAATTTTGTTTCTTAGTAAAAATTACTTACAATTAAAATCGGTAGTCTATATATCCATTCCGTTTAATGGTTTTCTTTAATTGCTACTTATCATTATTATATTAATGACAAAGTACTACGGCCCTACCACAGAGGGACTTCCTAAGAAGTGTACTATGCTCCTCCCATAAAAATTACGCATAGCACCATGCCGTTCCACAACCAACCGGTCCTATCGCAGGACTGCAGCAATAAGCTGGTACCCACGAGCTTACTGAAGTAAGCGCCTATGCTCCAACCCTCGCATAGTACTATACCGCTCCAAAAAATTCCCAACCAGCCCTACTGTGAGACTGCAGCAAAAGCTGGTACTCACAGGCTTACAAAGTAAGCATGCTATGCTCCCGCCCATGCATAGCATCATGCTGCTCCAACAAAAGTACCCAAATAATAAGGAAAGAATGGATATGAATGAGATGTAGGGAGGGAAGTGTGTAAAAGGAACAGAAGGATATATTAACTATAAAAATATATATAAGAAATACTATATAAAATATATAAATAAAAAAAGGATATAAGAGAAGAACGAGTGATAAAAGAAATAAGGGAAATGAAGTGAAAGTAAGAGAGAAGGGTAATGATACGAATATACTAAAAATTTTTGGAAAGGCTATTTATATAAATTTTAGTTATTAGTCCAGAGTATTTTTTCCCGCAAAAGAGATGACTCATGATTATTGATCTTGAGTATATTTACCAATTTTATAATTAAAATTTCACCACACGTGACCGGTGACATTTAAGGGAGTGTGAAAAAATAAGTGCTCAGCCGATAAATATAAACAGGTGAAAACGCGGTGGGCGGTGATGAATATTATTAGGTCACGTGTGGGTGAAAAATTGGGGAGTTATATAAATACACGTGAAAATTTCAAAATAAAGGCCCGCTTATAAGATTTTTAGTTATGATAAATATAATGAAAAAACAGTCTAATTCTTATGATGGAAGCGGTGATATATTGAATTGGTGTATGACTAATTTTATATTAAAGAGTTTCATATTTGTTAGCTACCTTTTGGCGAAATCAATCAGCGTTAGTTTTAGAAATTAATTTTTGCTGATGATGATTATAAGCTTCTTTAACTCGGTTGGCTACCTGATAAGTTTTTAATATTTATCCAAAATTGTGAGGGATGGGTGATCATCCTTCGTCAACAATTTCCTCTTCGTTATTAAACTGAAGATCAGGGTGTTTCATAGATTTAAGTTTTCGTTTCTTGGATTTTGATGTACCTCTAGGATGTTTGATATCGATTATGTCTACGATGAGCTTTTTTCCGTGAGAATAAGTTATGAAAGTATGCGATTGCATTTTAATTTTAAGCAATTAATATGATGAATATATTTTTTTAAAAATTGAGTAACTGTTCAGATAAATGTTTATGGGTTGTAAGGACGTCTTTAGGAAGGTGTTGTTTCCTTTATGGACATTTGACAATATAAATTCAAATAACAAAATTTAACATTTTAACTAAGTTATTTTGACGAACAAAAATTAATTGATAATATAAAGCTGTAAAGAAATCATTTTAACTAAATTTGTTAACCAGTAATTTACTATTGTAAATATTTTATTAAATTTTAATTTAAATTAATTGTTTTATTTACTAGGGAACAGTAACCATTGGGAATCCGGAGCGAAAGCAAAATCTTAATTAAACTTAATTAAACACGGTAAATTTAATTGAAATATCAAAAAAAAGGATGTTTCGTCATTATAAAATTCAGTTTAAACAAAATTATCATTTATTTTCGTTATTTTTCGAATAAATAGGTTTTATTTTTATCATGCATAAACAAAGAATAACGTATATCAGAAGAACCAATACGAATGGATGGCCATCGACTCACACAGTGAGCGGGCGGACAACGGGACATTTGTGAAACCGACACGAATAGTATTTAGTCCGGAGCGAAGCGAAGGACTAATAAATTGTTAGGCTGAAAGATTATCACTGATTATCACTGGAGTTACTTGAAATGTTTAGACCGATGACAGCCACCATAGCTACAGTCAAATCACTCGAATAACGCGGAATAGTAATCGAATAAGGATTTTTAATATCCGGAAAACTTACAACATTTTGTTTACTGCGATGTACTGCGTGCTACTGCGTATAATAATGAATAGATTTGCATTGTTTTTTTTTTGTTTTTCTTCTATACTGTATAAATTAGGTTTAGATTTTGTAGATTTTGTGAAATGTAAATAAAAATGTACATCTTTTTGAATGAATATTATCATTTAGATCGTAATATTTATAAATGAGGACTGTACTTTTTAAACTTGTATGAAAAAAAAAAAAGAATTTTTTTTTTTTTTTTTAACTTAAACTATTTGGAGTCCTACAATACGTTATAAATGGATGATACAATTGATGTGTCGGGTTCTCACGGACATGATGCTTCAGATGGATATGGAAATGGCGCAAATGCGGGTCAAGCCGGTATAGGTTCAGATGGTGGGAATATAGATGTTACCTTATCATCTGTTCCGTATTCAAATGAACCCGGTCTTATTAATATTTATGGCACAGAAACTTATTCAAATGGGCATGTGGAATACATTAATAGTAATTATAATCTTGGTACAGAAGGATTAATTCATTTTACGTCTGTTGGAGGTAACGGAGGAAATGGAGGAAATGGTGCAAATGGTTATGGTACGTTTAAATTATTATTTATACTTACAAATTTTATTATTGCGAAACTTAATATAATTATTTATTATAATAGATGGTTATAATGGGAGTAACGGAATTGATGCAACCATGTCTACAATTGGCACAGATGGTGAACGAGGAGGTGATGGTGGTGATGGAGGACGAGGAAGTTCAGGTGGTAATGGTGGTAATGGTGGTCATATTAAAATAAGTGTGAATGAATATGATGCTCATTTACTTATGCTAATTGGTGAGTTTGAAGTATCAGGAGGTATTGGTGGTAACCCTGGGTATCATGGAATAGGTGGAAAAGGTGGTAGTGGTGGGATGGGTGGTCAATCATATTCTTGGACGGAAACTATACCTGCAGTATATGAATATCCAAGTAACAATGCCTTAACCAGATATGATCCGGACACTGTTGATGCTACTATCCATTTTCGTGGAATTGAAGAAACCAAGTATAGAATAAGAAACACAGGAGACAGCTGGGAGCAATCATGTTATTATGATGCTAGAATTTCAATTGATTCTGGTGATTCTAATGCATTAACAAGATATAATGGACCTCCTATCGAATATTATAGTACCGAAGAAACTTATCATTATGATAGAGGATTTGGAGAAGCCGACATCTATCATCTTAGACAAGATGATATCTATCTACATGGTACAGTAAATGCTAATTATCATGATAATTTTAGATTAATCGAGCCAGCTGAACCTCCTGAACCTCCCGAACCTATATTAATTATTCCTGAAGAAATTATCACTCATACAAATCCTGGAGGGATTGATGGAGATAATGGGTGTGATGGGTATACTCCTACAGAATTTTTAAATGGAGGATATATGGGAACAAATGGTAGTTTTGAATTTGGTGTTATAAATGAATATGGCAAATGGCAACGTAGAGATGAAAAATTTTGTAAATTAGAAATCAATTCGGTTGAATGTGTAATACAAAATAATTCTGGAATCTTTGAACCTGGAAGCTCTATTAATGTTGGTATGGAAATTTTTAATACAGGATGTCCAACACCAAAACATACTCCTATTAGAATTGAACTTGATGAATATAATACTTGGATTGTAAATAATCCAAAGGTTGATGCACCATTAAATTTGCTAGACTATGATTCAAAAAATATTGGAAGCGATCAAGGAATGACGATAAAAATTAATGATCCAAAAATTGTAACAAACGGAATACCATTGTCCGTACCTATAAATTTAAATAAATTTAAAGCAACAATGACAAAAATTGAAAGGCCCGTACCAATCTTAACTCATTCATCAATTTCTTTTGTTATTCAACAACCGATTAATATAAGTGAAGTAATATCCATACGTTCTCCTGGTAGTTTGCAATATGAAGTATTTTGGTTCGTTAATAATATTAGTTATTTAAGCTTCGGACAAGATTCAACATTTAAACGATTAATCAGAACCAAATTAACTAGAGGGGAATCAACTGGTATTGAAATTGATAACCAAGAAATTAGATATATAGAAGCATATCAATCTATTCAAATTACAAGTAAACTTTCACTTGATCAAGATTATAACGGAATTCAACAATTTACCGTAACTTTACAGATTGGTGATAATGACGATCGACCTAATATTCTCAAATCCATTCAAACTCGTAAATTTACGATTCAACCACCATTAGCAGAAAATATACCACATTTATTTCTTGATGTAACAAAAAATGAATGTATTAATCTCGCTGGTTCTAACATCTCATATTGTAAAGATAATGGATCGATTAATTTAACTTTATCAAAAGAAATTCATTATTCTGTCAAAGGTTCAATCAAATTTGGGGATGGTACATTAATTCTGTTAGATCATAATTTTAATTTTGATAAAGATGCTTTTATTTATATTACACAAAAAACTTCTCCAATGAGATGTGATGTAAATCTTATCACAGACGAAAATGAATCTCATATATTTGCTTTGATAGCAAATACATTTGAAGATAGAAGCAACAAAATTGATTGGAAATTTCAAACAATTAATAGAATTAATAACAATATTAATACATATTCTACGCCTTTTAAACTTCGGGTTGAACATATTATTCATTATATTGATCATGGTACAAAAATTTTTGAACCAAATTGTAAAGGATTTATTGAAAAAGTCATAGTATTTAATGAAGGTGAAATGCCTTCACCAAATAATCAAGATATTATCATTTCACTTTCACAAACGAGTAATATAATTCCTGATAATTCATTTTTTAGAATTAATAAGTCAATTCCTTATTGTGGAACGTTTGAATCAGAGAACATAAATTTGAGATTTTCTATCAAAAATAATGAAAATGGATTTAATAATATTATTCCTTTACGTATTAAAGATCATATTAAATTCAATACTAATATTAAATCAATTAATCATACAATACAAAATTTTGATAATTTTCCAATACAAGAAATTACCATTCAATATCCTATTGAGATGGGAGAATATTTGGGTTACAGAAATCCTTCTGCAACAGAAGAAATTTATAGTTTATATTGGAAAATTAAGAATATTAGTAATGTAGAATTTGGTAAATCTTCAAATATTGGTCGTCTTATAGTTACTTCAGTAGATAATAATATTCCAAATAATGTCTTACATATAAAAGAAATTGAATCTTTAATGAGTGAAAACTATTCATTAGAAACGACCAAAATTAAAATCAGTGATGAAACCTTACTCGACCCATTTAATTTTAAATTATACTTAGGTTCAATAGAAACACCTGAAACATTATTGCCGATTCAATCATATCCATTCCATTTATTACCATTATCACGAGAAGATACTTATAAAAAATTTGATTTGGTATTTGATTTAAATGAAGGACGGTTAGCTTTGAATAATCAACAATTAAATGATTACATCCAACCTGGAAATTTTAAATTTACAATATCTACACCAAAATCAAAAGATGTTAAAGTTGGGGATGTTGAAATTCAAGGAAAATTACAATATACGAACGGTTGGATGATTAAGATTAATGAACGGTTCACTTTGGACATATCCGGTTGGATATACTTGTATACAAATGGAAAAGACAATATTTCCACCGGATCAATTAATATTAAGGTCGCACAAGAAGATACACATCTTCTTTATTTAATTGATAAATCTTGTTTAGAAAAATGTGATGATCAATTATATCGAGTGATAGATAATAATAGAAATCTCGAATATAATAGAATATATCAATTTACTTTAGTTAATTATGATTGTACTCCAGCAGATGATAGTGGAATATATGAACCTGGAGGTCGAATAGTTATACGTAAAATTGAAGTTGAAAATACTGGTGGTATGCCAACTCCAATCAGTCATGATGTTGAAATCTCCATTAATCTTTTAAATTCAACTGAAATTTCTTTACCAAATGATAATAGCTTAAAATTACCTAAACCTATTGAAAATTCTGTGAAAAAAATATTAAGTCCAATTAAAAGTGACGATGAATTATGCTTGGAATTTCAAATAAATCAACAAAGTAAAGCTTCGAGGGATAGACCATTAAATATAACAGGAAAGATAAATTTAAAAGCCATAATGTTTGGAATTAATCGGGAAATAAAAAATTTTACATTACCGAAACAATTTAATATACAATATCCGATTCAAATTTGTCCTGATACTAAAATTCAAGATATTCCATATAAAAACATAACAAGAATTACTTGGAGATTAAATAATATTAGTCGAATTGATTTTGGATCAGAATCAAAATTAAAAAGGGTTATTAAAGTTCAAGTTAAAATTGAAAAAATGTCACCAGAAAATAGTTTGAAATTCAAAACTGACCGAGGTTTAAATGATATTTTTGAACAAGAAATTTCATTATTAGAAGCTAAACAATCAAAAGATACGTTTTGTGAATTGGTTAGAACATTAAAAAATCAACATTCAACGGTTATAGATGCAAACCTATCTATTACACTTTTTATTGGTTCCATACAATTACCTGATAGAGAATTTGATATTGAAATACGAAACAAATATATTGAAGTTTTTCCAAGTTATGAATCAAATAGCGATTCCGACGTTTTACTTGTAGCAAATGCTAAAACCACTAAAAAAGATACCATTTATTGGGATGAGTTATGTCGAAAATTTGGATTATCAATGTCTATTTGGAATATTAAAAGAGAAGGACATTTTGATTTATTTGAATCTAGTATAATTAAAGATTATTTAGGGAAATCTATAGTCATACTTAATGATGAATTAAATGGGAACAAATATATAAATCAAATCATAAATTATCTTGATCCTACCCAGTTTTATCAAACTGTTAAATATTATAATATCAAATTTTTTGTAATCGGAATGAATGTTAGTGATCAAAAAATCAAAGAATTATTTATACCAATAGAGATGATTAATAGCAAACCTATAGCATCATATGAAAGAGTTAAACGTTATATAAAAAGTACGAAGAAGTTGATAATAAGCGAAGATATGAAATATGAAAAATCCGAAGAAAAAAAGTTTCAAAATCTTAAAAGAACGTTAGATTTGGAGTGTATTAATACTCATTTATTACCAGGAGATATGAATTGTTTTGCATCAGAAGAATCATATAGAATGAATAAATTACGAAAATTATCAAAATCTTTACAAAAACTTTATCCGGGAGATCAACATATTATTTTATCAACTATCAGTAATAATAGTGATTATGATCAAATTACTTTATGTAAAACCACCAATAGGACAAAACAATATTTAACGTATAATTCCGTTCAACTAGATGATATCGATGATCATCAGATTGAAAGGATGTCTATGATTGGATTATTATCTTGTATTCCATTTTCGAAAAGGCTTGAAAAATTACGACAATTTTTATTTGACCCTATACAAGATGCAGATCAGAAAAAAGTGCTTAAAAGTTTGATTGAAGCTGATCTAGCAATGGAATTAAATGGGTTATGTGGATCGAATATAATTTCAAAGAAAATGAGATTAATGATATCAGATATTTTATTAATACAATTAGAATTATTTGGAAAATTTTGTGAATTTGTTAAATTTATAATTTCAAAAGAAAATTCATTTTCTGGTGAACATACAAAATGGGCATTAAGTGTTTTTGCAAAATTAAAAATTTTGCTTCATTATTCTAATAATATATTATTTTTTAGAAATAATACTCGAATTTATGAACTGAAACAAATTATTTATGATGGTTATTTAAAAGCTTTTGAAAAATGTAATAATCAATATTATCCTTTATTACATTATTTAAAAATTAAGGCTAAAAGTATAAAAAAGAATTGGAAAAATAATTTTGAATTAAAGCATGATAAAAAAGAAAAATTGAAGCTTTTTAGAGGTTATATGATAGGAATTTTAATATCAAATAATTTAAAAACTGACAATGAATTATTTAATGATGATTTAGATATTATTATATCAGATGATGATTATAAGATTATTGAACAAACCCATAAAAATACTATTAATAGAATCGGAAAAATAAAAACAAAACATCAAGAACAGATTGAATTATTAGAACATCAAGCTAATTTCGAAAATTTGAGATCAGATTCTAATCATGGAATTGAAGTAAATAATATTGGTTCCGCTGAAGATTTTACTGAAACTGCAAATCAAGGATTAGAAGCATCTAATTTTGGGTCCGAAGATATTACCGTGATTACGAATCAAGGATTAGAAGCATCTAATTTCGGGTCTGAAGATACTACCGTGATTATGAATCAAGGATTGGAAGCATCTAATTTCGGGTCTGAAATTGGGACTGAAAATTCATGATATTTTTTATATAGCAATTATATGTCGTTATTGTTCTAAAAAAAATATTATTCTAATTTTCTTTCATAGAAAGTTTATACATTAATGTTTTATGGAAAGATGTTGAAATTTTAAAGAAAATGCCACTTATATATAAAATATAACAACGAATTTTGTTTCTGTTTGAAAGGTAGCCATAATTTGTTAGCCAATTAATATATCCTATTTCATAGTGGATACGGACGAAATCATAAAGGAGTTAAATTAAAATAATTTCATTTAGTTGTATTGTTTTCGTCTCATTCTTATGATTGATATATAATGCTTCCCAAAACTGTTTTACAAATTACAAAAGCAGGGCGGATATTTTTAAAATATCCGGTAAAATTTTTTATTTTTCCGATTATATTAAAAATAAAATCAATACTCAATTATTATTGATTTTCATCAAAATAATTTCGACTTGTTAAAATTGACTTAAAGGCTGAAAGGATGCTCATCGTATTGTTTACCTTCACCTTGAAACAGAATTATAATTGAAATAGTTTTAACTTTGTTAAATCACTAAGATCTGAGTAATTGTACTCTACTAAAATCATTTTATATATAGGTTGTCATAAGTAAATATATTATTCATATCAGTCATATAAATAAAAGTTGGAAAACTCTCTTGCAGTATTAACAGTTAAAGAAAATGTCATTGCTTATTTGAAAACTTCTTCCTATAGCAATCCAGAAACGATCCGTGTCAGTGAGAATATCGACATTTTGCAACGTGATGCTATAGAAAGAATGGAAGAAAACAAACGGTTAGCATATGATTCTGCAGATCGTGATTTCTCGAGAGAAAAAAATATTTACTAGAAGCAATGACAATTATGTTCTTTCAACTGCTGCATGGTTCGATATACTCTGGTAGTCTTTTCAGATGCACGTGGACCATGTAGAGCTACGTGTTCATCTTTCAAGAGATTCTCTCCACAAAATTCGCGTTAGTTTCCTGCATAATAGACATTAGTTCTTTGTTCTGGAGCAATCACTCCATTGACTCTCTATCTTCTGACAACGGAATATGGTATTATATTGGCTATCAAATATTACAAGGGTGAGTACTGGAGAAATGAATAATAAAGTTTTATATTACACGTTCTTACAATCTTCTGCAGCCTTCCTTTCCAAGTGCTAAGATAGTAATATGTAAATTAAGATTTGGCATTAATAAATATATTACAATGCCGATGACAATGAGACAGCGGCTAATGAAAATTAAGACACATTAACTAAATCTATTACGACTCACTTACCAGTAGCACCAGGTTGCTCTACGATAACATGAATCTATCTACGATAACGTGAATGTGATTTTTGGGTGGGTTTGACGATAAGAAGCAGAAAAGAAAAGCACAAGATTAAGTAAGTATTCAGCATTATTGACAAATATGACAGCCTTCTTCGATATTGCCCTTAAGTATAAAAGCTTAGCATTATTTTGGGTAGGACATAAGAAATTTTTCCTTGTTGGTGAGATATTCAAACAAACGAACCAGTTCATTTCATTTAATGCATTAGTTTCTTTAGTAAGACTGTGGACAATATTAAGAATTCTATCGGTTGAAAAAATTAGTTTCACAAGTGGTTCGAAAAAGAAATTGATATTTTTTTTGCAGGATATACTGTATATACAGTATATGAAAACCGATTGTCGCACAGATTTGATCTGACTCATCATGATCGGCAGCGTAGTTGCTATACCACAATTGCGAATTTAAATTTATTGCCTGAACTGTTGCAGGTAAGACAATATTCTGTTCCATTTCTATACCACTATTTCCTCTCTCTTTCCCCTCACTCTTTCACTTTCCCCTTCCTTTCCTTTCCCTTATTCTCTTTCACTTTCCCCTTCTTTTCCTTTCCCTTATTCTCTTTCACTTTCCCCTTTCTCTTTTCCTTCCTTTCCTTTTCTGATCTCCTTTTCTCGCTTCCCTTTTCCCCTTTCCCTTTCCCTTATTCCCTCGCTCTCTCCCCTTCCCCCTGATCAATGTTGCTGCACCTCAACGTTGGTGATCAGGTGACTACAAGTTTTTTAAAATAACTTGGCCAAGTTAGCAATAAATAGTTACGATTTGTTTCATTTTATTAATATAATTATAAAATTAAGAATAAATTTTATGTTTAATTTCTCATCTATATGATTATTCGATTTTAATTTTTACAAACGTATTAATAATATAGTCCAAAGATTATTAATTAGTATATTTAAAATTTATTGTAACTTTAGTTAAACATAGGTCATTTATACTTTATTGTAGCTTTTAACAATTGTAACAGTTAGTTAAAACTAAAATAATAAATGTTAAAACAATTTTAACATTTGGTTTCGGCATCACTAGACGTACTCTTGAATTTGTATTATAAAAAATGCGACGAAGAGATCACTATTACAGGATGATTATAAAAGTTGCATTGACTGTCTACATTCCAGATGATTTCGTTCACTATCGTATGCTAAGTTCGGAGATGGAGAGCACCCCACGAGGCCACTATGAATTTTAATAATATTTTTGATGGAAACAACAATCTCTCCTCCTTTTAGTCTTTTCAAGTTTCATTCATAATTTTCATTTATTATTGCGAAAATAAGGAAAGACTTAAATAAATTTATATCCGCTACAGATTTTTTCATTCATCAAATTTATTTAAGGAACTAGTAATTGTGGAACAATAGTAAGCTAATGTTATTATTGCAACCGAAATTATTATGTTTCATCATTAGATCCGCTTTCGATATCGGTCTATTTGGTCATACTTACAAAATTGGCTACTATATATTTCTTTGTTGGTTTGCCCCTTTTGGTTATTTTATTATTGGCGTTTATTTCTTTTGGGAATTTTACTTAGTCCAATTTGGCTAACCATACTCCTTAGTAATACTAACGTATTTCGAATATAAATGGATAATGTATAATCGTATTCTTTTCATTCTTTTTCAAATCAATAAAAAAGCCGATGCTCACAAATATTTCTTATAGGGAAAACTATAAAAAAGATTTTCCATCAGAGTTTTCTGAAGAAACAAAAAAATAACTTACTTTATGGCATAATATAATTCTAAATGATGAAATTTTTATAACTATTATTAATGATCAAGTCTTGTCAGCCAAAATATCTCAGATTCGTCAACATCGTCGACATTAAATTCAAGTTTTTTTAATAATTTTTTTATTTTTATATATTTTTAGTTTAATATATTTATTTTTTTTATTTTTTTACATTCATTTTTATATTTTTATATATACATATATTTTCATACATAATGCCATATTTATACCACATTTCCTAATATTCGTCTGTGATTTTCCTTATTGATATTTTTTTGGGTGATGGATAAGCTAAAAAAGTGTACGGGACGTTAGTTTCTGTAGTTATTTCATGGATCAGCTTTGATATCCACTATTACATATTATACATCAAAATTTCAACCTGAGAACTCACTTAAATCGGGGTATGAAAATTTAAAAAGACTATTGGAAAGAATCCCCAGAAAGATTTCCTACACATACACCAACTCTTCATGATGAACGTATTCATGAAGAATTGTCAGATGAGTTCGGGCTGGCTGAACGTAACTATTTATTATTTAATTGATTTTTTTTATTTAATTTATCACATTTATATTTAACTAATTGTTTTATTTTAAGCACGAGTCTAGTCTATTTTAATTAGAAGAACTCCCAACTATATTCCTATCACATTTCCGAAGGTACACCCGCCACAATCAAATTCGGTTATTGCATTCAATAGTATGCAACCACTGGACGATGCTATTGTATGATTATTTGAAAGGTATAGTAATGACGGCAAGTTGGATGAGTATATGTCGTGGAATTTCGCAGGGCCAATATGTTTGATGTTTTTGAACGAAGACGTGGTTTTTGGTTGATATATTTACTTTTCTATCTTAAATGGCTAGTAATGATATGTTCAGTTAACTGACAACACAGCCTATATGTCAGGAGATAAAAATGGTGCAATTGTTCTTTTCAATAGATTAACTGGATCTAATTCAGTACAAATTGGTTGCGGATTACCTTTTCAATTATTAGGAATTTATAATATTTAGTAGAGGGAGTGCTTAAAATATTTTTTTTTGTATATTTTGAAAGTCAAGCTTATGCTAATATTTGTTAACCTTAGTATACTTAGTATATAAATAAAATAAGTGCGAACTGAATCATTTTTGTGGAATTTATGTGTGTTGTCTTACTATCGTTCATGAACAATGCGAATGAAGATTCACAAGCTTTATATATGTTTTTATTTATATATTGTTGTCTCAGCAACATTTTTTAAGGCCTGCCTGCTCAAAGTCAGAAAAAAAATAAAAAATATTTTTTTTTTTTCAATTTTATCTCTTGAAGCCTACGGCTGATGTAGTTATTCCAGAGCACCTTCGAGAATTTGTTCTTATTAAGTAAACTTAAAAATTTAAATACTTACGTAATCATTGTAATGCTAATCAGGTAATATTTTTTCAAAAAAAAATTTTTCCGACTTATGAGAAGAGTGTTTCACAAATGATCTAACATATTTTGCTATTGATCAGATTCATATAGGTATTTTCATCATGTTCCTCGTCCCATTCTAATTTTTTTCTCTCAAAAGCGGTGTCCAGTAATCGCCTCTCTAAATGTAATAGCTGTTATCTCTAGGGTGGGCTTATATCTGCTGATTTAATGCATATACAGTACATCAAAGCAAACAAGTTTAATTACTTACTTTACCGTTTTCTTTCATACCTGGAATATGTAGCCCAAAAGTTTACATCACTAATACGTAGAATTGACGAATTAGGATCAGGTGTTGATAAGTCATCTAATTCATCAAAATCATCAGCGGTTTTGGAAATGTTAATCTTAGGCGCGTTTGAAATGTCAGTCTTAAACATCAATCTTAGGGATATTGGAATTAATAGTCTTAGATCAGTTAGACGTATTATAATCGTTAGTATTGGGCACGTATCATTGGTGGAAGGAGTCTTGGAATTGATAGTAAGTATTGCTCATTTTTACGTTCCCTAAAATATAGTGTGGGCAACGTTAATGCTAACTCACCTTACGACCAAAACTTTCCTATTTATAATGTTTTATTCGCTTGACCAAACCTAGAAAGACAGGTCTTAAGTAAATCACTAGTCGATAAAGCATATAACGCCAGGCAAATGTAATTTAACCTCTTTTTGACGAACTCATGCAAGTGTAAAGTTAATCATCAAAAAATTTCCTTTATCGCTAGCAATACAATTTTCAGAAACAATATATTGCAAATATATGTTCCTCGTGATTAAGTATCGTTCAGGTCTGGAGTATACAAACAATTGTTTTGCTACATATTATAATATAGGATGTAGAAATGGTAATTATGATGGGGTAAGTTTTTCCCGATTGATAATATTATGCCGAATATAATAATATAATTTCCCTTGTCTGAATATATCATAAGAATAAAATATTTATTTCTAAGATCAAGATCCATATATAAATCGTTCGAATCCATTTTCGTCATCATGGATATTGTACTAACATTAACGTATGAAATTATTTGTACAGGTTTGAATCTTCGAACAAAAACAAAAACATGAAGAATACGATATACTACTATTGTGATGGCCACCCTGAATAGAGGAACGAAACTATAAAATCAGTTCAAGATCACGTGATACTGTAAACTCGGTTCACAGTTTATCTGTAAAAAGTACCAATATTTATATTTATGTAGTCATCTGTACCACTCACCTTGTTATATAACAAATATAATACCATTTATAAATATTGTTTTACCGTAGATCGATATCCAAGTAATTGTACACTTATTATGGGATTGCCTCTATTTCACAATGCTATTTCAGTATACAATATTCCTTTTATGACGGTAGTCCATTGTTACCGGCGTATAAGTATGGAAATGACATCATATCAGGAATTATCAATTGATATTTTAACGGAGCTTCTTCACCAACAATAAAAGAGTTGTACCAATCTTAGAAGTTGAATCAGATTCGTCGGTTAATCGGCAACCTATTTTATAAACGAAATAGATAATTTACAATATGAAATATTTTGTTTTGTTAATAATATTAATAATTTAAGTTTCGGTCAAGATTCAAAGATTTAAAAAACTAAATTAATTAGAGGTGAATCAGTAACGGATAATTAAAGAAATTAATTATTTAGAAGCAAAACATTCGATTCAAATTACAAAATTACAAGTAAACTTTTATTTTGATCGAAATAATAATGAAATTCAACAATTTACCGTACAGTTCCTTTACGTATTAACATCGATAGTACTTTTGAATCATTTAATCATACTTTACAAAATTTTAGTAATGGTTCACAGGTTCACAAGAAACTTATCATGCAATATCTTATTGACAATACATCTTGTAACGAATATAACGAATATACAATTCCACACCTGACAGTATTTACGTATGACACTTTTAGTGAAAAAAATACGAACTCTTTAATAGATTAAATTTCTTTTTCATTATCATCTGAGTGGTCTGATAAGCAGGACGTGCCTATCTAGCTAATAGAATAATTGGATGATAAACAATACTTTTGTAGTATTTGTATATCCAGAGGATATTACTTTAAGAGTCTTGTCTATATTATAAAACAATTGTCCGAACAATAAAGTCGATTTCTGTTCTAAGTTTTAAAATTATGATAAAAAGAACAATATGAATTATTTTATTAACGTAAAAATTTTATTTCCTGGCATTCTTTAAAAGAATTATGGGATTTCGAATAAAAAGAATTTAAAATTTTTAAAATTTTAAAATTACAATATTAAAACAATAAATAATAAATGTTGAGCATTATTAAGCTTCAACTTTAGAAATAACTAATTCCAGATGGGGATGAGGTTTATTAACTATATCATTTTTTCTCTTTATATGCAATCCTTCAACTGGCTGAAAGACGAAATTCCTAATTAACATACTCAGCAATATTTTAAATTCAGTCATAGCCAATTTATTGCCTATACAAGATCTTGGTCCAGTATGAAAAGGTAAATAGTTAAAATTTGTTACATTTTTAATTAAGGAAGAATTTAACCATCTTTTTGGATCAAAATCATCGGCCGTTGGTCCCCAAATTGATGGTAATCTATTAAGTGCCACAATTGGAATTACGACTATTGTACCCTAATAGGAAAAAAAAAAATTTTTTTATTATTAAATCTCGGTAAACAGTAATTTATTATCTTTTTTTTTTCAAATTATGTAAACATACCTTCGGAATGAAATAATCACCAAACTCCGTATCTTTTAAATTAGTTCTGAAAATATTTGTAGCTAAAATAATAAAAGATTTACATTAATAAAATTATTATTTTGAAAAAATTCTCAAGTAAACATACCTGGCGGAATCAATCTTAAAGTTTCTTTAGCTATACTATTTAAATATTCCAAAGAATTAATTACATCAAATGTAGGATTAAAATTTAATTTATCAGGAAAAGCTTTAACTAATTCTTCACGTAATAAATTTTGTTCGTCGGGATGTTGTGCAAGTAAGTATAAAGCCCAACTAATTGCAACACTTGTAGTTTCATGTCCTGCCGCTAAAAATGTCATAATCTAAAAAAAAAAATATGCATAAAAAAATGAATTAATTATATTACTAGAAAAGAATTTATATGTTTATTACCTGAAATTTTAATTCTTCATCAGTCATTTTATCTTCAATTGGTAAATCTTGATTGATCATGATTAATAAAGAGAGTAGATCTTTTCCAACCAATTTATTATCTTTAACTTCTTGACGTCTCTCTTCATACAATTTCATTGATATGCGTTCAACAACTTTAATAGCATTATTAAATCTTATATTAGTAGATATTGGAATTTGTCTAATAAATGGAATAACGGTTGATAAGAGAGTAATGGTAATGGCTAAAGGTGTTGAATTGAAATTCCAAATAGTATCATAAGCTTCAGCTAATTCATTCTTAGACGTTAGAGAGTTAAATTCATAATTAAAACCTAAAGAAGAAAAAAATTCTAAGATTATAAACACGTAATATGAAAAATTAACAGTTTTTTTTTTATTATTACCAACTAAGCCAATAATATCTAGAGTTGCTTTTGACAAATAAGGTGAAATAATAATTCTTGATTCTCCTTTATTTACTTTATCTTCAATTAAATCTTTTAACGTTGAAGCTACGCGAATAAAAGTTGGTACCATTTCCTAAAATATATATGTATAAATCAATTTTTAATCATTTATTTTATAATAATTATTATATTTAGGATAAAATACTTTAATATTATTATGGGAGAACGCTGGAGTCATCATTTTTCTTTGTCTCTTATGAGTTTCTCCTTCTGAAAATCCAATTCCTTTGCCAAGGATTCTCATGAGAGCATCCAATAAAGAAGGTTTAGGATAGTCATAGGTTTGATTTAAAGCAATATCTTGTATAGCTTTAGTATCTGTTACTAGAATAATGGGTTTATTTAATACCCCATAATATTTTAATATACTTCCATACTTTTTCACCCATCGGATTTGTGGTTCACCAGACTATCGAACAAAAAAAAAAAAAAAAAAAAAATAATAATAATAAATGATAATTATTTTTCATTAAGAAATACGTTTTAAAAAAAGTTAAATATTAACCTCTTCTGCGAATAATTTAATAAAATTTCCAAAAATGAAACTTTCGGATGGTGGACCAGGAATTTTTCTTAAAGGAGAAATATAATACGGCCAAATATATACTTTATAAGTAAACCATCCTAGAACTCCAAATAAAAAGCCACTAACTAAGAAACTCGAATCAATCATTTTTTTTTAACGAGAGTGGGAAAAAATTGAAAGGGTCGATTATGGTCGATTATTATAAAAATAACCAAAATTGGACTAACGTAAATCATTGTATCAATGAAAAAATTTTTTTCTTTGTTTATTTAACATAAATGTTTACAAGAATTTACGAAGTTAAATCCTCGTAACACGAACGCGCAGTTAATCATAAACAAAATCAACGTGATGCACTGACACAAGCTCATCGCATTTCAATCAACTTCCATTGAAAAGAAATCTTAGGAGTATGCGAGATTTTATGACTATTTAGTCCATTTCAAATCCTGTTACAACATAAATGATAAACCTGACATTCAAATCATAATCCGACACTCCGACACATTATCTGAAAATATTACCGTTACATCAATCATGTGATTTTACAGAATTTTTGATTGGCTAATTTTTTCAAAAGAATAACTGAAAATAAAATTTTATTTAATTTATTAATACTAGCGACAAAATACACGATTACCAAAGTATCAAACCTGACCCGTTCAAAAAGGTGAAACCCCGAAAAAATGAAAAAAAAGATTGGTCAATAAAAATGACTGAAACATAAAACTTACCGTTTACTAAAATGTTGAACTAGAACTTTAAAATCTAAGAAAATAATTATGCTAAAATGTTGAACTAGAACTTTAAATCTAAGAAAATAATTAAGGAATTGAGGAATAAAAAACAGAATAAATAAAACAAGGTGCTACGGCAGATGTAAACAAATAATAAATGAAGGTGGCACATAATAATCGTAAACAATGTATGGCCATATTATATGTCATTATGTCATATAATTGTGTAATAAGAACAAAAGAAAAAAAGAAAAAAAGAAAAAAGAAAATGAAACATTTTTGCGAAATAACGTTGGGACAATGAGTATCGGGAATAATTATTATGGTATTGTCAAAGTCGGGTTGTGTTATTGATCGTCGGGACTTTGAATGGTTCCCTTCTGTGAGACATCCAATATTCTTGAGTCAATAGAGGATGAATAAATGCTTAAGAGAGATAAATTAACATTTTTAACGTTAGAAAGTAATTTACGAAAGGTAAAATTTTAAGAAATATAATAGTTGATGTCTTGTTCGTGCGTGGATTATCTAAACAACTTAACTATTTTGATTCTAATTTATCCTTCAATTAAATCTTTTCAATGTCAAAACTATACGAACTAGGTAGCATAGAATCTGGAGGGATTATTAGTAACTACTCACGAACAAAGTATTTTTTAGGTCCATCTGTCAACTGATATTTAACCGGCTGCCCATCAATAATCGTCGAAGATTTAATTGAAAACCTTAGTGGACCATATCATATTTAGTGTAAGAAACACATTGCTCATTGATTTCTCCTTCAACAAGTACAAGTTTTTATCTAAGAATTGTCAAAATGCATCACTGAAACCAATCATTTCAGACTAAATCTGATCGGTTCGCTCAATAATATCGGTTAGAAACCGAATAAGCAAATGATTTCAACATATTTTGATTTCGTGTTATATAATTAACAAGTTGATTCATAGAATTTCTTCAAATTAAACCGGTCCAATTAATTCTACGTTTAACAAATTCAGATTCTCTCTCTTTTTTTTTAATTGGTACGGCTAGGTTTGTTTCTAGAAAGTTTGTTTATGGTACTAATGTATAAGTTTGCAGATCGTTATAATTACGTATTTATTTACAAGAAAATATTAAAAGATTTTTCGGGGTACTAGTAAAATTTTATTTAATATCAGATATGCATAAATTATTACATACACGTGATACGAGGTGAAACCTTATGCAGGACAAAATCCGAACGCCCGAAGCTGTCATCCTCATAAACCCTTTGGGTTAATAAATAATATGTCGTGTCACGTGTAATTAATTTGAAAACGCTCGGGAGACAAGAATAAAGTTAATTTTGTTTAAGAGTTTTTTTTTTTTTGTACTTTATTTTGATTACTAAATACGAAATCATTACGGTTAATTCTTTTCGCATTGCATGCGGATGTGATTTTTAAATTTATTGTTAAAAATATAACTTCTAAATGGACTTCTACTGTGTTCTTTTTTTATTTATTAGGTTAGAACATTAAGTCAATTTCAAACTTTACGGGTTATTTGTTTTTACATATATATACAACAATAACTACATAGATACAATTACTTTTAAGATCAAATTTGAATATTGTCTCTCTGAGAACTGATATAAATTTCACTCATTTACAATCTGGTCGTTTGTAATAAATTCCTTCCTTAATAAATATTATCTTTTAAACTATACAATCTGGTCGTAAAGCGTTAATAATTTTTTCATTATAAATATTATTTTTTTAAAAAAACTAAAAGATGCAATCTCAAACTGTTATAATTATTGAGAACAGTAACAGGTTTACTGCAGAATCGACAATCTCTTTGATTCTCACTTCCATTAACATTATAAGTTGTTCGTATGTTCTAAGTCGATTATATTTTATACGTCGATTAAAAGGTGTTGAAATCAAATATCCAACTTGCTTTGCAATTACATGTAAGTTACCCTGCACGTGATTTATTTTACTGAGACTAAGTTTTAATATGTTATCATTTTTTTTAATTTTTAGGTTTGATTTATTCTATAATACAAATTATAAATTTTTTTATAAATAATTCAAATTTTCAAAATTATCGAACTGGAATATTTGGCAGAATCTTTGAGAAATTTTATCCAACATTCTTAACTGCAAATCTGTTATTAATTGGATTCTTAGAATTAACAACTTTATCGAAAATGAAAAATAAAATTGATAATAATAATGATAAAACTGAAAGATATGATAATTATATGTGGCAAGAAATGTTTTTATTATCTTGGATTGCTTCCATCTTTAGAATAAATCGTTATGAACCATTGGAATTAAAGTACGTATCATTTTTTTTTTTTTTTGAATTTTCTTTTTTTTTTCACGATTGATAAATTTTCCTGCGTTATATATGCTATATATTGATCTAACTTTCTTTTAAAATCATAGTCATATACCTCCCAAACATGTAATATTCGAATATCATTTCAATGCTATTATAATATTCATTGTTATTATAAGCGCAATTTTTTATCTATCTGAATTAAAAAAAAATTTACATAAAGTTATTTCACGAGAACTTTTAATAAAAAGATTGAAAACCTGCGATTATATGAATCCTAATGTTATTAGGGCTTATATATTTTGTATTATCCCTTTTCTTTTTCAATGGGTGAGTAAATTTATTATTCGCATAGCATTTAATATTGAAATATATTAAATTATTTTAATTATATATTTATTTATTTTTTAGTCTTTGATCTTATTTTATAATATTATGAAATCAATTGGAATAAATGATTTATCTTTGAACATTCTATTGATAATTGGTAAGTACCTTATATAACTTATTTTATATACATATTTATAATTATACTGCATATACTCAAATTTTATGAAATTTTTTGTTTTAGCTGTAAATATTGGAGGAATTGGATATGGAATATCATACTTTATTTATGAACGAAAATATCTTTACACTAATTTCTCAAATGACAATCCAATAATACTTTCATATGGCACTTTATTACCAACAGACGACCAATTAATTTCTGTATCAACACAATAGACTCCCTACTTTAAACTTTCTTTTTCAATAAAAATCTTAAAATTATTCGTATCATTTTATTGATATAAATTTCTAACATGTACGATTAATTAATTTGAAAGTTGTTCGCTACATTTTTTATTGGTGAAACATAAATTAATTTAACACTGTGCATGATGATAGCCTGATAAGTTAAGGCGTAGTATGACATTCACTTAAATTTCAGTGATGAGCTCAATTTATTTATTATTTGTATTAATAACAGATTATTAAAACTCGAAAATCATTTATTTATTTTTTTTTAAAAAAAAAATCTCTTACCAAATCTCCTTTGTCAGAAAATATTTATAAAATCTTGTTTTTTTCGGTAGATACAGAATAGACGCCAACGCTTGTGAGCGTCAGGATAGGAATATCAAACGTTTGACATATGTTAGGGTTTAACTGGCTGATGTTGTGGTTACATGGATTACATATTGTATTTTTGTTGGCGTCGGTAAGATCCCCATATGTAGTGCCTATTTTAAATTTTAAATTTAGCTACACGAGCATCCCTAGATTATCACGATCATTTGATAATGTTTTTATTCAATCTTATCACATCGAATCGTTTGGCAAGTAACAAATTTTATAGTAATTATATATATAAAATATACATTCCAGTAAATAGAAATCTCATAGTTCTTATGTTTCATAGCCGATTCTAAGTGGTAAAAAATATTACAAGTAGTAGTATCCATTATAATGCTAATTTATAATTTATAATTTATAATCTACTTTTACACTAAAACGTTCATTCATGAATCTTAAAGCGTTATAGATTTCTCACAGGGAGAGTCATAAAAGCAATACTCCTCAATAAAAGCAATACTCCTGTGAATTGTGTAAGAAGACTAGTTATCACGAGTTTGGTGTAACCATTGATTTCCCGTATTTTTTTCTTGAGATTCATTCTTGCTTTACAGGTAAAATAGGGGTTACTTCCATTTGAACTATGATTGAAGTTTCTAATAATTTCTTTATAATAATACACATGTCTTTCGTGTCTTTCAGTGAATCCTTAATAATTATTTAAGATCAATTGAATAAAATATTTTTAACAATCATGATTCTTCGAATGTGATGTGGAAATTTGCGAGATTAAAAAATTGAATCCTGAAATTATAAGTTTAAAATTTTCTAATACTAAAAATATACTATCCAGTCGGATTTATCGGAATTTCATATAATTAAATTTGCCGACAATATAAAGTTTACAATAAGTCTATTGGATGAGTTTACATTATCATGCATAATTTTACATATTGACCAGGGGAGCGAAAAAATCTACATGGGGTAATTACTTATTAGGAGTAATTATATCCTTCTTTAGAATAAACTACTATATGTTGATAGAATTTATCACGGGAATAATAATATACAGCAATAATATTAATATGATCAGCATCGTAAAAATCATTCATCCTTAATGAACTTTTCCACTTTGATCCCTTTTTAATTTTTTTATTTTATTATTTTAACAATCTTACTTTTTAAAGATTGTCATCCGTTAAACTTATTTCACAATAAAAAACCTTAAACTTGATGTGATATATATATATATATTTTAACTCAAATGAAATTTAAAATAAAGTTTTTTTAGAAGATTTCGTTATAATTAAGATGCATCTGCGTGGCGAACAAGCTTTATTCCAATAAGTAGATCTTTTATATAGTGGCGTGAGAAAATTATACTTAGAAGGTTTATCTCATATTGAACTGCATAATTCTTATCTGTTGTGCATTTGATAGATTAATTCGATTCCATTTTAAATCGTTCAAATGGATCTAAAAACGAGAAAATAACAAGAAAAAACTAAATTTTTATTTTTTATTTCTTTTTTTTTTAAAAAAAAATCTCTTTTAATACTTTTTTAAATCATCTTTTGAATAAAACAAAAATTAAAATAGTGAAAGATAATCAGGATAAATGACTGATAATATTAAGCAGATACTGTATATACGATATCAGACATGTCAGTAGACAGCTGTATAATAACGTGCTCATAGAAATAATATCTCAGCCTTAAACTAAAACAAGCGATGATTAGATAAGCCGCAAAATGCAGACGCTATTTATTATTTAATACATCATAAACTGTTTCATATGATGTAAACATCCGTAAATACTGCGCCACACTTTAAAAATGGCGGGGAAAAGCACTTCACTAAAATGAAATCTTTCACGTTTTTATACATTTTTATAATTATTTTGAGTATAACAGATAATATATTTCATTGTGTAAATCCTTTGTTAAGCTCGTGCAACGTCATACTTTTGATGTTTGTATAAAAACCGAAAAGTTATTGATTATCTTTTTAGGGTTCATTGTGTTTTATTTTCTTTTAAAGTAAAAGGCAATAAGGTGACATAAATTTTTGAACGGGTGATGGTGATCTCTTACAAGTTTGTGATCAAGCATTGTGGCCGTGCGGAAAACGAAGTCTCATTTATGCCCTAGGTGATTGAATTTTATGCATGTGTTTAAACAAGAAAAAAAAAATTATTGTTATAAAACCCCTGAAAGTTCAATAATGATTGGTTTGTAAAACGTAAAAAAAAAAAAAAATTTTTTTTTTTATTATAGAGAAACATTTACACAGCATTTTTCTTTGATAAATACATATGTGAAACTTATGTTTATTATTGGCTGTCACAATTATTTTTTCATAGTTTTTTCATTTTCATTTTTTTTTTTTTTTACCAGAATTATTTATTTTCTGCCCGAAAAAATTTTTTTTTTTTCAACCTAGTTAATAATAATAATTTTTTTTTAGAATAGAATATTATAATATACACACACAACACACTCATATATATATGTATATATATATTTAGAAATATAAAAAAGAAAAAGTCAAAAAAACCTAAACTAACGAAATAAGTAACAAAAAATTCCGACGAAAAAGAATCAACAAAAAAATTATCCAATAAGAATTTTCGTGTCATGACAATTAACGAAGCAATAAATACTCCAAAACGAAAGCAAACTATGGTATATATATTATATATTTTTAATAATGATATATATTGACGAATATCTTTTTTAAGAATGATATATATTGACATATATTGACAAATATCTTTTTAAGAATGATATATATTGACAAATATTTATATTGTTTATTATTTATTCCGATATTAAAAAATTTGTTTATCTTTTTCTTTTTATTTATAAATAGCAGGGGCAAGTGACAGCTAGTAAATCTTTAAAGTCTAAAAGTGCAATAAATACACCAATGTCTTCAAGTCCTCCTTCACCTAAACCTAAGCGTACTTATACACATAATCCAAGAAGTAAATCATTAACATTAAGAACTTCACCAAAAAAAGATTTAGAAAAATCAGAATTTATGTTTTCTTCCTCTCAATTTGATGATAAAGACACTACTACTACCACAACAACAACAACAGCAACCGAATCTATTGAATCCTTAGCGTCACCCGTTCATTCTGATCAAACTAATTTAGAAGAATCTGACCCAAATTCTGCTAGCATCATTACATCTCCAACGCAATCATTAGGAAATCATGAATCAATTGAACAAGCTATAAAATCATTAGAAGAAAAAATAAAATTGGATCAACAAGAACATGCTATACGTATTTTATCACGTCAAATACAACAACCTGAGTATAAAGATGATGTTAATGATCCAAACTCTTCAGGAAAGAAATCAATTCGATCTAATACTGTATCACCAAGACCAGTTGAAAGAAAACCACTCATAAAGCCAAAAGCTTATTCATATGGTGGTAGTGGTGGTTCACAATCATATGGTAATCCACAAAGATCACAACCAGTTAATAACGAATCACAACGTAAAGCTTCTATTTCTTCTATTAAACCAAAAAATCTTTGCACTTGTGGTGATGCTGATAGTTTTTGGTGTCAAGTATGTGAAAATCGGAGATTTAAATCTAGTTTTCCGAAATGGACAAGCGGGAATAAAATTATTGATACTTTTATTCAAGAAACTCAATTAACTACGGCTGGTCCGTTTAATTATCTTGAGTGGATACCGTTTGAAAGATTTCGTCATGTTAAAAGTTTTGGTGAAGGAGGTTATGGTACTCTTTCTACAGCTACTTGGTTGGATGGCCCAAGAAGTTTACGAGATGAAAAAATTCAAACAAAATGGAAACGAGATTCTAGAAAGAAAGTTATGTTGAAATTTTTACGTGACTCTGAACATATAACTCAAGAATTCCTTAATGAGGTATGTAATATAAATAAACGAGTAGGACATTTTTTTTTTAAAAAAAAAAATAAATTCATTTTCAATTTTTTATTTATTCTTTTTTATTTAAAGTAAACTTCTTTTTTAGTTTGCAGCTTATTATAAACGAATTGCATGGGATAACTGTATGTTACAATGTTATGGAATTTCACAAGACCCTAGCACAAAGAATTATATAATTGTTCAAGAATATGCGGAACATGGTAATTTAAGAAAATATTTATCAGAAAATACAGAAAATACGAGTTGGAAACTAAAATTAGCATTAGCTTGTGATATTGTCAAAGCATTGAAAACCATTCACGGAGCAAATTTAATACATCGTGATTTTCATTGTGGAAATATAATGATTACAAATGATATATATACTGCTATGGGGGATCTTGGATTATGTCATCCAATCGTTGAGGATGGAACATTTTATGGAGTCTTACCCTACCTCGCTCCTGAAGTTATTAAAGGGGAAAAATTTAGTAAAGCTTCAGACATTTATAGTTTCGCTTTTGTTATGTGGGAAATATCTTCTTGTGTGAAACCTTTTAATGACAGACCACATGATTCCGAATTGGCTTTTGATATAAGTATGGGAACACGTCCTAAGCCCGTAGAAGGAACTCCGCAAAGTTATATTAAATTAATGGAACAATGTTGGGATCCGGATCCTTCCAAAAGGCCAAGTGCGGAATCATTACACAGGACTTTATACGATTGGGCAAAAAAAGTTGTAGAGACACCAAAACTTCCTTATAAAGTTAATACAGAATTTGCTTTTGCTGAACAATGGCGGGTTAGAACTCATCCTCATCCATCTACCTCAACTAAAGATCATCCCGAAGCTAAATATACAAGCCAAGTTTTTGATTTTCATGATTTGGGTATTCCTGACATGGAAGAAGTAGCTTGTGATCCACCAGATTCCGAACATGCTCAATCTGAACTATCTCAGTCACCTTCCGCTGAAAGCGTTGGTAGTAATACTTTAGTTGAAGATTCTATCCAAAAATGTAAAAGTCCCGATAAACAATTAATGAACGATACAATAAGTATGTAAGGTATCTTTTCCATAAAAATATATTATTTTAAGGTCTTTTTTCTTTTTTTGAATACACGTATTAATTTAATTTTATTGATAGGTCAGAAAATTCTTCCGAATGAAAAACAAATGGAATTTGAATTTTAATTTTTGGACTAGTTACGTATTATTTATTTGTGGGATTATTCCTTCAATAAATTTATGAGACTTATCATTGAATGGACTTTGTTGATATAATAATTTTATTTTTTTGTTATTTTTTATTATTATTATTATTATTATTTTATTTTCTCTTTCTCTTTCTCTTTCTTTTTCTTTTTGTTCTGTTTTTGGCTTAATTACTATTGTTGATAAAGAGGGACAATTAATGACAATTTGTGAAATGATGAGGAATTTGTAATGGAGAGGATATTTCACGTTTGAATGTTTTTAACGATTACTTAATGAACGTTTTGTACAGTATAATAACACTTTACTTCATCGATGTAAATTACCTACCTTTTTTATTACATATTTTTTTTTTAAAAAAAAAAACCCCCACTTATTTTGAGAAATATTTTGACAATATTTTTTAGAATAAAATTATGAATAATTTTTTACTTATATAAAAAGAAAATTTCTTAAAAAAAACGGATTACTGTATATCAAGGTTTTTCTGGAAAAAAATTTTAAGTTTGTGATTGGTAGCGAGAAAGTTAGATTTCTGTATCATTGATTTATGATATTGAATTAGTATTGAAGCAATTACATCTTAATTTCGGGTGGAATTAAGATTAATTTTAAGTTTCGTCATTTATTAATGAATCAAATTGACTGATTTATTAGAATGGTTGTTTTGTTGTGATAATTTTAATCATAGAAAATATTTTCGCTGGATAATTACAAATTAAATTCGGGAGTAATGAATAATAATTTGTTAAATTTACAAAAATAATAAACTTAACGTATTTAACATTGTTTATAACATTAAATTAGATAGTGTTATGACTTAAATAATATTCATAATAGTTATAAACCTCATTTTTCTTCATGTTTTGCTAATTAAAGATTTTATTTATTTTAGGCGTATAAAGATTATCTATCAAATTACAATTCATATCTGGAAAAATTATAAAGTAACCATAATTGACGATATCCTTTAATTGGTACAATTTTTCTGGTGAATTGTTTTTCAGAGAATGTGTTCCAAGGGACAGCGAAATTAATGAAGTTATTTTATATAACAAATCTGCACTGTCCGACGTCTTTACTTCCCAAATTTCAAATGTGTAATGTATTGACCATCCCATCTGAGATCATCTGTCCTCGCGGTGTTATTTCATTATTTATGGAGCTTTGTAAACTCATTACAATGGAGAATGATGAACCGACGTTCACGGGTTAAAAAAGAATGTCTTTCTTTGCTTCCTAACAATTGGCAAACATATATCTGTAAGACTGTTAGCCACAAATTTTAATCTAAATGTTGTAATGTTACTATAATATAGTATACTAAAAATATAATTTTACATGCCATTTTTTTTATTCGTATGAACTTAACTGCGCGAGAATGAAGACCAGGCCCATGATATTCGGCATTTCACATAAAACAAAAATTCGTGATTAATTTGATCGCTACAAAATTGTACATATGCCAAAATTGCACGTAATTGGCAAAATTTACTTCAATTGAGCTCTTGTACTTTCTCTTTGACCTCTTGTATTGCATTCTCTAATACATTTAGATTATTCTCTACTTATTTTTAATTTTTTGAATGGACTCATTCATTTTTTGTAAAATTATTCAACTGTAGAATTATCTTTATACGATCAACGTTGAAAAATTATACACGACAAATTATCAAAATTATGCATATCACGTGATTTTTTTCGCATAGACGTAGTTTTATTCGCGTTTTAATTTAACTCTCATTTATTTTGGTGCTCTGTATAAGTAATCCCCTACGTAAAATTTTTGAATTACTCATTCAAAATACTTTAAATTGTTATATTTTTGCAAAACTTTCCACATACGATATAAATAATTTTTTGTATGAATCCCTTTTGAGTCATGTGGCATATTGAAGTTATACTGTGAACTTTTGTGATGGTTACGGTATATTTCGCCAAAACATTTCGCCGAAGAGATGTTTCGCCGAAAGAAAGTTTCACCAAAAGTGCATTTATCGAATCCATTTCACCAAATCGTCACCAAAAGTGCATTTATCGAATCTATTTCACCGAATCGACACCGAACGTCCATTTCACCGAATTCCATTTCACTCGCCGAATGGATATTTCGTCGAAAATGGTAGCGATTAACATATTTATTCATCGCGCAATGAAAATAAAAAATATTCTAGAAAAGATTTCATGTATTTAGTATAAAAAAAATAACATAACCAAATGAAATAAATAATTGTTCGGCGAAATGGAATTCGGTGAAATGGTATTTTGTTGAAACGTTCCTTCGGCTGAATGGGCTTCAGCGAGATGGGTTTTGGATGGATATCGGCGAAAAATCCCATTACCTTTGTCTTTAAGGTTATTATCTTCGATAAATTATAAATATTATAATTAATTGTATAACCCACAAATAGTATATAACCACAAATAGACAAATGCAAATGTTAATTAATGCTTTATTTTACGGAAATGTATAAAATAATAAATAATAATATTAATATTATTAATATTATACAAAATAAATTAAATAAATAAAATCGAAATTAAATTACTTTAATTTCTATCTAATCTTCTTCAAACTTTTTAGTTTTAAATTTCTTAATAACACCCATTTTAATATATCTTTCAATTATTTTCATATTTTCAACTTTTAATTCTAAACTAATACAATCATAACTTTTAATTACAATTAATGAGAGAGGTTTTTGTGATAACCGATTCTTCCAATTTATAAAGAATTTTTCTAAATCTTCAAAAGATATTTTTGATCTTGCTTTATAAGCATAAAATATTTCTAATTCATAAAAATTTTTAGGAGAATGTTTTGCAAAAATTTCCAAAATTTCTTTTTCATTTAAATAACCATCACCACACCAAATATTAATAGTTTCTAAATATTGACAATTATTTAAAATTAATTTCAATGTTCCTATTTCTTCCTCTAAAAATATTGAAGATAAACTTTTAAGATTTGGACAAAATTTAGCAATAACTAAATTTAATGAAGCATCATATTCCCCTATATATAATTCATTCAAATTTTTTCCATTAATTTCTAAAAATTTAATTAACATTTCAACTTTTGGAATTGCATATAAAAATTTTAAAATTTTTAAATGAGAAAAAGTAATATATTGTAATTGATTAAAATCATCAAATCCATTTAATTCCAATGAAAAAATAAGTTCTTGTAAATTTATGTATAAAGATATAAATGATAAAGGAATATAAGATTCTTTTATTTTTAATTTAATTAATGTTAAAGAAAATTTAGTTAAAGAAGTTATAATATCTGAACCATTTTCACTTTCATAAGAATAATATATTAATGTTACACTTTTTAAATTATTTTGTAAAGAAATTAAATCTGTTAATCCATTTGAAATAATATCTCCAAATTCTATAGTTAAAGTTCGTATATTATGACATATTTGTGATAATTGATAAAAAAAATCAGAATAAATATCTGAACTACATCTCAATTCTGATAAATCTTTTAAACAATTTTTTGCTTCAGGTAAATAAGTAAACATAACACTTTGAACTTTTTTTGAATATCCAGTATCATAATCCAAAGATTTTAAGGTTGAAATTTCATTCATAAACATTTTTAATATTTCTTGTGATAATAAATATTTATTATAATTTAAACTTCGTGCAGTAATGGATCGTTGATTTTCAAGAACATGTTGAATCATTCTATCAATTTCATAAATTGAAAGAACTTTACAAAATGATGCATAATTAAATAATGAAGGTTTCCAAGTTGGAGTTGCAATAAAAATTCCATTTTTATATAAAAGATTTTTTGATTCATCAGGTAAGCAAGCAATTAAAGTACCAATAATTGCTAATGGTACATGCGTTCGATATGGATTATAATTTACACTGTATTGAAAACTCCAAACATTCCTCCATAAAATTCTAACTGCAATTTCACACCAAAGACGATTAACTAATAAGCATGAACGTAATGTAATTTTATCTTCATCTAAATATTCAAATATTTCATTAAGACAATCAGTAGGGAGTTGACAGGGCATACTGTTTAAATTTAAATAGGATTAATTAATAAATAAAACCATGCTTTTTTTCAAAAAAAATAAAAATAAAAAATAAAATGAAATTCAACGTGTTTTTTAACTATTGTTCAATTTATATTTGAAACTGTGTAACAGTTGTTGTTTTACATATTTGGTTAATACATGAGTCAAACTCTGCGAAGATCTTGTCATTTTGCAGGAATGTAATAAAACAGCATATATATATTCGGTTAAATTATGTTTTATTTTGGCTTACGAAAAAAAATGTTTTATGATATTAAATAAATAATAATGCTATTCTAATCATTATTATTTTTTTATGTTGCTCTTTTAGTATTAATTTTTTTAATAAAACAAATTTTGATTAAATATTGCATATGCAGCGCATAATTAATATATATATATATATTATAATTAAAAATTCTATAATATTTTGAAATAGAAGAACCGATAAGAGAAAATTTATTTATCTCTGATATCGCTGATCTATCCTATAGATTATCCTAATTTCTTAAATAATTTCCCATTAAAATTAATTTTAATCAAAAAAATTCGTCGTCAATACATAAAGTATCAGCGTACGAGCGAATTATTTATTTATTCAGTCCATACTCCAAATTCCTAAATTCCTTGATAAAAATAAATCATTTAATTTAAATTTCTTAATAATTCCCATTTTCATATATTTTTTAATTATTTTCATATTTTCATCATTTACTTTTAAACTTATAAAATCAGAATATTTATCAATTATTATTAATGAAAGTGGTTTTTGTGGTATACGAGATTTCCAACTTAAGAAAAAATTTTCTAAATCATCAGAAGGTACTTCTAAACTTACTTTATAAGCATAAAATATTTCTAATTTATAAAAATTTTTAGGTGAATATTTAGCAAAAACTTCTAAAAAATCCTTTTCATTTAAATAATAATCGCCACACCAAATTTTAATAGATTCTAAATATTGACAATTATTTAAAATTAATTTTAAATTTTCTATTTCATCATCCATAAATATAGTAAATAATGATTTTAAATTTGGACAAAATTTAGCTATAATTAAATTTAATATTTTATCATTATTATGCATATATAATTCATTTAAATTCTTTCCATTGATTTCTAAAAATTTAATCATCACTTCAACTTCAGGATATTCATCTAAAAATTTTAAAACTTTTAATTGAGGAAAATTAACATATTGTAATTGATTAAAATCATAAAATCCACTTAATTCTAATGATAAAACAAGTTCTTGTAAATTTGTAAACATAGCTATAAATGATAATGGTATATAATATCCTTTTATTTTTAATTTTGTTAATGATGAAGAAAATTTAGTTAATGAGGATACTATAATTTCTGTTCCATCTTTATCTTCAGATTTTAATGTTACATTTTTTAAATTATTTTGTAATGAAATTAAATCTATTAATCCATTTGAAATAATATCTTTAAATTCTATAGTTAATGATTGTATATTATGACATATTTGTGATAATTGAAAGAAAAATTCAGAATAAATATCTGAACTACATTTTAATTTTGTAAGATCTTTTAAACAATTCTTTGTTTCAGAAAGATGAACAAACATAATATTTTCATTTTTTGAACGTTCTGAATAATATTCCAAAGATTTTAAGGATGAGATTTCATTCATAAACATTTTTAATATTTCTTGTGATAATAAATATTTATTATAATCTAAACTTTGCGGTGAAGTAATAGCGAATTGATGATTTTCTAGAACACGTTTGATCATTTGATCAATTTCATGAATTGAAAGAACTTTACAAAATGATGCATAATTAAATAATGAAGATTTCCAAGTTGAAGAAGTTGAAATAAAAATTCCATTCTTAGATAAAAGTTGTTTCGATTCATTAGGAAGACAAGAAATCAAAGTATTGAAGATTTTTAATTGTATATCTGATCTGTGTATGAAACTCCAAATATTTCTCCATAAAATTTTGACTGAAAGTTCACACCAAAAACGATTAACTAGTAAACATGAACGTAAAGTAACTTTGTCATTCTCGAAATATTCAAAAATTTCACTAAAACAATCAGCGGGAAGTTGACGAGACATATTTATTTCATTAAAATATTCGGGGAGGGGGAGGGATGTTTTATAAATACAGTCATTTTTATTTTAATGTACCTCGGATGAAAACGGGTAGCCCGAATGTAAGTCAAATTTGTGCATCTATTTTGTAGTCCAGGATGATCCACCTTTAGGGCCGGTGTTATCCAAAAAAGAAAGATCTTCGAAAATTTTTCGTCCATTCTACCTTTTTATGTATATTTCGGATTTAAATGAACCAATAGGAATTATAACTTATTCCACATTTTTTACAAAATTTGAATTCATATTCATTATCATTTATTTTTATTATTCGTAAGCAAGAACCAGTAATCCATAGAGACCGGATAATTTTTAAACCGGGATTAAAATATGACACGTTTTCTAATTTTAAGAAAAATATTATTGAATTATGATTGTTGAAAAAAATATGATATTTATTATTTATTAAAATTATAATCATCATCATAACAATGCATTATTTTAGTCTTAAATTTTTTAACAAGACCTATTTCTAAATATTTTTCAATTATTTTCATATTATCTCTGTTTACTTCTAAACTAATACAATCATCATAATTCTTGATAATAATTATTGATAATGATTGTTGTGGTTGACGATTTTTCCAATTTGTAAAAAATTCTTCTAATTCTTCAGGGAGTACTTCTAATTGTACATCATAAATATAATACATTTCTAATTCACGAAAATTTTTAGGGGAATATTTCGCAATAATTTGTAATAATTTTTTTTCATTTAAATATTCATCACCACACCAAACATTAATACCTTTTAAATGTTTACAATTATTTAAAATTATTTTCAATGTTTCTATTTCAGAATCCATAAATACAGTAGATAATTTTTCAAGATTTGGACAAAATCTAGATATAGATAAATTTAATGAATTATTATTATTCCCTACATATAATTCTTTTAAATTTTTTCCATTAAGTTCTAAAAATTTCATTAACATTTCAGCTTTTGGACATTCATCTAAAAATTTTAAAACTTTCAAATATGGAAATGTAACGTACTGTAATTGAACAAAATCGTCTAATCCATCTTTAAAATCAAATGATAAAATAAGTTCTTGTAAATTTATGAACATAGCTATGAATGATAATGGTATATAATATTCTTTTATTATTAATTTTGTTAATGTTGAAGAAAATTTAGTTAATGAGGATGCTATGACTTCCGTTCCATCTTTATCTTCAGATTTTAATGTTACACTTTTTAAATTATTTTGTAAAGAAATTAAATCTGTTAATCCATTTGAAATAATATCCCCAAATTCTATAGTTAAGATTTGTATATTATGACATATTTGTGATAATTGATAATAAAATTCAGAATAAATATCTGAACTACAATTTAATTCTGTAAGATCTTTTAAACAATTTTTTGTTCCAGGTAAACAAGTAAACATAATATTTTCAACATCTTTTGTTCGTCCTGAACAATAATCTAAAGATTTTAAAGATGAAATTTCATTTATAAACATCTTTAATATTTCTTGTGTTAATAAATATTTATTATAACTTAAACTTCGTGAAGGAATTGTTGTTGATGGTTTTTTTTCAAGAACATTTTGGATCATTTTATCTAATGAATAAATTGAAAGAGCTTTGCAAAGTGATACATAATTAAATATTGGAGGTTTAAAAGTTGGCGAAGAAATAGAAATTCCATTCTTAAGTAAGAGTTTTTTTGATTCATCAGGTAAACAAGCGATTAAAGTACCAATAATAGATAACGGTACGTGTGTTGGGTATGGATTATATTGTACGTTATATTGAAACCTCCAGATATTTCTCCATAAAATTCTAACAGCTACTTCACACCAAAGTCGATTGACTAATAAGCATGAATGTAACGTAATTTTATCTTCTTCCAAGTATTCAAATATTTCATTAAGACAATCTGCAAGAAGCTGACCAGGCATTTTTATTTTTCAATAAAAAAAAAAAAAAAAAAAAAATTTAGACTGATTTTTAAATGAAAGTGATGATCTATATTTATAAAGATTTATGCTGTATCACAAACATTTTTTATAGGTTCGTTGTTTTACATATTTGGTTAATGTAATATTAAATTTTTGTGATTATTATTAGACAGCATACATAAATTATGAACGGGATAATTACCAATGATTCATGTTGAATGCGACCTTTTCTAATTATAAGGATGATTTAATATCCAAAAATTTAATATGGAAGAAAATTTCTAATTTGTTTTTTTTAAAAAAAATGTATTATCCAATTAATAAATTATATATATATATTATATATATATATTGATCGCAGTAATTCTTAATAATATGACTATATTACCATTAACTAATATTAATTGTTATATCATTATTGTTCTTTTTTTACTATTTATAAACATAGTAGAATTCTTTTAAGATTTATGTTTCAACTTTTACAAAAATTTTATTAAATTTAACAAGCTATGATTTATTTCTATTCTTTTATTTTTTAAGGTTAGTTAGGTAATTTTAATTAATGACAATTATCATTCCCGTCCCATTTCTTTGTACTTAATGTTACATACTTTAAATTAATATTTTGAACATCCATTAGATTTCCTAAATTATTATAATATAAAGACGGTTATTAGTCTGTGCTTCGCAAAGTAATGGATTGTTGTTCTTCAAGAACAAGAACATGCTAAAACATATTATGAAACTTAATAATTAAAAAACCTTGTAAAGTGAAACATATTTAAACTGTTTAGGTTTTGAATTTGGAATCGAAAGTTCGAAACATTTTTAATATTATAATGATAAAGGTCTCGGTCTTTCTAATGAATAATAATTGCAGACTTTTATTAATTGTGTATACAATTGATAATTCTCTCTAAAATATTAATGTTATCTTTCGTTGAAATGATCATCGGGAAAATTTATTCTTAAGGTGTTACTAACCTTCAAACCTTGTCCACCATATTTGTTGACGTAAATCAGTTCTTTGGAATAAATCAGACGATGATCCCGGATAATTGTTGATTTTACGCACCACGTATCTCTTTAACTTATGATTCCGATACACAATACTTTTTTTAGGGTAACATAAATGAACCAATAGAATCAAAACATCATCAAAAAGAAGAAATTTCAACGCGTAGATTTCTACATAAAGAATTTAGCTTTCTGCGATTTATAGAAAGGATTTACAGTGTTTTGTATAAAAAAAATTTTGTTTATTTTCGTGATCGGGATAAATTTTAGCATATATGATAATCTTTTACGTTTTGATTGTGGAACAGATAACAGATTTCACGTGGTGGATTGAAACATGAAACCTGGCCGGGATTCTGGATCTCTTCGTTGTAAGACAACATAAATGAATTAATTTATTTTATATATACTGAAATGAGAAAAATAATAACAACACCAACAACAATAATAATATAAACTATAATTCTAAATTTTGCACTATAGTAAATTTTCAATTGCTGGTGTTGCGAAACTTTTTTTTTTTTATAATTCTTTCATTCAAACCATCAAATTTTAATTATTTCCTAAAGTTATTTAAAATAATTTAAATATTTCAATTCCATATTTTAGTATCATAATTATTGACTTTCTTAAAAAATGTTTCATCACCATAAAACTTACGAGAAAGATTCTTCCTCACTTATGACGTCTTGTAAAGTATTAACTTTATCATTTTCATCAATACTTAAACTAAGAAGTTGAGTAAAGCATGACTCCTAGGAATGATAATAAAGGTTTTCAGATCAGATTGGCAATCTATATAAATCATTAAAGAAGTAATTTTACCATAATCTCAACTATTCAGGACGATAATGCTGTACATATTGCTAAAAGCTTTTATTTATGGGTATAATGAATGGAATCCATACCACTTTTTCTGGTATTAGATTAAAGTTTATTAGATATCTAGAAAAGGTAAAAAAAAAAAATACCGTTAGTATGGTTGGTACCAGGTGGAGAAGCGCCCTTATACATTGATAATAATAGAAGCTATAAAGTAATAAAATGAGAAAGAAGTGTATTTCGCAACGAGAGAGCACCGAAAACTTCAGCAAAACCTCCGGATCGTACTATACCGTAAATTTAACTACGACTCAGAAGCGCCTGATAATAGAAGCTATAAAATAATAAAATGAGGAGAAAGTCTATTTTTTTTTTAAAAAAAAAAGAAAGAAGTTTAAAGTAAGTTTGAAGCTTTGAGGTACTTGAGAGATTTGAAGGTGCGTATACTTGTAAATATAATCACAGACTAATAATAAGATAGATACTTGATCGGTGACCTGTTATGATGACGATATAAGTACTTTTGAAAAAAGTAAAAAATGTAATATAACAGTAAAAAAAATTATGTGATTAATAATGTTGTTTGCATGAAAAAATTTTCGTAATATTTATAAGAGTATATGGATCGAGAGTTACATTTATCACATCGATCGATTCCTAATTTGCTGAAACTAATAATATATTGCGTAATATCATTATATCATACCATAAAATTATAACGATCATAATACCGTAATCGTTAAATTTTTCTTAGCATGTAAAAAAAAAAAATAATTAGTTAAATTATTCCAACGCGAAGTACGCACGATAATAGACTAATATTGATAGGACAGATATTACTACGCTTGCTACTACTCTTGCTACGTTTACGCTTCGGACAATTAGCTGCAGGTAACTCCGCGTGACCATTTTTTTCAGTAATGACACGGTGACCGTAATGTCTGAGTTACGAGTTTCAATCTTAAATTTTTTTTTATTGTGAAAAAGTAACATTGTAATTTATAAAATCAAATTCATTAGTATTAATAAGTTTGAAAATACAGTAGCTATAATAATGGTGATGTGTAAGATCTTTTGAACGGTATCGGGACTTTTCGCTGAAGCCATTTCGCTGAAGGGATGTTTTTCCGAAGGAATATTTCTCCGAAGGGACGTTTCACCGAAATACCGTTTCACCGAAACCCCATTTCACCGAATTTCATTTCGCCGAAGTCATTTTACTGAAGAAAGTTTATAGAGATGATACGATTAGTGTTGGATGATTATTTTTAAAAAAAATTTTCAAAAATTATTTAATGAATATTTTAAAAATCCTCTAAAATTCTTTTATTTAATATCCACTACCACAAGATATTAATCCTACGTTTTTGATTCGCTGTCTAAGATTTGAACAAAACTATATTCAAATTTAATTATTATTTCTTGGTTCTTGCCTAAAATTCTTTTCTATAAATTTGATAATATCTTTTTGAATTATATTAAATAACTCTTAAAACTTTAGTAATCCTTGGCTAATCAATTAGAGTATACTCATACTGAATGTGTTATGTAGATTACCATTATAAATAAATAGTAATATAGTAAAAATAATATAATTTATCTATAAATCAAAAACTAAAAAAAAATTCACATTTTTTAATAATTAAATCGATTAAATTTTATAAGCTACGCGTTTAATTTTTAATTTCATTTTATAATCGAGGAACAATGCTCAAAAAACATTTTATCTAACCAATCCAATTATATATAAGATTTACACAACTTGTACGCCTAATTTTTTTAATTGCAGTAAAATAGATGGAATTGCAGTAAATTAGATGGATAGTCCTCAAAATAACAAACTGTACCTACTGATGCTAAGTTCAGCGCAATAATTTAAAAATATGATAATTATATTGAGAGAGATAAAGTTCTCCCATACTGTGTATAATGAATGAATTGTTGTAAGATAATGCATTTGTTGTAGTCGGGTACGACGGAAACATGTAGTGTAAGTAACCTAAATTACTCTATCTCTGGCATCATCTATTAACACATGTAATCCATTCATACAAACATTAAAACTGCGGTAAAAGACATTTATTTTTGTCAGCTGATGATGGCACATGGCTATTTTATTGATACAACAGGTATGAAACCAGCTACAAATGTACTACTTATCAATCAGCATGTGATAATCTTTATAATGCCCCTTTTATGAAGTCTTTTATAAACTGGGCGCTACTTCTCTTTGGTGAGAACAATTTTTTTAAAAAAAATATATAGAATGGAGACGGGAGAAAATGTTGTATGGGAAGGTTCTTCTGTAACTTCTATTCAACATGAGACAAAAATTGGTACTTCTAATGATGAAATAGCCGTTCCAAATAATCTATTAAATAATTTAGTCGAAAATTTGGAAGAATTTGAAGAACGAATGAACTTTGATATAGAACAAGTTTATAAAAAATTTGAAGAAAAGATTGTTACTCAATCAAAGTTAATTGAATCTTTGAGAGCTCGTATTGAATATTTGGAAATTGATTCTGTTGCTAAAGATGAAGATATTAAGAAACTTCGACATGAAATTCATGAAACAATTATAATCGCAAAAACGAAAAATACTATGAATGAAAATGAATTAAATGTTCAATTTACCGAACCGTTGAATGTAGAATCTCATTATAATATTCAAAATAAATCAGAAACAACAATAGAATGTAAAAAATGTGGAAAAAAATTTCAGGATTACGCAAAATATCATAAACATAATAAAGAAAATCATAATAAATATAAATGTATAGTCTGTCAACAAGCGTTTCCAACTAAAAAGGGACGTAAAAGGCATATGAGAAAAAATCACAAAAAAGATTTTCCCTGTAATTTATGTAAGAAGAAATTTTATTTAATAGCTGGGTTAAGAGAGCATTTTCGTGCGAAGCATTCAGGTGGAAAATTTTTTCCAAAAGCTCCAAGAGCATCACATCCACCATCAACATCAGTGACATCACCACTCGCTGTTGTAGAATTTATTCATGAAATTTTACCTTACCAACTTCCAACAAACAAAATGCCTCCTTATCAATTGAGATGCAAAATTTGCAAAGAAATATTTGATACTCATTCAAAATTTAACACTCATGCTAAAAGTTTACATGATTGTAAATTCGCATGTCCCGACTGTTCTCAAGTATTTCTTTCAAAAGGTTTGAGGAAGAGTCATGTGAAAAAATCTTATAGATGCCAAGTTTGTAATAAAAGTGTCATTAGTGAAGGAGGTTTGATAAGTCATTGTAGACAAAAACATGGTCAAATGAGTATAGTAGACATTTATTACGCAGCAATGGGAATTCAACTTTCCACTTCGCAAAGTCTATTTTCCGAACAAGAAATCATTTTGAATGAATTGGAGATTACGCATGAAGGAGGTGATAACGGATCATTTGACAATGATCATACAGATGAAGAATCTAATGATGATGATTATGCAGAAGAGGAGGAAAATGAAAGATCTGATGATACTGAAGATGAAAATGATTATACCGAAGAGGAAAACGGAAGATCTGATTACGATGATACTGAAGACGAAAATGAAAAATCCGATGAGAATGATAGAGGATTTTGAAATTTTGACGCGAGAAAACCTTAGAACCCGTACTAAAAACATTTCATTAAGATATAAAATTGCGCAAAACAAACAATGTATTTATTTTATTTTTAATTACATTATATTTGTATAATATTATTTCTCTGATAAATAAATTTATAATTCTAAAAAAAGATTCTTCGTAAAAAAAACTCAATCTAGTAATTATAATATTCGGGAAATTTGGTAGATGCCTAATATTAATTATATTATGTAAATACTAAAGATAATCGGATTAGCAGTTGATCCATGTTTCTTTGCATATTCACGGAATTTATGACGTCAAATCGTGGAATTATTTTCCTCTCCATAGTTTGTCATGTGAACTGGACATATGACACCAATTTTGGTTGCTGGATCGAAGATGACCTAGAAGTAGTACTAAGAAGGACATTAAAAAGCATAAAGATAAATGTTCTGGTTTTCGGATAAAAAAAATTGTTGATTTATTTTTATTATCACATGTAGTGAATTTGAAAAAGGAGGAAGAGTATTGTTAAGAATAAAAATCCTGACGTGTTTATATTTTATTAATTAAAAAAAAAGGGGTAAGATTAGAGGGATTTAATATGAAAAAATGTGTCTATATATGTGTTCTGTAATTTTTTTTTATAATTTCTTAATAAATAAACAAAACGATGATTTAAAAGCTAACGATAATACCGTATATTACGGGCCATAGTAGTATAGTACACCCCCATGTATTAATGTACCCTCAAAAAAGAAGTCACTTTCTCCATTGATTTTATTATTTAAATAATCCAACAAATAAATATCTTAGGTGTGACGACTGTGACGTGTAACAATACTCTAATTATTTTATAAGTCCTCTATTAATAGGTCGGTGGGTTGTCCCTCACATAAATTATGAATCGGTCGAAGTAATCGGACTGCAATTGTGCTTCGTCATAATGGTCCAGTAATGAGAAGAGGTTGAGCTCCTCCTCACCCGATGTCCATCGCCCAGGCTTTCAATTTTCGTAAGGAAGCTGGATTTGGAACTTTTTGTCCGGAAATCGGGCTTGGAGTAAAAATTCGCGTAAATGGGGGGGATACAGGGCCAAACCTCCGAAATTTGCAAGATACCCGGCCCGCGATATACGGTAATAACAATATAAAATCGCTGATATGCCTATACACCTAATTGTATAAGTTTTTAAATTCGAAAAATTTTTTAAATATCCAGAAATCTAACGAGGGAAGATCACCGGTAGAAGAGTTAGATGAAAGAGAGTAAAGAGGCAGTCCATGTTATTGTGTGCGCTACTAATTTCAAATATAATTGTATTTTTTTAGTATATTTCTGTAATGTATGAATTGTCTCACGTCTCCAATAAAAAAAAAATTCAGATATCTAATAAATCGGGAAATTTTATACATATACATATCATTAATAAAGCAGTGAGAACGGAAAATATTTTTGGATTTAACAATTGTTAATTAGTATAGATCTTTGTTAAACTTCGAGTATAGTAGTATGTAATACCGACGAATGTCAGGAAATCCGGATATACGATTCTTAAAAATGACAGATTGGTTAATTATAATTTTTTCTTTACAATAAATACTTATCATATTTCCATAATATAATATTTTGGGGGTTGTTAATTGTGGCTTTTATACAACAATCTGAGAACAATTAAAAAATTGCGTGACACGCAAAAAGGGGCTTATATATTTGTCTAAATTTAACGAATTGACTTCCTTTTTCCTTTTTTCCTTTTTTTTCCTTTTTTGTTTATTCAATTGAAATATTCTTTTATAAATATCACATTTAAATATTCCTCTCACTTTGAGATTTGGTGTAATTACTGTATAAACATATTCTTACAATATTCTAATAAATAATATAATTTAACTGCTATTGTGATATGGTTGCTACCTCTTTGAAGAAATTTTCTTTCTTTTATACTTATTTTATATATATAAATACTGAGTTAGCCTAACTAATAAATATTACAAAGATACTATTGATATCCTAATACAGTATAGTATATCCATCATTTTCACAAGAGCCCCTTTTTCTAGTATTAACAAATTTCATATACAATTCAGAAAAAGTTTGCAAGTAAAATGTGCAAAATCACTTTATTTGATGAAAGATTCTGAAATTTTGAAATATGGTCGGTAAAGAGGGTTTACTGAAAATATTGAAAGAACAAAGGTATTCATTACTCACTAAAAATTAGTGAAACAGATGATGATGACAATCTAAATGTCTCATATGTATATATAATTCAAGTACAATACCAACTATTTAACTTATTGTTAAATTAAATATATACAAAATAAAAATCTACAGTTTTAATTTTCATTATATAATTAGAAAAAAAATCTAAAAATCAACAATTTTTCTGAAGAATCTGAATCAGAGATTAACACAAAATACTTATATATTTAAAATAAGAAGTTTAAAGAATAACTGATAAAAAAAAAACCAATAATTCAAAATAATAATATTACAGATATTATGAATTAAAAATTACTTTAAGAATATATAGATCTTGGAATAAAGCTAACATTAATTCTCAATCTTTACTTTCTCAATAAGAATAATTACTTTTTTTTAAAAATAGAAAACTTAAAGTGATTACAACTTATAGCCTTTCCAATTATTTTTAAGTTGAAGATGGGATTGATCAAAGAAAAATAATTTTATTCTAGTATAAAATCTAGTCTCACTTATATAAAATAGTTTTTGCCAATTCCAATTTATGAACAAAAACAAATTTGGAATCAAATATTTCAAAATATAAATGTTAACCATCCAAACTTCGTCTCGACTAAAAAACAATGCAGAAATAAGTAAAATTCACTAAAGTCAGAATTTGAAAATTTAAAAAGAATACTATATATTTAAAAATAAGAAATCTAAAGAATAACTGATAAAAAAAAAATAATAATTCAAAATAATAATGGATATTATGAATTAAAAATTACTTTAAGAATGTATAGACCTTGGAATAAAGCTAACATTAATCCTCAATCTTTACTTTCTCAATAAAAATAATTATTTTTTCTAAAAATAGGAAACTTGGAGTGATTACAGCTTACAGTCTTTCTAATTATTTTCAAATTAAAGATGGGATTGATCAAAGGAAAATAATTTTATTCTAGCATAAAATCTAGCTTCACTTATATAAAATGGTTTTTGCCAACTCTTAACTAGTATAATCAATAGAATTAGAAATGAATTTAAGTATTAATGAATGATAACAAATTTTTGAGAAATGCAAATAGAACCTTTAGTAATCTGCCAGTTATGGTTACTATAATGTTAATAATACACATTAAATATCTATTAAAACTCTTTTATTTTAGATATGAGAGGTACTAATTACTAAAGGTGCAAAACATGCAAAAGGTGCAGAAGGTGTAGAAAGTGCAAAAAGTGCAAAAGGCTTAAAAAAAGTAAACGTGTTTTAGATCGTTCTGCTACATATTATTAATAGCCAAACTATTTAGAAGGAATGAAAGATAAATATTTAGCAAGATTATTACAAATAGTAATGAAATACATTATAAAATAAGATTTTACTGTAAAATCAAAAATGTATTTCATGAATGAATTTTTGAATTCATTATATATTTGTTTTGGCATTAAATACCAATTATTAACTGCTTATAGATTACAGACCAATAGATTAACAGAATATTTTAATTGAATATTATATGAAATTTTGGTTAAATATTTAGTGAAAGATTAATTGAATTGGAATTTATATTTACCATCTACTTTATTTGCATATAGGATGGTACTTGTTATAATATTGAAATCTAGAGAGAAAATTTTTTTGATATTAGCAAAAAATGTATCATCAAGAACAAAATGCTAGTACTGTTATAGAAAATATTTCTGGTGTTTTCTGAAGAGATATAAAAAATGAAAGTAACTTTACTCACAATCAGAAGTATCTTAATTCAAAAGGAATAGTTAAGCAAATTTCTTGGACTAACATATATTAATTGAAATTATTAGCAATTCATATAAATTAATTCATTATAAATAGTTCAGATTAGCGTCAAAATACATGATTGAAATAATTGAACAATTAGAAAAATGATACAGAAATGATATATTAGTATTTTAATTAAACTATTAACATGTTTAATTGAATACACAAATACTTGTAATTTACTTATAAATATAAAAAAGTTGGAAATAAAGATTTATCAATAAAATCATCTACTACATATATCAAAGTATATATATATGTAAAATTTAATTAAATTTATTTTTATTTATTATATTTTGTATAAAACTTAACAAGGGATGATTTAAGTTAAAAGATATAGAATAAAAGCTGGTAAAAAATTATTGACAAAATTTTGCTTTAAAAATATTTAATAGTCAATTACACTACTGAGCAGTATAGAGAAAAATTTCAAAATTAAATCAGAGATCATATGGTAAAAAAATTACAGAAATGTTGGATATATTTATGAAAGACTGCAAAAAGCAGTTAATATATTAGAATTTTATTTAGTGAATGGTTAACAGAAGATGAAAGGTATGGTTAAATAATTGGAATATCAAGAAATAGTGGTTTTTACTTTCAATGCTGCTAATATACATTGGCCAAAGCTTTATAAACTTATACTATATAGTGAAAACCTGTTATTAACTACATTTTTATTGACACTGACAGTAAAGATGAAATAAATGAATTTGAAATTAATTCATATAATAATTATTACATATATATTTCTTTTTAATAATTATTAAAAAATATATTCATTAATTTATGATTTTATTTAATTTCTATATTATATACAAATGATTTATAGGATAAATAGGGGTAATTTATTTATTTTTTCTATAATTTGATTTCCTTTTTTCATTATTTTTTATTTGATTTATTATTATTAGGTTTTGATTTTCTATATCTTTGATTTTTTTTTATTCAGTTTATTTCTTTTGAATCTAATCTTCTTTTTTTTACATTTTACTTTTAAAATTTATTTATTTTATTTGATTCTGTTTTTTATTTTCATTATATATATAATATTTAAAATAGGTTTTAGTTCATATAACTTTGCCTTTAAATAAGGAACGCTATTTCCTTTAAATATAATATAATAAAAAAAAAAATTATATACAATATATTGTAAGAAATGTAATATAATTATAAAGGCAAAAAGATAACATATGTTTTTTAAACAAATTTACAAAATGTCATTACAAAGAATAATAAATAGAATGTTATCTACCAGAATTAATATTGGTAACAAATAAACATAATAAAGTTAAAAGTTTTTTTTGCTATCCAATATAGTGTGATTTTTTTTTTACTAAGCAATCTGTTATGCATTTCAAGTAAGGGTAATGATATTGTTCCAAATTCTTATACTGTATTCTTTTCACATTTAAGAAACTGAACTTTACAGAGAAAATTCATCATGAATGTGGCCTAAAAATGTTTAAAAAAAAAATGTAGCAGATTTTTGATTGAAATACATGCTAATGACATATAATATTATGGTAATCATTATAGTATTAATATTCAGTTTTGCTTACAATGATTTCTTTACTGATTCAGTTAATCATTTTTTATTGACTAAAATTACATTTTTTGTAAAATTCCTTGCCTTATAATATGGAATATATACATATATATATGTGTAAAATATAAATGGAATAAAAATAAAAATTAAAAATGAAATAATCTAAATTTTTCTAATCTTCTTTTTCATCATAAATTTTAATTCTAAATTTAATAAGTTTCATTTCAACATATTTTTCAATTAATTTCATAGTTTCTACATTTACTTCCAAACAAATACTTTTAATAATAACTAAAGAAAGTGATCTTCGTGGCATATGAATTTTCCAATTTATAAAAAATTCTTCCAACTCATCAGGATGTATTTGATCGAAAATATAATAAATTTTTAATTCAGAAAAATTTTTTGGTGTATTTTTTGCCAAAACTTCCAAAAATCTTTTTTTATCAATATAATTACACCAAATATTAATACTTTCTAAATATTGACAACTTTTTAAAATTATTCCTAATGTATCTAATCCAACATTTATAAACATAACAAATAAAATTTTAAGATTTGAACAAAATTCTGCAATAGCTAAATTTAATGATCTATCATATTCTCCAGTATATAATTCATCCAAATTCTTTCCATTAATTTCCAAAAATTTAATTAACATATCAACTTTTGGTATCATATATAAAAATTTTAAAACTTTTAATCGTGGAAATTTAATATATTGTAATTGATCAAAATCATTAAGTCCATCATCATATTCATATGATAATATAAGTTCTTGTAAATTAATGAAACAAGATATAAATGATAATGGTATACAATATTCTATTATTTTTAATCTAGTTAATGTTAAAGAAAAATTAGATAATGAGGAAGTTATTATTTCCATACCAGAAGTTCTATTTAATAAAGATATATAAGAATATATTAACGTTACATTTTTTAAATTATGTTGTAAAGAAATTAAATCTTTTAATCCGTTTGAAATAAAATCACCAAATTCTACAGTTAAAGATTGTATATTATGACATATTGGTGATAATTCTGAATATTTGTCTGTTGAACAACAACTTAATTCTGTAAGATTCATTAAACAATCTTTTGCTCCAGGAAAATTAATTAATTTAACATTCATAGGACATTTTGAATAATCCAAAGATTTTAAGGATGAAATTTGACTCATTAAAACCTTTAATATTTCTTGTAATATTAATTCCTTATCAGAGTTCAAGTTTTGTAAAAAAGCATTTTGAATCATTTGATCAATTTTATTAATTGAGAGAATTTTACAATATGATGCGTAATTAAATAGTGGAGGTTTCCAAGTTGAAGTTTTAAAAAAGATTCCATTCTTATATAAAAGATCTTTTGATTCATTAGGAAGACATGCGATTATAGGTGATAATAATGATAGTACAACCCTTGGACACGGAGTAGAAGAACAAAAGACATCCTTCCATAAAATTCTAACTGCAATTTCACACCAAAGTCGATTAACTAATAAACATGAATATAAAGTGATTTTATCATTTTCTAAATAATCAAATATTTCATTAAGACAATCAGCAGGAAGTTGACGAGGCATGGTTTTTTTTTTTAAAAAAAAAAAAAAAAAAAAAATTCACTTAACAAAATTAGTAAATCATTTAATTATTTATATTCGAAAACTCGTGTCACAATATCAGATCTTTTATACCAATTCGGATGATATTTTGTCCGATCCAATAACCGGTGTTAATCAAATGCTCCAAAGTCCAAATGTTTGAAACATCAAAAATACAGTATCAAAGATAGCAAATATAAAGTAATTTTTTATTCAAATGTTGAAATATTTAACGCAGTAAGAAACTGATTAACTGAGCGTTGCATTTTTATAAAATAAAGTAATACTAAAATATCGATATTAATTTAATTCAGCGCTGCGATATCATAATAGTAGGATCAATAAATATATTTTCATTAAAAGAAATTATCTCTAAAGAAACAGAGGCGAATTAGAAAATGCAACTAATTCAATCAGGTTCGTTCCCATTGTATGTAATTAATTCTTTACCTTTTTTAATTATTTCCTGACAAAATTTTACGTGAAATCAAGAAATCCTCTAATTTTTAAAATTTTCTATCCCCATTTAGAAACCCCACCCCTTGATTTAGTTTCGCTATAAAAATAGTGACCCGGTTCTCCATTTTTAGATTCAAGAATCAGAAAATGATCTTTGTTATTTGGTGATGGAATATGTTGACAGTGGTACCATTCGCCCAATATTTGTTGAAGTTACTGGAAAAAAAATCCATTTTTAATAAGTAAATCAAATAATATATTGGAATCATATTTACCAGAATAAATATTATTAGCGAACAAAAAGAAAAAAAAAAATATGAAATCAAAAGACATTTCGAAAAATTCTTGAAAAAAAATGAGAATAGGAAATTTATTTGTTGAAGAGTAATAGTTATTCGTAATTTACATGTAAATTGCGATTCTAAAAATATCTTTCTAACAAATTTCATATTACATAGGATTCCTATTTAAATATATTAATCCTTCACAAAAATATTATATGTATACGTCGACTTCTTTCATCGTTAGAAGATATTTTGGTAATGGTATTTATTGTGATTTTCTAATTGTTTATTATCTCTAAAATAAAGTTGACATTCTTCACATTTAGGAAAATTAACTCCATCATCTGCGTCATCTCCATTGTCGGCAGATTTTTCATCGTCAATATCATCATCATCATCAAACGAATATAAGTCACTATCATCATCTGAATCCTTTTCAGTCCCATTTTTCATATTATCCAATTCGTTCTCCTCTTGAATCTGATTTTCTTTCACGTTATTTCCGTTAGCTGATTCAATTATATTTTCTATATTAAGATCTTGTAAATTTTCTTCTTGGGCGGAATGATATTCTCTTAGTTTTGAATAAACAGAATGAATAGCTTCTTCCACATTATGCTTTTTGGCTTTGCAATGACTTATTAAACCATCTCCATTACGGAACTCTTTATCACAAGTTTGACATTTATGAATATGATCTTCTTTCATATGTTTATTCCTAGGAGCTTTCTGGTGAAATAACTGACAACAGTAGATACATAATAATTTATATCCATGTTTTGATTTAGCATGCTTAATAAATGTTGTATAAGTATTAAATAAAGCTCCACAAATTTTACATTTCAATTGAAAAGGAGGTACATGTTTTGTTGGAAATTTGTAAGGTATAATTTCATGAATAAATTTTCCAAATGTGGTTTGTGGTGTTGTTAATGGAATTGACGATTGCGATGGTTGCGATGGGATGGATGATTGCGATGGTTGCGATGGGATGGATGATTGGGATGGGACGGATGTTAATGGAACGAATGGTTGTAGTCGTAATGGAAAAGATGATCGTGATAGAATAGAAGGTTGTGATGGAATAGATGGTTGAGTTGGTGGAAAGGTCGAACCAGGATGTTTTGCACGAAAATGCTCTCTTAATCCAGTTATATCATAACATGCCTTTGTACATAAAGTGCAAGAATAATCTTTTTTATGATTTTTTCTCATATGAATGCCACGATCCCTTCCAGATAAAAATACTTGATAACAAACTAAACATAACCACTTATATTGATGTTTTTCTTTAGCATGATACATAAATCTTACATGATTTCTAAAGTTTTTACCACATTCTTTACATCTTAAAATTATTGACCCAGATCTAGTTTCAATAGTTTCATGCAAGAAAATTGCACCATCTCCATTTATTTCATTAATAGAATCGTTAAAAGATTCCAAATTTAATATTTCGCTAAATTGATCAGTTAAAGAATCACGTCTCTGATATTTTTCATTATCTTGTTCTGATAAAGTTTTAACAGATTCATTAAATTCATTACGAAGAATTTTAATATCTTGATCTTTTACAATAGAATCAGTTTCTAATTCTTCAATACGAGCTTTAAGAGATTCAATTAATTGTGATTGTAAAATAATCTTTTCTTCAAATTCTTTACAAACTTTTTCTATTTCATTATAACCATTTTTCACTTTATTCATCCCTTTTTGTCGATTCAAATATTCTTTATAAAAATTTTGTAAATCCAAACTCATTCTTTTTCCAAATTCTTCAAATTCTTTTGCTTGTCTTTCAATTAAATCATAAAGAGGATTATTTGGTGAAGCGAAATTATAATTAGAAGTTTCTATTTCCAAATTTTTTTTTGTTTTATCATTAATAAAAGATTCGGTAGAATCTTCTACTACCACATTTTCTTGAGTAGCCATTTTTTTTTATTTTTTTTTTGTGAAAAAAGAAAAAAAGTACCTAAATTTTCATAAAAAAATTCCCAAAAGAAAGGGGTATAATGGGATATCACATGTTGACTGATGCTGAGTGCTTTTAAATGTATTTATGGTTAGTCTCGCCGTAACAAATGGATCATATGGTTCATATGATATGACTTTTTTGTCCTTGTCACCGTCAGCTGATTAACCCAAAAATTCGGTAGTTTTTTGTCTGACAAAAATACGTGATCTCGTTTTATTTATCACACTAGATTAAATATCACGCCACTGTTAGTCCAAAATACGTGATCATCGAAAGTGTAGTTCTTTCAAAAAAAATTCTTTGGGAATAGAGGCGTGGGATAACGATAATCTAGAAAAACATATTAACATAATATTATTATTAATATACTTTTATTTACATACATTTTCAATTAAAAATTTAAAATGCTAAGAGAACACGATAAAATTGTTAACATTGGATTAGACACATAATAACAGAAAGATTGAAGAAAAAAATGTCAAGATACTTTTATTATAACAAGTTATAACAAGAATTTAGAACTTTAACTTAATACATTTTATATATATAAACAACAATTACTTACTTTACTGCGCCAAGTTCAACGATCTTCGTAAAGCTTCATCGCACAAAAGCAAATCCGAATAGTAAAGGATTGGTTTTTTTTTTTTTTGGCGTAAAAGGACAATGACTTTTTGTCGATCAAAATGATTGGCTTACTGACAGGTTATTGTTCAATTTCCGGTTTGACAATCAAATGATTGAGAATCGAACGATTTTTGAAATATTCCTGATTTAATGTTGATAATTAGAATTTTCAAAAGGGACATTTTTTGATTATGTATTTCATCATGTGCTAAATTTTTTTATTATTAATGAAAATAGGTTTAATATATGGGATATAGTTAATATGAAGAAAATACTTTTTCAAAATTGAAAATCCCGGAACGATACTTTAAAAAATTTTAAATAGTAATCCCTAAAAATTCGGGAGAACGCATCAATAAATAAATCTTGTGGAAAAAGAATGTTGATTTTAGAAATTGAATGAGTGAAAATCAAAAATAACAATCACGTACCATTATTTTTCTTATTCTGTAGCACCTTCTCATTTAACATTTCATAATTCCGAAAGAGTGACTCCCACTTCAAAGATCAGTCTAACTTAGTAACTTATAGCTGGAATGAAAACATATTTCCAACATTTGAATGAGAGATTTTGAATGTGAGATTGATAATTAATAATATAATTCAAACATTCTAACTTAGCTTGAGCAAATATATTCAATTACCAAATATACAATTATTCGTGCAAGCTTATAAAATGTATGAAATGAATGATAGATGAATTAATATATATTTTTATTATCGGAAATAATAAAAAATAATAAAAATAAATGAAATACAGAATTTAAACATATAAGTAAATTATCTTATTCAGGTTAAGGATTAATTAATAAAAAAAATATAGTTCTATTAATATTAAAATTTGTTTTTTATTAAATACTTAATACATTGAAGTTATCGTTAAACAAACCGGAAACATTCCATCATGATGATTCATACATAATCCTCTAAATTTGAATAAGGTAAATTATTATTATAAAATAGTTATTAAATAAAATGGGGATGTCATAGACTCCATAGTATCAAATAGATATCATTTTGTGTTATAATAATAAATTAACATTATTAATTAATTAGTATGAATAAATATATTTATTTTATTCGTTTCAAACATTTGTTTATAACCTTAAATTGAATTTCATTGAGATCAATAACATCCGCAGTGTACAATAGCGCTGACATCTAAAACTTTGATTAGAGACTTGAATCAGTTTTCATGCGAATCATCAATACACTTACATCTATAACTTATTATTATGATATCATTGAAACTAACCAATAATAACCAAGTTAATAGCGCAACGCCCCTAAAAATTCTAAGTATAGGCTGACAATGATTTCCATTATGATAATCGTTGAGAAATAAAATATTCTTTTCAATTAAGTTATAATAGATACTATTAAAGGGACCCGGGGCTTTAAAATGCTTAGTATGAACCTGCCTAATTTTATATATTGACAGATGTTGATCGATCACGCATTTCCTAATTTCGGTACCGGAATGGAAGTACCTTAATTGGTTAAATTTGACCTAAAGTCATAGTAACTATTAATGTTTCCGGTTTAGATTTTTTAAAAAGTAATTTGATAGAAACTATCGATTGAAATTTATCAAACTATGTTTAGTTAATGACTTTCTAAAAAAGTAAATATATTTAAGTATTCTTTCATCAATATATTAAAAAACGAAATCTGTTATGCATAATATCAAAAAATGTAGACCATGAAAACGAATCTTTTCCTTCTTTTTTTTCAAATGAATATTCTTTTATGGTTTAAATAATTTATTTATTTAAAAAACATTGATTCATGAAATTATTAGATATTAAACGTATATATATGCTCCCATTTCTCTTTTTTTCATGCTTAAAATTTTTTTTTAACGAATTTCATAATTTACAAAAATTCTTATATAAATAATATTTTTATATACTGTATACAATATATAATATATATATAATATATATATCCTTATATTCTATAATATGAATTCAAAAATTATTTTGTTTTTGATTGTATTATTCTTTACATTAACATACACATACGCTTATCCAGTATTTGAACCCGATCTTGATCGTAAGTATTCTTATTTTATCGAGAATCTTATAATAAAAATATAAATCTTATATTAATAATTTTAAAACAAATTTAGAATTAATGGGATCCATAATATTCTAAACGTATCAACTTATTAAAGATGTTAATCATGAATTCTTACAATTTTGATTCTTCAATTAATTTGTTTAACCTTTTATTAAATTTTTATATTTTAATAATTTGTGGAATTTTATTGTTAATTATTTTAAAAAATTTCGGAATTATTAAATTAGAAGATAAAGTAATTCATCTTTCTGAATTTAGGGTTAATGTAAAAAATCATGATTTTATGTTAGTTTAAGAAACATCCCTTATTTTCTTTTTTTTTTCAAAATTTTGTAAATATTCTTTTATCTCATTAGTTAAATAAGAAATTAAATTATATATATTATCATTTTCTAGTAAAAAAAAAAAAAAAAAAGTTGTTGAAAAAAATTTTTAAGGTGGGGGAGTGGCTTTTTTAAAAGCTTTTTCAGGTTACTTTCCCGTACACATCAAATATAGATTAGTCAACAATTTATGTAATCAATTAATGGTATTAGTCACTATAAAATAAATTAGTATTGTATATATATATATATATATTTTTAAATTTTTAAAATAACTACTGTATATATTTATGATTGTAATACAGAAAAATTACGCGATACCCGTTTATTATAACGGTAATTCTGATAATCGTTCACAATTATCAAGATTGCATGAGTTACTATTATAATTGGAGTAACCAACAGTAATTGTTTTTTCACAGCTGAATTAATATTTAAATTTGAATTTGTATTTTGAATTTAAATTAATTCAGCCGGAGTTAAGTCATAATTTCCAGCTATAGCATTTGATAAATTCAGTCACATGATTTTCAGAAAGTCGTGATATACAATATGCGATATTCCGATATACAACATACAATATACAATATGCGAAATGCCTATACCTCCCGCATAAATCATAAGCGATTATTATAAGGAGTAATAAAATAATTACATCTAAAAATAAGCTACTAGCTAGATAAATTCGGCTATATTTCCAGCACACTAAGATCACAAATAAATCACGGTAACTAAAAACCCTCGAAATCGCTGCTGCACAGTGTTATAATTATACGACATATGAAGTTAGACCTATACCACCATTGAAAAGTGTATGTTAAAATCCCGAAATTTGGATTATTTGTAATATGTATAATCCCTTTAAATTGAAATAAAATAAATAAGTTTAATACAATTATTAAAGCAAATGATTTAGAAATTTAATAAAAATATATTACAAATTATTCATAAATTTCCATTTATCTTTCCTTTGGGCAAATTAATTAAAAGCCTCAATCTCATAATCAAAATTATAAGGATGCTATTCCACGATCTCCCGATTATCAATAATCTTCTTTATTAATCAAGCTCTCATCACGAAGAATACATCAGCTTGAACATCTACTTGTTTCTATTCTTTTTGTGATATCACAAGCTCACAAACTTTCCTGTTTTAAAAAAATCGATTTTCTGACTATGCATACTTTAAAAAAAAATTTTTTTTTTTTAAAAAAAAAAACTTCAGGANTCCATTTATCTTTCCTTTGGGCAAATTAATTAAAAGCCTCAATCTCATAATCAAAATTATAAGGATGCTATTCCACGATCTCCCGATTATCAATAATCTTCTTTATTAATCGATTTTCTGACTATGCATACTTTAAAAAAAAAATACAATACAAAAATACATTAATTGGAATTGTAAAACTTTTAAGACTCGCATCATTTTTTAAAATATAATACGCTTAATTTAAGAAATTAAATTTTTTTTTTTTAAAAAAAAAAACTTCAGGATTTGACTGTCAGAATTATGACTTTTGAGATTTTGATCTGGGAGACTAGGACTGTCCCGATTTTAGTGTCAAGATTATTGACTGTAAAGGTTATGGATGTGGTCGTTTTCGTTATACTGCGTCAAAAGCATTCAATAACTGCAAAGCTGCAGATAACGTGTAAGAAAGAAAATAAGAAATTATTTATATAACAAGGAATCACTAACCAAGCTCTTTTTGTAGTGGTCCAAAACATCTAATTGCTGAAATATAGTCTTGACCATTAATTTACCCTATTAAGTATCGTTGCGGAAATGTGATTAACCAAATTAATAAATAACTTTAAATTACAAAAATTGCGAGCATAGCCCGATTGATGCATGCATGATACGTTTTTCTTTAACTTTTTATGCTTTAGTACCCAAAAAGATAGTTATACGATTGACTAGGAACAAAAATTTCCATATGCTAATTTCAAATGGGAGATAACGGCGGTAAAATTTAATAGAAAAATAAAAATACAATAATTGTAGCCTTTGAATATCATTAGACAGCTGATAATATCATTAAATAATTCAGACAACTAACTCGTGAATTTGATCAATAACTTCATACTTCAAGTAGATTCTTGTTCTATAAAATGTTGAACTACTTATAATTCGCAAAGATAGTATATTCATGGGAATTAGTCTGCACGTAGTTGTTTTTGATGGACGTATGCTAGGTCACTTAGAGTCGCGTGTGATGGATCAATACAGAGACCTACGTATTTGTGTATTACTAAGATGCGTATTAAAGGGTATTTGCCCTCGTTTTTTACACGATTCTGGAATTTTTACTAATTTTTAATGTTATAGATGACCGTGGATTTTCTCTTTATTGTACGTCAGAGGTTTTTTTGCAAGACAAAATTTATGATGTGAAGGAGAATATGATCAAAACCTGGGCGGGGGCAAAATTTCGAAACATAAGAATGGTAAAAAAGAAGAACAGAAAAATCCAAGTAATCATTATAATCAATGGCTTAAAATACATTAAACGAATCCAAACCGCAAAGTTAAGGGCTTAATTTCTAACCAAATGATTCAAAATTAAGTTAGTCATTTACACTTTCAAATGAAAGAATAAGCAGTACTACAAATTTGTTAGCCATATTCCTAAATTTTGGCCAGAGCTATACTTGCCGCCCATATTAATGGGATTGGGTGCCGAAAAATTTTGGAAACTCGAAATTTTGAAAATTTTTATACCGATCGTTTCGGAATTAAGGAATAATTGTGGGGTGGGATGGCAAAACAATTTGACACGTAATTACATAAATCATTTTTATTATAAATCATATTACTCATTATATTAAATTTTTAAATTTTATTGATATTTATTATATTTATTAATAACGTAAAAATGGATGTAAAAATGGATAACGTTAACTTTGGCTCTACTAGCTCTATTTTCGATAACGTAAATCTTCATGCCAAACCAATGGACTCCTCCACTAACGGAATGGACACTAGACGAGGTAATTTTTAGCTGTTTATAAGAAACAGGAAAAAAAAATTCTTAAGTAATTCTCACTCTAGATCTGGGAGACAGGTGAAATTACTTATCAGCACCAAGACCAAATCTGTCAATGGATAACTATAATAGAACACAATCGCGACAGGCAACCAACAACAGTCAACGTTTCCTGGAAATCAAACCAGGGAAGGATTATAAGCCCTGCATTTGGTGCATAAATTACAACTTGCAGTTTGGAAGACAGGGAAGATTTATGTGCACTCCGGCAGATGAACGACCATTATCTTCTTCCTCGGATTAGTATGGAAATGTGATTCCGAAAATAGAGCATTGGGAGTTCGGGAGCTGCTCGGAGATGAATGCCTGGACCTCTTTATGCCAGTGGAGACCAGATCTCCAAATCAAGTCTCGAACAATATCAGCATACAAAAGAGAAATAAAGGAACCATGCAAACATTGCAAAGCTATTCAGAATTGGTTGATGCATTAAAGAATGATCGTGAGTTTCATGAATTCCATAAATCTACAGATGAGTGGCTAATTGATCAAGAAAATAAAGAATACTTCAAGAAAACATATGATATCACCAATATTCACCCACTGTTTGTAGACCAATATGGAATGACTGTTCTGTTTTTAGATGATCGTGGTATTTTATTTGCATGGTGCGAAATGACAAAAGACACTGGATATCTTAAGAATTAATAACATGGAGGGTCTCGCGAACTACCTCTACCACCCAGAAAAGGTGCGTGCCATTATGGAGGACACCGGTGTAGAGTGGAACTTAAACGTCGCGTAAAGGAAAAGAGGGCAAAGGAGAAGTTGGAAAAGGAAAAGTTGGCGGAGAAAAATAGGGAAAAAAGGTTGGTAAAGAAAAAAAGGTTGGCAGAGAAAAAGCAAAAGTGATATGGGCGTTTCACTGTAAAAAATACATGTTTTGCCATTGATCTTTCTGATCTGTATGATCTTCAGGTTATTAAAACTATATTCTCGGTTGGTTATTACCATTATCACGTGATCTTATGCCTTGTTTTTTTACGTGTCTTGGATTTTTTTTTTGCTGAACATTATTGTATACAGTATATGTGAGATGTGCTTTGCGATTTTATTGTACTAAATAACAATATTAAAAAATAAATTAGCTTGTTTTCACTAAAAAACCTTACATTTTTATTTTCCGATAAAAGCCCGATATGGACAAAAAACTTTATTTAATGCTTTTTTATGTTTAAATAATAAAATCGCATTAAAGCCATTTTCTAAGAAAAATAAAATCATGTGTCCACATGTTTTGTCAAGAAAATTTTTATTAATACAGAAATAAAAGATTCAGGACTTTGCCCGTAGTACATGACGAAGTTTCTATGCTAGTGCTCTATCCTACAGAAAAATACAAATCCGGGACATGACGTCTATGCTATTGTACACGATTACTCCTGTTTTTCGAAATACCCTGAACCCGTTGTTTTTTCATTACCGGTTCTCTCTCAACATCCACCCTATCCTTCAATAATCCAACAATAACCTCCATCACCCGCTTCACATTTTTATGCAACTCCTTTTCTTCCTCCGAACCTTCTTTCAAAGCAGACTCGCTGAATCGGATATTGAGCGGATTTTTACTCGTGCATGAAATACCATCCGATGCAAATAAGATAAAATACCATTCCTAACGATCCCATAAATATAGTCGTAGTCATCCCAAGTGCTTCGCCCGACTTACGCTTTCTCTTATTTTTATTCACCTGTAATGCACTTTCACATTGGAAGCGAAACCCATGACCACGTTGAACAACTTTCCTTCCGTGATACAAATTAATTCCTCGAGGGCCCTGATTGCGAAATCTACACGTCCGGTGTTTTCTTCGAACTGGGGGACCAAGGTAAGTTCTTTTTTGTGACGATATAGAGCGAAGCGTGAAGAATGGCCGAAATATATTCACACCGCATAGCTTCGTTGCTATCAGCAAGTACGGTTCCCATATTCCCCAACCGGCGCTTTACACATTGTAGCAATTCCTCATCATCATCTTTGAGTGGATAGGTTGCTTAGAATGGAATGAAGAGTTAGCAAACACTCTCACATACTAATTCATGGTTAATAAGACAGACCTACTTGGTGAAAATTGACGGATTGTGCCTATCCCATTACCATCAACACCATGCTTCGCTAGCACCTCTTTCAAGTCATTCTGGGTCTTGTATGTGGAGAATGAGCGCTTCTTTTTCTCCTTACACTCCTTAGCCGCTTAGCGAAGTCCGCAAGCCTTGTCGCAAGTCCTCCCTTCATACCATATTCTCGAAATCTTTGCTTGTGGTCTTGAGAAAGTTCCGGCCATTAACCTCTTCATTTTCTAAAATTTTGAGAGCTTCTTCGCTAAGCCTTAAGTCCTGTTCCTGCAAAAAAAGAGATAAGTCTAAGCTGTATCATATTTTTTAACTTCGTCCAGTGGAGGCAGGTGTATTAGTTTCAGACATAGCGAATATTTATACGTGTTTTAGCTCGGATAAAAAATAGTGTTACGTTCCGGAAGGATAAAATTTTACTTCTGAAAAAGCGGAAAAAGCGTTAATATATGTTTTTATGTCGCACAGGCATTGCATCATTGCATGTGATCCGTTTCTCGATTAGATAATACTTTTATTTATGAAATAAAAAACGTTGCCCGAAGCGACAACTAATACATAAAAAAATGACACAGAGAAAACACTGCTTACTATTGAAGTGTTTGAATATTTAAATATATTATAATATAAATATCTTTTTTAGTAGGTTGCTTGGGGAAATGATCAATATATCATACATCGGAATCAACGCCCGTCCTGTCTACGCTTTGCAGTACTCCTTCAGCATTAACCGATGCTATCACTTTATCTGAATTTAATTCAATCCCACGGATTTCAAATCCAATAATTGGAATATCATCGAATCGGGGTTTATGTTCTTTTTAATTTGCGATCCGAGAAAATGGACAAATTCTTCGTTGTTAATTTTGATTGTAACAACATGCTGTTGTGTGATTCCCAACCGAATCGCTAGGAACAGCAAGACAATTAAGCTTAATTTCTGGCATTTTGCTTTTCCTAAATATAAAGACCCATAGTGAATAAAATTTCGTTCGTATGCAAAAATACTTCGAATATAATAAGTATACTGTATAATAAGTTACATACCCGTAAATTTTGCGGGAAAGTTGAACCGAAAACATAGGGATAAAAATAATCTCACATTAAAGAAATATTTTACAACTGAATATCCACTTTTGATATATTAAATCATATCTTAGATATTATAATTATAAAATTTATTTTTCCATTTTCTTTCATCTGCTCATGATCTTTTCTCTATCCACTTATACATGCTGATTTACTTTATAAACTATCAAGGAGTGGACTTGTCATTTTTCTATAGATTTCGCCCACGTTGAGCTCTTTTTATTAACTTTATGTATTTGTGTTATAAGTTTGGTGTGGGGTGTGACATGTAACCGTGTATCGAAAAAAAAAGCTATATTGATGTTTGCTATCAATTAGATATGATGTCATATGATGTCGAAGTATAAGAGAGATCTTGCAATAAAATGAATCGTTGATAAATTTAAAAATTAGATATATAATCCTTATGTAAATATAATATGTTGACGAATAACCCCAGAGCAGCAGTGTGTCACGATAAAGCGATTTTTTTATTAAGATTTATTTTATATATGAACATATAAAAATCGTTATATTAAACATAAAAATTTCGATATAGCGATTTTTTTTCAGTGAATCGGAGAGTTCGTTATATCGGGTTTCGGGTTCTGACTATAATCATATTTCTTTTTATAAGCGTCTCCCAAATAAGATATTTGGCTTAAAAGTGCATCTTTTGGATCAATTCGAGTCGAACACCTAAGTTGTTTAGCAGGCAGGATGATAAAACAACATATTCTTAATTTTTCGCGTGCTTTATATCAAAAAAGGTTACCACCCCTGATAATCTGCAAATAAAGTGATACTATGCGTGTCGATGTGTCTTTTAAATATTAAGATGAAATAAAACTCAGGTCAGATGCAAATAATATATGCTGTAACACTATGAATTCAGCCGCATGAATGCGTTCATGAATTATATATATTCCATTTTCAGAAATTTTTTCTTTTATAAAAAATTAATCTCTAATACTGTTAACAACCTAAGTACTTTTAAACCGGAAATCTATAACTTCACTTTTATAAAATTTACATTTTTATAAAAATGTATCAAAAAATTGGTTCGGCCGCGGGCGAATAATAATAATGTAAGCGATGGTTACATGTACTCAGTAACACCTAATTAACATTTACTTGGCAGTTTCTTATAAATACCTCCGTTGATTAAAAAAACGTAATCTTTCTAATTCATTATTGTTACCTTCATTGAATGCAACTATCCATTTCCCTGTCTGATTCTATATTTTACTCCACATATTTCATCGACCGAATTTTTTTATTTAAACAATATATATTTTTGTTGATTTAGAACCGGTGGTTTTACTTACAATGGGAGATAGTAAATGTAGATATGGTATATGCGAGTGTCAACGTTATAAAGCACAAGCTGGGAAAGATGTATGTTTATTCTGCAGTCACAGTATTGGATTTCATGAAATTCCATTCTCAAATATAAATATTGAGGAACATCCGTACGGACAATGCCAAGAATGTCGTTATTGCCAAATTTACAAAGAAGGTACTCCTGATAAGTGTGTCTATTGTGGTCACTATCAAGGTTACCATCGTAGTTGGCCAACTACTTCAATTACAACATCAAGTTCTTCCATACTCATACCACCAACTTCATCAAATACAAGAAATTTTCGTAATGTTGGCAGACCTGTATCTGATAGTGTAACAATAAATCATTTAGTATTTCTTGATAAAGAATCATCAAATAAGATTCCAAAAAAAGGAACAGATTTATGGAATATTATGATGAATAAAGGACATATCAAAGAAAATGTTTCAATTTCTAAAGCTGATAATATATTAGACAAAGTCCGTAATTTATATGGAATAAACGATCAAAGAGTGAAATTGAAATTATATAGTCCAAAAGGAGGAAAACCAATCGAAATTAATGATGTGAGTAACAAAATTATTTTTCAAATTAAATTTTTATTCATTTATTAAGTTTGAAAATTTCTCTTTTTAGGAACTCAGTTTTGATTTGATTAAATCAAGTATAACTAAAGCAAATCGAAGATTATATATTGGTATGTAAAGTATATATGAATTAATATATATATAATTTCTTTTTTTTTATTTTCTTATATTAAATTAAAATTACTTTTTTTTTTAGGTCCTGATATCAATTCATCAATAAATTTGAATTTTTCATCTTCGAGTAATACGGATAATCTTGTTAATGGTGGTACATCTAGTGAAGAATACCTTGAAATAATTGAGAATTTGCCGCCCCAATTATTAAATAATAACAGTTTTGAGAATACTTATACTTTCTTTAACGGCACTTATTTTTAATATTAAATATTACCGTATTTAATAATTAATATTTTTAAGCCACTTCTTAATTTAATTGTTTACTCCGAAATTTATGTTATGAGCGGATGAATTATAACGTAATAATAAATTATAGATTTAAGGTTTTTATTTTAATAAGGACAATAACATATTTTTTTTATTTTTATTTATTTATTTATTTATTTATTTTTAAGTATTTTTATTGCCTATAAAACGTGTGGAGCCGTGAGAGGAGTCTAACGACAAGTTAGACAAGTACCATTAATCCTATTTATTAGCTGACCTTTTGTATTTTTAATTCAACATTCTTTCGTGTATACGATTTATAAAAAATAAGGTGCGACTAAAGGTGATAAAAATCAGCGAAAGTGCTTTTTGGAGATGATGTTAAATTTTTGTATAATCCGTACTTTAATACTTTAGTAATTAGATTGAAAATAATTATTGTCACGCGAGATTTCACGACATAAAGAACAATTACTCGTTCTATATCTTATATTGTTAAAAAGTGATAAAATTTATTCATCTTGTTTTACAAGATTTATACTAATATTTAATTAAATCTCGCGTTTCACAATATCATTCATGTCATCCCAAAGATGCATTGATGCATTGCGATTTCTCGCATAAATCTTAGATAAAAGAGAACGGAAATGCTTGAATCGGGAAAATCATTATATCTGGTGTTGATGTACCAGCAATGGTATTTTTTTTTTTTGGTAAATGAAATACTTTATTAATTATATGCTGTAAATCTTCCGGAAGAAATTAATTCGCAATATATATTTACTGCAATATAGGCTAAAGAGAATTCTAGAAAGAGCTAAGTTGTACAATTATCTTTTGCAAATTTAAAATCTGCATCTATAAAATTTATCTAAATATATACTAAGATTATCCAATATTTTGGTTTATGGGCACCGTTTTACTTCTTATCACGCTGTAACTTACACTTTATCATTTTATATGGACGGGCAAATCCTGAATAGTTTTTGCTTAAATATGAGCCATCTTTAAATGTTCTTACTCCGTACAAAATATATTACTGAATTTTTAATGTTAATAATTAAAATATTCTATTCAAAATAAATGCCAATTTGGCGAATGGTAAGATCATACAGAAAGTTAATCTGATCATGTGATATACGTAACAGATTATTATGTATACTTTTAAGGACATGCACCCCTTCGTGTTACTTTCTTGCCCCCATATATTGAGTTATATATAGAAGGATCATGAAAGGATGTCGTACAGAATCAAAGAAGGTGATATTTGATACGATAACATGCAAAATGACATAATGTATGTTAATTAAATGTCTAAATATAAATCTGAGAAAAAATCAAATCTGGGATAAAAACACAGATTTGAAGAGTTTAATCCCAGATGGTGATCAGACAAAGTCTGGGGGTTAAAAATACATGCATAAAACTTGTCATCTTATTATCAAAAAAAATACATAAATAAATCTAATAAATCAGTTGGAGAATTTTTTTCCTCAACAAGTAGAAGAAATTTTAATATACCTCTAAAGCGAATGATTAAAAAATTCGAACCATTATATTAGTCTATGACATTTATTATTTATTTTCAATGGCCAATAGGCCAACGATGACAAATTCGATTGAAATTGTCGTGGTTTCAGTTTTCAGTATTTCTTAAGATTAATTTCATTTTTGATGTTGCTTTCAAAATTTAATAAAACGAATGGCTCGGTTCATTTAACCGAATTTTGTAAGCGAATGACATTGAAAGTTTCGATAATCGAAGTTCGTTTTTTATAATTTTGTGCCGTTATTAACAAATATAATAATGGTTTCAATTAACTCATATTAACTATTTGTTACCTGTAGTTGTAACACCTAATCAACCATTAAACCCCAGATGACGAACCTATGTAGTACGACAGTTTTTATAAATTTACTCCTCAGTTCCCGTTATCACTCCTTTTGAATTTTAGTTGACAAAACAAAAAACTAAATAAAATTACATAAACGCATTTTATTTAAGTATTTCATATTTTATATTTACTTTTAGTATAATGGATAATAAATGTAAAAAACGGGGATGTCCCTGTCTACGCTATCGAGCAAAAGAAAACGAAAAGGATGAATGTGTTTTCTGTAACCATAGCATCGGATTTCATGAATTTCCATCTGTAAATATAAATGAACATCCGTACGGACGATGCAACGAAGATGATTGCGATTGTCAACGTTATAAAGAAGAAACTTTATATAAGTGTACTTATTGTGGTCATCCATTAGGTTTCCATCATCGTTGGAATCATGATAATACTCAAATTACTTCAATTGCTGTTCCAAGTTCTACCATTACCACACAAATAACACCGCTTCCACACGCAAGAAATATTAGTCGTAATGCCGGTAGACCTAGAACTGATAGAGTAACTATAAAACATTTAATATGCTTTGATAAAGCATTATCAAATAGGATCCCAAAAAAAGGGACGAGCTTATGGCTTAATTTGAAAAATAAAAATCTTATTAAAGAAAATATCAAAATTTTTAAAGCCACACCAGAAGAAATATACAACAATATTCTTAATTTGTTTAGTGAAGAATTAAATGGCCAAGGATGGATATTATACAGTGCAAGTTCTGGACAACCGATTAAGGTTAATGGTGTAAGTAACAAAATTTCGTTATTTCGAATTATATATTAAAATTATTAAAATCAAAATTTTATTTTTAGGAAATTAGTTTTGATTTGATTAAATCGCATACAACCAAAGCCATGAAAAAGCTATATATTGGTATGTATAGCCTCTCTTAATTTTCAAATTAAAGATTATTTAAATTTAATTATTTACTTGATTTTAAAATTAGGTCCTAGTGATTATAATATCGCCAATGATGATTCGAATTTATTACTACCTCAGGTTAATATGGATAATTCCGTTGATGTCGGAAATGCTGGCACTTCCGCAAACATGCAAAACATGCAAATTATTAATCTCCCGCTTCAGTCAAGTTCTGTTCCCGAAGTGGACGATTTCTTCAATGGATTTGAAGACGAGTTTGATAATTATATCACACTTCCTTCATCGTAGTGATTATTACTTCCACAACAAATCTCTATATCATTCAATACGCTCGTCAATCACATTTATAGACATTTTAAATATTTAGAAATTAAAACTTGAGAAAGGACTATAATTATTTAATTATATTGATGTAATTCATATCTTCTAGATGAAAGGACAATTTAATTATAATATAATTGTAATAATTTAAAAAAAATATTTTTTTTTTCTGCTTGTAATTTAAATTTCCATTATTCAAATATATATAGAAATCTTAAATCAAATTTACAAAATTTTGCTATAGATGCATTTAATGAATTGTTATCATTATTTGTATATATTTGTATATATTAATTTCTTTAAATCATCTTCTATTTGACTAAATAAAAAATTCTTAAGATTTTAAGAATTTCTATATTAATGATATTCTATCCCATATTCGCATACTTGAGACTTTTGATCCGGACAGGAGCTGAGCCATCTAAGCCGTGATTTTGAAGCTGATCAACGATAAATACTAAGAATCGATCACAATCAACTGGCCACTATTTTATTCTTCACTAAAATTTTCGATTTCAAATTTCTTTATAATACCCAATTTTTTATATTTTTCAATTACTTTCATATTTTCTTTTTTATTCTCAAAACTTTTTACGCAATATCCCTTAAGAATGAAAGAAAGGGATTTTCTTGGTATGCGATTTTTCCAATTTATAAAAAATTCCTCCAGTTCCTCTGGAAATATTTCTGATGGTCCATCATAAACGTAACATATTCTTAGTTCATTAAAATTTTTTGATGAATATTTTACCAAAATTTCCAAAAAATCCTTTTCATTTAAATATTCACCATCACACCAAACTCCAATGCTTTCTAAATATTGACAATTACTTAAAATTACTTTTAAAGTTTCAACTTCATCATCCTTAAATATTGTATATAATGATTTTAGATTTATACACAATTTAGCTATATTTAAATTTAACAAATTATCATTATTCTCCACATATAATTCTTCTAAATTCTTTCCGTTGATTTCTAAAAATTTAATTAAAATTTCAACTCTTGGACATTCATCTAAGAATTTTAAAACCTTTAATCTTGGAAACGTAACGTATTGTAATTGATCGAAATTATTTAAAAATGCTTCTTCGGATTTAAATGATAAAACGAGTTCTTGTAAGGTTGTAAAATTATCTATGAATGATAGTGGTACATTTTCTAAATGTGAACATAGGTATAATGTTGTTAATTCGATAGGATGTTTTGTTAAAGAAGGTATAATTTCGGTCCAACATACACCATCAGGATCTTGTATTAATTTTAAATGTTTTAGTTTTTTTTGAGAAGAAATTAGATTTTCCAATCCATCTGAGATGACATCTTTAAATTTTATAGTTAAAGTTTGAATTTTTTGACATATCTGAGATATTTCATAAAAAAATTTGTAATAAATATCTGAACTACAATACAATTCTGAAAGATTCTTTAAATACTCTTTTGTTCCGGAAAAACTGGAAAAATAAATATAATAATCACGTTCCGGATATCCTCCTGAATAATAATCCAATGATTTTAAGGATATAATTTGATTCATCATAAACATTTTTAATATTTCTTCCAATAATAAGTATTTTTTAGATTTTGCAATCTGTTGATTTTCTAGAACATATTCAATCATTTGATCAATTTTACGAATTGAAAGAACTTTGCAATATGATGCATAATTGTACAACGGAGGTTTACAAGTTGGTGTCGCAATAAAGATTCCATTCTTACATAAAAGATTTTTTGATCTATTGGGAAGACAAGCGACTAGAGTACTGAGAATTCGTGAAATTACATCCACTCGATTACTATATTTAAAATTCCAAATATTTCTCCATAAAATTCCAACAGAAGCTTCACGCCATAAGCGATTAACTAATAAACATGAATGCAAAGTAAATTTATCTTCTTCCAAGTTTTCAAATATTTTATTAAGGCAATCATAAATAAGTTGACAAGGCATCTTGTTTATTTTTATAGTATAATATTTTTAAAGTTTATATAAAATTGTAGAAAAGAGAAGAAAAGCGATATCACTTATTTTAGGATGAAACAATGTATGAATGAATTTAGCTTTGCTACGGGTCTTTTTTTAAATGCTTACAGATTTTATAAGTTTATACCACTTTGTTGGTTTTTACAAATTTGGGTATGAAAATCTTTTTACATAAATAATGAACGTCATAAAAGTACTATTGTTGCGGTGGAGTTTACCGAAACAGTTCTCTCTCGAAATTACGATTAAAAATAGAACACCTTCCTAGATTCATTTTTTTTTTATGCATAATAATAGAAGAATTTTCCGAAATATTCCTTTTGATTTATTACATAACAACGTTAATTTTTATTAATAATGTTGAGTAAATTTGATTAATACTACGCGCATAGATACTGTACAAGATCTACACGTTATTTACAAATAATAGCTGCGCGCGTTCACTAAAATCGCTACGCCAATGGCATTTCAGCCAATCATTAACCTCCGTCTTTCCCAATTCCGAATTTTGAATCGGAGATTTTATCCCTCCCTTTCATCGTTGTTTAAAATTTGACGATGATTATTCTTTTTAGAAAAGTTTTAATTTAGTCTGATTAGAACTCCACATTTTTTCTTTCACATTTAGAAACATAGATTATTGTATAACATAATCTAGGCTATATTGTAATAGGGTCGATTCCTTTTTAAGAATATAAATATTTAAACCTTCATTTAAGTAATAAATTGTATAAAATATGTTTTATGAATCCTTTTTTTTTCAAAAATGGTATTGTATGATCTGTAATACTAGCCAACACTTTATGAAATTCGAATCCACTACTTCAAATTTTGAACCCTGATTTTAATGAAACAATTCATATTGCATTAAATTACGACTAACAGTAAAGAAACATCGCGAAAATTGCACTTCAAATACTTCAAATCTTAATTAATTTACTATTAGACTTTTGTGTCACCTCTTTAATTGGTTAGAACACATAAAAAATAGTCATTATATGATTATATAGCATTTATATCTATATGCTGATGTTGATCACGTTTTTCTTGCATAAGTTGATTACATGATTGCATTGAAATAATAACGTTTTTGTGACTTTATATTCATAATTTTTGTCTCATGCCTTGTGCAAATCTTGAAAACATTCATTAAAAATTACAATTTATCTTTGACAAGAATGAAACGAAAATAAATCACAAAATATTATTTTTAGTCCCCAAAATTTTTATTTATAGTCTATATGGGAGAAATTTACTGTCTATAGGAAAGGAATATGAATAAAGGATTTAGCATTAGATACAAGATAATGTGACTTCAATCTTAATAACAAGGGTTATGTAGGTTATGTGAAAAAATTTTGAGGTAATTACGCGGTCTTGGCTTAAATTCCCCATACTTCTAGGACCTCGCTCTCTTGAAATTTGAAAACATTATTTATTTATTTAGTTCGTCAACTCTGTACAAGTGCCTGAACAAATTTCATGACGCGCGTGACGTACGAGATGTTGTTTGAACAGTCAGATGACCCTTCATTGATTATCATATGAATTCTTTCCCTGGTACGTACTAATTGACATCTGTGATCATACCCCCTAAATCCCTAAATATGGTATGTGGCAAAATTTTGTAATCATATGTAATGAAAATCTTGTACCCAAAATTTAAGACTTTTGCTTTTAGATCCGAAATTTTTTTTTATTGATTTTTTCCTGATTTTTCGTATAATTAAGTTCCTTTTTTCATTAAAGAAATATGTTTGTGCCAATGGCTGAGCTTCCAAATAAAACGTGTATCATCTAATATCTATATAGTATAAAAGAGCATAATTTCTACGTTGCGAACAATAAAAAATCATTTTTACATACTATGAAATTTGGAAAGACTTTATTAAGAAATCAAATTCCAGAATGGTCAAGGTAAATATAAATTAATTATTAGTAACTTTGTTATCAATCGCGTTTATATTTTGAGAATTTTATTTTTTATTTTATTTTATTTAATTATTAGAAATTATATTTCTTATAAAGTTTTAAAAAAGCTCATAAATAATGCTGCTAAAGCAGACGAAACGGCTGTTGAGGATGTTGTAATAGGTATTATTATTTAATTTAAAATCTTACATGTTCCTTCTTTAAAAATCCTTTGATTTTAACAATAATTATCATCAATTAGGTTTCTTTTTTGAAGTTGACCGTGAACTTGAAAAAGTAAACAACTTTTTCTTGTATAAACGTACTGAAATGGAACGTCGGTTAAGAACTTTATCGGAAAAATATCGGTGCTTTAATATTTCTATTCCAAATAGTCCATCTATTATTAACATTAACCCAATTGACAGTGGAGTCAATGTACCTGGACTAAGCGCATATATCAACCCTAATTTTGATCCATATGCTGATGAAGAGTTTTTGGTTGTGATAAAGGAAACTAAAGATCAAATTCATAAGGTTCTTCGTTTTGCTGATATGAATAAGAAAGGATTTATCAAAATTCTAAAAAAGTAAGAAATATTAATATATATATTGTATTTTATTTTGTTTTATTAAATTGACTTTTTTGGTTTATAGATTTGAAAAGAAGCTAGGAAGACAGGTTAAAGATCGTTATTTAGAAACAAAGGTTTGTAATTATTATTGTTCGGACTTCGGAGATAAGAATGAGAATTCGGAGGAAAAGCATATAAATGAAATTTCGGATTTCATTTATGAATCTTGAAACCATATCATTAAATGCCTTATTATATGCAGAAAGAAAGATCTCATATTTTATTATTTCATTCGTAGGTAAATATACTTCCGTTTGCATCGAGCTCATTATTTACCGAAATGCTGGATTCCATCGAACATTGGATTCAAGAAGTTCATCGTCGAGTGGCAGATTATAAACAACATGTTCATCAAGATAACGAATTCACAACAAAAGCTCGTCTTCGTCGGATAAATTTGACCGAAGAACAAGATAAAATATTGTCGAATTCAATTTCTGATGATGATGCAGAAGCCCTTAAAGATTTGATAAATCAACTAGCATCAAACTTAAATAATAAAAAGGACTCAAATATATCGTCTATTCAAATATCACCTATAAAGAAGGTATATTCATATCTACATATTTTTTTCATTTTATTTTATTTTATTTATTGATATTTTTTTAATGTCATTATTAGACTTTAACATCGATGCTTTACAAAGCATGTAATTCTCGAGCTATGAGATGTATAAAATTACTTCTCAATTCCGGAGCCAGTATACACGAGGATGAAGATATCAATGAACGTTCATTGATTCATAAATTAGTGATTCATGGTGGTAAATTACCGAAGGATAAATCTTCTTCGACGAATAGCAACGTTATTGGTTTAGAAGGATCACAAATGACATATTTTGCTACAGTATTTCACATGCAAAAAGATTTCAAAAGTATCTATTCTAAAACAAACAATGTTAGTGAAGATGTAAGTTTAATATCCTGGATTCTTGAACATATTCCTCAAATAGAAAATTCAAAGGTTTCATTTAGAGATGCTTTTGGTAGAAGTCCTTTGCATTATGCTGCCATTAATGGATTTGAAAACTGCACCAAAATACTTTTGGAATTTTTAATTAGAACCGAACAATTTCCTTTACAACAAGGGTTCAACGATCCTTCCTGGTTCGATAATGATGGGTTTACACCGCTACTTTATGCAGTCTTATGTGGGCACACTACGGTGGTGAATTGTATTATTAAAGCGGGCAAAATAAAAAATGTCGATGCTATCAGTAACGGTATGTAAGAATAATAAGAATAATAGAAAACAGTCTTTCGTATTTAAATTTATCAACCACTTATTATTTAGCAGATGATTCGTCTTCGGTCACCACCGTTAGCCCTGCTTTACCACATAATATTTCGCATAGTCATACGCAGACTCCACTTGCTATAGCTTGTAAATTTGGTCAAACTGTAACGGCAAGACTTTTACTCGCATATGGTGCAGATCCTGATATCCAGGATGAGGAGGGAGAAACTCCATTACATTTGGCTACTCGTAATGGATTTGATGATTGTGTGAGATTATTAGTTGGTTTAGATGATTATAAAGAAGAACATTATACAGAAGAACATCAAATATTATCTGATGATATCAAAATTATTCTCAAGTCTAATTTAAAAAAAGCAAATACAGAAATCAAAGAAAATTTTTATGGATGGACTCCTTTATCTTTAGCAGGTGGGATATATTTATAATTTTTGGAAAAATAATTCATAGTAGTAATAATAATAATTACAACAAAAAAAAAAATCAAATTTTAATCAATTTAACATTTAAATAGCTGTGGAAGGCCATATTGCATGTGTCAAAACGTTAATACAAGCGGGCGCTGATCCTAATGTAAAGGATAACTCTGGCTGGACTCCACATATACACGCAGTGTTTCGAGGATATACTGCAGTTAAAGAAATTTTACGTCCTCTAACCGCGTTTCAAGAACCTAGTCCACTTTTTTCTACAGAGATTAGCAAGAATAATTCAAAATCATTTAACAAACCTGAAGGGGCATCAGCTGAATTGGCCTATGGTCATAGATATTTACAAGATCAATCTTTGATTCTTGTAACACTTGGAAATACCGATACGCGCAATAGCGTTAGCCCTGTAGACCTTTATAATACTTATATTTCATCAACTTCCATTCCGGTGACTTCAGTTTCACTTGTTGTTTCTACTAAGAATGCGACCGGGGAACCAGCAATTATTGACCTTCCAATTAATAACACATCCGCCATTGATCCGATCATGTTTTATTCATCTGATATAGATGAGGTTATTTTGACTTTCGACCTTATACCCACTTATGAGACAAAAAAACAATTTATTGGACGTGCAACTGCATTGCTTTCGTCCGTAAAAACTTCTTCAGGTCCACAACATAGTTCCTTAATGGGTTCCGTTACTGTTCCAATTCTTAGTAAAGATTCACTAGATGTAATTGGAAGAGTAGTTTTTGAGTTTTTAATTATAAAACCTTTCAAACACGAAAACCTTGCTGTTGGTAGTAAACACACGTACTGGACTTCCACAAAAGTTATTGGACATCGTGGATCTGGTATGAATAGAATGGAGACTCCTAATTTACAATTAGGAGAAAATACGCTCATTAGTTTCATTACAGCTGCATCACTTGGAGCAGAGTATGTTGAATTTGATGTTCAACTTACTAAAGATCATGTTCCAGTTATTTATCACGATTGGACTATTACTGAAACCGGATATGATATTCCAATTCACGCCATTACTCTTCAACAATACCTGAAAATCAAACAACAGTTTGTATCTGAACAATTTTTGGTACGAGAACATAATATTCGTAAAGAATTCCAACATCCTTCCGATAATAATGATGGTAAACGAAATGAGAATCGAGAAAAAAAGAGAAGATCTCATAGCGTACCTGTTAATACTTTTGTTCCTTCAGAAAAGAAGGAGGGGAAATTAAAAGGAAATAGTGATGGTACCATTCAGGCACCTTTTGCGACTTTAGTAGAAACATTTAAGGTAAATTGAAATAATTTGTATTTATTACAACCCAACAAATATTAAATAGGTTTTTTTTTAATAGCAAGTGCCGATTCACATCGGGTTTAATATTGAAGTTAAATATCCAATGATAGACGAGGCAGAAGCAGATAGTTTACCAGCATATCACACCGAATTAAACCTTTTTGTAGACACAATCCTTCAGTGTGTATATGATCATGCTCAGGAACGTAATATTATATTTTCATCATTTCATCCTGATATATGCCTCATGCTGGCTTTTAAACAACCAAATTATCCAGTATTTTTCTTAACTGATTGTGGTGAGGAAAAAATGGCGGATGCAAGATGCAATTCTCTTCAAGTAGCAATTAGATTTGCCAAATTTGCAGATTTATTAGGGATAGTGACTAAAAGTGTTCCTATAATTGAAGCGCCAATATTAGTAAAGACAATTAAAGAAACGGGATTATTACTCTTTACTTATGGGTCCATGAATAATGATGTAACCAATGTACGATTGCAAAGAAAAGCTGGTGTAGATGCCGTTATTGTGGTATGTATAATTGTAAAATTATTTTATTTTATTTTTTTTTTCTAAACTAAATCAATTTAATTTTTTTAGGACTCAGTGTTGGCCGTAAGAAATGGGCTTCAACAAAATGATTAAATCATTAAATATGTACATAATTAACATTAATGATGAAATTAGAATGTAAAAAAATAATTAATTTATTAAATAGATAATTATTTCTTATATTTATTTGTCCTGGTTTTTTTTTGGATTTATACATCATTTTCAATGGAACTACCTAAAAATCTATTGGGGTATAATTTAACCAAAATATTTTAGAAATATTTTAAATTAATCCATTTAAAATTCATTGACGCCACTTTAACACAAGAATTCAAATTACTAACATTTTTTTGGTTTAATTATCTTTGGTTCCAACTTAATGCCACGTTACAAAAGCACGTGATAAACTAATATAATTGATTACATGAATTATCACCAATAAAAACGAATAATTTCAGTGTAACTGAAGATTAATTTTTTTATTGGTATATTAAAATATTTTTATTTTGAAAACAAAATCAAATAAATTTCGCGCTCATTCTCTCTTCCACTTTTTTTTTTTTTAAAAAAAAAAATATATACCCTTTAAATCTTTAATTCTAATAATGGAAACATTAGCATTACCTGTAGAATGTCTTACAATTATATTCGAAAATTTGAGTTATGAAAAATTAGGAGTAAAAAACTACAGTTTTACTATATTACATTCGTGTATTTTAGTAAATAAAATTTGGTGTGCTACGGCTATTCCAATTCTTTGGAGAAATCCTTGGAATTGGTTAATAGAAGGATTATATTTAAATAGGTTAACATTATTAACAGCAACATTTATATCATGTTTACCAAAAGAAATTAAAAATATGATAACAAAAAATCATATTAAAATGAAGAAATGGATGAAAAATGGAACAAGTTTTGATTACCCATATTTTATGAATGGACTTGATTATTCATGGTTATATTTTTCAATTAATATATTTCTTAAAGAAAATTTCAAAATTAGAAAAGAAATTTTTAAAAATGAATATAAAACAATTCTTTTAAAAGAACTTTGTAAATTATTTATGAAAAGAAGTTATAATTTAAATCAACTTAATTATAATAATCAATATCAAAAAAGATATGATTATTATAATAAAATAAGGGTAGATGATTATATAAATTTAATATATTTACCAGGAGCAACACAAACACTTTATAATTTAAAAAAATTTTATATAACAGGATGGATACCATCAGAAATTATTTTTGGTATATCAAAAATTTGTAAAAATATTGAAGAAATTAGGATAAATAATTTTCATATAGATGATGATGAAGAAATTATAATAACACTTATTCAAGAACAAAAATTTTTAAAAAAATTTAGTTTTGAAATAAAATTTGAAGATAAATTTATAGAATTTTCATTTTTAAGATTTGAAAAAATTTTAAAATCAAAATCAAAAAATCTTGAATTATTAAAATTATCACCAATTTGTTTTTGTATGGATACTTTTATTGAATGTTATAATCTTAAAGAATTAAATCTTATAGATGAAAGATTACAATTTAATGAAAATATTTTAGAAAATTTTTCAAAAAATTCCAAATTATCAAAACTTTTAAAATTAGATATTGATATAAATTTTATATCATTTAAACAAATTTCTTCATTAATTAGAAATACAAATCATAATCTTGAAATTATTACAATAATTTGGTTAGAAGGAATTGATGAAATAGAATATTATAAAATTTTTATTGAAACTATTATATTTAATTGTCCTAATTTAAAAGAATTTTATGGAAAATTTGATTATAATTATATTCCATTACTTTGTAAAAATTGTATTCATTTAAAAAAATTACAATTTAAAGATTTTAATATATTAGATTTTAGTAAGATATTAAAACAAATTGGTGATGTAATACCTATTAATTTATCAAAATTTTATTTACCTTTATGTTGGAATTTTAATAGTGATTCTTTAGAATATTTTCTCAAAAAATGTTTAATTAGATTAAATAATCCTTTATATTTTAATATTTATGAGGGTGAAAAACATGAGAAAATCATCAAAAGTTTTAAAGAATTAAATGTATTAGTAAAAAAGGATGATATCTTATATAGTATAATGGTATAAAAAGTAATATATTTTGATATAATATATTTGATATTAGTAATATTTGATATTTATTAATAATAAAACATTATAATCCGAAGCGTAAGCAGAGGACTTATTTATTAATTTATTAATATAAACAAAAAAATTTCAAACGAAATATTGAAAAATTATAAGTCATATGATAATATAAACTAATAAGTACATGCACTTTGGGTCCCCCCAGTTCCCGTTAATACATAGTTCGCGTGGCAAATTAAGAGATGATCCCAAATTCCCAAATTCGTAGCATTGATTAAAAAGTCAAATGATACCACTATTATTAATCTGACATAGTTTATCTTAGTTTGAACCATACATTTTCCGAAGTCTCTTTCATACACATTTATGTAATAAATGTAAACGATTTTCGAAATTATTGGGATTGTGGGCTAAAGTGTACGTATAATAACATACTGTTCAAATACTGATAGGAGGCGTAAAAAATTAACAAAGATAGATAATAATTCCTTCTTAGATTGCACCATACATTTTTCGAGTTCTCGTTAAAAATTCACACGCAATTATGTAATGAATTAAAATGATTTGTCCTATTATGCATTGTAATTCTCAATGTTCAATGTTAAAAGGAACTTTTATAATCGGTTAAACATTTTTGGAAAACAGGACTAAGGGAGGATTAAGGTATCAAAAATATAATAAAAATGTAATTTCCTTTTTAGGAAAAAAACCGGTAAAAAACAACAACGACGACGAACCTCACGCTTTGATTTTCTTTTTACAAAGAATTTTGATTATAATGTCCTTGTTAGTTTTGTTAGTTGTTGTTTACCTTTTTGCCACGCTTACCGCAATAGTGTTTGAAATGGAAGATAATCTGATTTGTTTCCGATCTTTTGACATCATGCATGAATTCGTTTGACGTTTTTGTTTTTCATTGTATTTTGAGACTTAAAAAAGTAATGTCTTTGTCTTCGATTTCTCACAAGCCACGGTAGTACAAATGTGTTCAATTTACCTGTTTAACATTTTTAACAATAATTTTGTCAATCAGTTATAAAAAATTTAAAAAATTAATTTTAATATATTTAATTTTCTTAAAATCGAATCATTCTTTTATGTTAATCAATCATATTTAAATGATATATGTAAAATGTATAAATGTGTACCCATTATTACTTGATTTGCAAACTAAAAGTAGTTACTGTAATTTCTGTAATTACATTTCTGTATCACAACCACTCGAAAAGTAAATAGTTCAATTCCCCTTATTTGGAAGACAGCATTCACTAATGATCATTTTCGGAAACTTATGGTAACAAAGATAATAAGGTTTATTTTTTTTTTTTTTAATGAGTGAAACGCCCAATTGTAATTTAGAAACGGATTTGCAAAAAAATTATATAAATGTACAGTACATGGAATTTTACTTTATTCTACGAACAAAGGATTAAGTTTCATTTTTTTTTCACTTTTTTTCGTTGTTGTTTGTCGCCATCCTTACCTCCTTCCCTCCCTATCATCACCTCTTCTCTACCCCTTTATTTCCTTAAAAAAGGTGTGATTTTATTTTATCCTTATTATTTATATAAGTTGGTTGTCTTTGAACTTTAATTTTTTCATCTGAGAGAATTGAAAGCTCTGGCAGCTAATCATTAATATTTTGATTCTCTTATTCAAATTTTCCATTTACTTTTTTCATTTTTTCTTCAATTTTAACGAGTTCAAAGAAATCATAAAACACACCTTTTCTCTTTGAAAAATACATTAACACTCATTTTTTTTGTATTTTTCTTTTATCCTACATTTTTTTTTATCTCTTCTATCAAAAAATCGAGAGCATAATGTATAAATTAAACATTATCATAATATTTTTCTTGTGTATAGCCGCAATTTTTACAAACGCTGCACCTCTCAATACAGTACCACAAAATCCCTCATCATCATTAACGGCACGTTCAGCGTTAAATCTTAATTCAGATGCGTCAGCTATATATCATGCTAAAAAAAGAAGAGGTATAATAATTCCTGAATTGGACTTATCAGATTCTGATACGATTAGACCAAAGATTATTAAGAACAGAATGATAAAAAGAAATCCCATTAATTATAATGCTGCTAATCATTCTACAAAAGATGCTGTTTCTCAAGAAAAACGAGCTCAAGACAAAAAACGAGCTCAAAAGAAAGAAAGAAGGTCTATCGTTTGGAAAGTTGATGAGAATATATTATTCAAGAGAAATGAAAAGTAATGGTTAATAATTAAGTTTCTCGTGATTTTATGAAAGGAAATGATATTTTCCTTTTGTATAGTAATGAATGAGATTACCATCAACAATACCATTAGTCCAACCATATACAATTTGGATTTAACGAGTCCATTACCAAACATCACGACTTTTGGATTTGGCGACAATAAATTACGACAACGACAACGACAACGACAACAACAACAATTTTCATATACATAGCATTTACATACACATCATTTTTGCATTTCATCATCATCATCATTCATCATTCATCATTTTGCATTTGTATCATATCCATAGATTTCTCTTCCTATAGATTCCATTAATGATTCTATACATTTTTAGAATTAATACATACATTGTAAACTTCCTGTATAGTTTTGTGATTACTGTTGTAAAGGTGAAGAATTTGTTCATAAGTTTTATGAATAGTTAAATAGTTGAAACTTTTTTCATTTGATTTTTTTTTTGTTTTATAAATCGAGTAAATATCTTTTTATTTTTATTCTTCTTTTTTGATAAAAGTCACAAAAAAAAAAAATCATTATTTTTTTTCATATTTATTTTTTTATTATTTCTTTAATCTTGTATAAAGCAATCACAAAAAAGATTGAATAAAAATTAAGATTAACATTTTTCAAAAATATTGAGCGAGTATATTAACAGTATAATTAATTAATTAATGCGTGATTATCGTTTGATATGAGTGTTATTAACAGTATAATTAATTGTATATATGCATATTGTCGAGAGGAAATAATACGCATATTGTCGAGTGTTCTTAACATACAATTAATTGTATATAGGAAATAATACGCATATTGTCGAGTGTAGTATAATTAATTGTATATAGGAAAATAATCCGTGTGTTATCGAGTGTTATTAACAGTATAATTAATTGTATATAGGAAATAATACGCATATTGTCGAGAAGGAAATAAACCTCCGATGTCCGATACTGATCTTTTATTGAAGTAATCCAATTAATTGATTATTTTTTCATTAAATCATATTTGATAGAAGAATCTTATCGAATTCAAGTTCTTTTACACAAGATAATGTAAATAATGGCAAATATTTTTTTTATTATTGAAAATCCTAGTTTACCATAAACATTTCACATAATATTTATTACCTAAAAAAAGTATAAAAAATCAAATTGAATAGATTTTATTGGATTAAAAAAAAAATTTCTTGATTTCTATTTTTAGAGGGATTTACATATTAATTATGTATAATTACATAAAAAAATTTAAGGTTATTTATTTAGTGTATCGTTTTTATATAACTAACTAATCTATCAAGTACCAATCGAGTTTGTTCTTGATAAACACTATCTTTATAATGTACAGCATCACCTGAATATTCACATATTGGTTGGGTGGTTCCAAAAAAATCTAATAAATCTATATTATTGTAACCATCTTTTTGACTTTTATCAACATATTTCTTTAATAATTCATTAACTTTTGTTATCCTAAAATTATTTCTTATTAAATATTGATTTTTATAATATTCTGGTATTTTATTTATATTAACGACATTAGTGGTAATAAATGTAAGTTTTTCTCTATAATTCGCATCATGAATTTGCTGAAATATTTTTTCAAGATATTTATCATTACTCTCAACATTCCATCCTGGAGTATGAGATCCAATAGATATAAATGTATAATCTGCTTGTTTTGTTGAACAAATATTTTTTGAACTAATAGTATTTGAATCACATTGTATATTTTCCATACATTTATCATATTGTTTACAAGATTGTTCAAATGTGTTACTTAATAAAGTTTCCAAACTATAATTACTTTCCGGAAAATACCATTCATAAGTTAAATAAATTTCTCTTGGACGAGGATCTTTTTCTCCAAGAAAATCTGTTTGTGTATAATTTGCTTTGCAAAAGTATTGGGTATTTTTACTCTTATTTTGACCATCTTTTATCGCAATACATGAACCTCCTATTTTACCTTGAACTTTATTAAATAATCTTCTTGTATTTGAATCTCCCAAGAATCTTATCCAAGTATATCTAAAAGGTAAATTATTATAATCAATAAATTTTGGATATCCTTTGTTAAAAACTTGGATTTCTAAAAAGTTCTTATCAGGATTTTTTGGTATAATACAATTATATGGTATAAATTGTGAAAGATCTCCAGTCCATCTTCCTCTCAATATGGAAATATCAGAACATGAATCAGGTAATTCAGGTTTTAATCTATCCCATAGAGGAGATTGTTCAACTTTAAATGTGAAACTTCCATTTACAATAACACGATCAATTATTTTTACTTTTGGAGATAATCTTGGATCTGGTATTTCATCAGATTCGAAAGAATAAATTTCTGTATAATCATAAAATGTTAATCGTACTTGTACTTTATAATCTCCCTGATCCATTAATGGGGCTTCATATACGAGAACTGATGAATTTGAGGATGAAATTAATTGTGGTGTAAAAATTGTTGTTCCAGTTATTGTAACTCTAAAGAATGTTGATTCTAATTTATTTGCTAATGATGGATGACTATTGTAAAAAAGAAAGTTCATAATTAGTTAGAGCTTAGAGGTTTAAACGTGCTGATGCACTATACGTATACTTCTTTGACACTTTCGTGTTACTGTATATATTGTGTTACGTCAAAGTAATTTTTGCGTAAATGTTGTAAAATTTTACAATGTTAAACTTACCGAGGTTCTATTATAATTCGAATAATGTCCATAACTTGATAAACCGCCTTTATTTCTAATTAAAAATAAAAAAAGATAAAAATATGAATAAATTATTTTTTGAATTATCGAATATATATATATATATATATTTATATACCATCAAGTTTAACGCGAAATTTATATTCATGATTCTCAGTAAATAATGGGTCAATCTCGACATCATCATTTACATTTGTTATAGGAATAGTAGGAACAGGGGGAATAACGGGAACAGTAGGGATAGTTGGAGTATTTGGCGTAGGAAAGACTATTTCATATGTTATTTCAACAAAATATTTATAACATATTAACAATCCAATTATAAATAATAATGGTATAACTCTTTTTAATAAAGCTCCTTTTGTATTTTGATGAAATAATGGTGAAATTATTTTAGGGTTAAGCATATTTTATGATTGAAAAGAAGGAGGGAGAATATATATATATATATATATATACAGGGATATTCGAAAGTTTAAAAATAAATATGAATATTTTGTGTCTTTTCCTAATAAAGATTGTTAATAAAAAAGAGTGTATTGTTTTTTAACGAAAATATTTCAGCTAATTGCAAAACATTGATATTTTAAACGCATCTTATATAAATTGTTGCCCGACGAAATACACGTGACTTTTTGTTAAAAGCCCACTTGTGTAAAAATCATGAACTATGTAAAATGTACAGAAAAGTCAATTGTTATGAATTACACGAAATAACTAAACTAAACTTTATAATAGACAAGGAAATTATTATGCATTTTATGCATTTCTATCTTAGATATACTGTATCGTATCTATAAAATATTCTGTATTTGGTCGTTTCCTAAATTAATGCGACAACGTAAAATATCAAAAAAACTATAAATCTTTTATGCATATTGCCGAATACACAACGTATTTATTATTGTTCCCTTGTAATATTATTATGCATTTATGTGTTCGCTCGTTCGCTTATAAATTATTAAATTTTAATTTACTCAAATGAAAATGATTTTAAAAGAATTATCATGTAATGTAATACGTTATAGACGTTATCCAACAAAAGAAAATACTTTTTACTAGTCATATGGCGTTAAATCAAAAGAAATTCTACAAATAATACATCTATCCTATTAAAATGAGGTAATTATTTATTTTATGATTACGGAAAGTGTTTGAATAGCAAAAGATATTGTTATTTGGAAATGGATATTTCTCCCATCCAATAATAATTGCTCGAGATTAATTCGAAATATCTACAATCCAATCATGATAAAATAATTGATGTCTTAAAGTCCATAAAGTTTTAATGTTTGAACGTTAATTACGATAATTACGATAATTATGGTTGTTCTTGTTTATTTATTATATAAATTAGGAACCCAGAAACTTTTCCCCGTCTCCGTCTCCCCGTTAGCGATTTTCGATAATTAAATTTCGCAGTTAACAAATATGGTGAATAAAGTTTATGACGTATTATTTTACATTAAGTAATTTCCTATTTAGTCGAATCAATATTTAATTATTTGGTAAAAATTTTGAAACGCCTTTTCAAATTTCTATTAAGAAATTTCCAAATTTAATTAAGCTTTAAAAAAAAGCCATGTCTTATTATTATTAAAAAAACCATTTCCAAAATCGTTATTTAAATTTAATATTTAATTACATTGTTTGAACCCTTTTTTTTATTTTGATCATCTGTTTATCATAAAAATTAAATTTCTAGATTTCCATTTTACGAACGCCTGCGTGAATCTAACCTTTTTTTTTCTCCTTAAATATTTGAATATTAAAACTATTATATAATTGATTTTCCAGAATCCTCGAATCCCGATATTTTATAAATTTTACAGTTTCTTTTTTCTTCCTCATTTTGATTTCTTATTTTGACTTCTTATTAGAAATTTTTAATTTAAAAAACTTTCGTAATGAAGTACTAAAAGAAAATTTTTCGATAACCAATTTAGGTAAGTTCAATTACTGCGACTCGGATTTCGTGTAAATTACGTGGGTATTGCTGGTACTACTACGCAATTCGTACAACTTTGTACAACTTGACAGAGTCATATTATTGGCTAAGAATTGCATAAAAGCGAAAAAAAGATGTTATTATTGTTATTATTTTGCGGCGCAAAAAAAAAAAGATAGATATAAATATAGTTTAACCTTAAAAAAATAATTCATTTTTTGGGGGGAGGATCATGAAAATTGTGATAAAACAAATCAAAGGACAAAGGATTCAATCTCGCCTTAAAAATTTCTTTGATTACCTTTTCACAGTTATATTTTTGGTGATTCACATTGTTTCACTGATATACAATGTATTCTAATTTTGGCTTATCAAAGGTAGTACTCTTTTTTACTAAAAGAACAACGGCTTTTTTTGCGCATAATAAGACGACATAAAGAAAAAAAGCTTGAAAATCTACAACTAAATATATCAATGATATATGTTGCATCATTTGAACCCCATATGGATAGTGTTTCAAAAAGGGTAAATTCCACGTGAGAGGTATAATTAACCCAAATTTGAATTATTATTTTTTTTTTTTATGTAATAATTATTATATAATCCACTCCCTCATTTTTTTTTTACAGATTNTTTTTTTTTTTTTTTTTTTTTTTTTTTTTTTTTTTTTTTTTAAAATTAATTTATTATAACAAAATGGTAAGAAATATGGATATAATATTTACTCTATTTTACTCTATATAGTTTTTATATAAATTTCAATTAAATTAAATTACTTTCATTATAATGAATCATATTCTCTCTTAGCATGTTCACGATAATGAGTTAGGGAAAAAAACAATATTGGCTATCGGAGGAACAGGAACTGGTAAGAGTACGTTTGGAAGAATAGTTTTTGGAGTAAATGCTATACCAGGAGGAGGGTCAGATTCAATAACAAAACAAACAGTTTTATATGAAAATGATAAATATAGATATATAGATACTCCAGGATTTTCTGATAGTGGAGGTAGTGATGATTCAGAAATATTTCGTAATATGTTAACTTTAATGCAAAAGAATTCAGTAAATAACAAATTTAAGATTGATTTTATATTATGGTTTTGTTTGGAAAGTGAACGTTGTGATCAAACTTTACAACGTGGTGCTAGTTTTATACAAAATTTAGTTGAATATGCTGATTTAAATGAATTTGATGGTAATATTTGGAAAAGTGTTTTAATTATTATTAAAGGTCCAATGTTATCTCCAAGTTTATGTGAAGGTTCTAAAATAGCTGCTAAATTGGCTATGATGAAATTTATTAATGAAAAAAATCTTGATGTTGATGAATGTAATATTAAAGTTGATCATTTAGCTTGTTGGATTTTTGATTTAAATGATAATTCAAGTGATATTTATAAAACTATGTCTATTGAACAAAGATTAAGTTGGAATGTTTATTTAAAAGATGAAATTGGTGAAAAAGTTAGAAATAGAATCTCTTACTTACCTTTTGGTGTGGAAATTTTTTTTATACAAGCAAAATGTAAAAGATGTAATTGTTTAGGAGATCCTAGATTATTTGATAAACATTGTCATCCAAATATTAACCCTTCTCCAAGACATAATATTCATGTTGAACGTTATCATCCTAATAATTTAATTAGAGATCATTCAGGTCCAGTTATTCTTGTTCATTCTGATAGACCTAGATCTTCTACAGGAAAAATCTTACCTACTATGATTTCTGGTGCAATAACAGGTGCTGCAGCAGCTGCTAGGCCCGCATCTGCTGCCGGTCCGGCTGGATTAGCCGCGGGAACGATCGCTGGTGGTATCGTAGGAGCCGCTGCCGGTGTCATTTTATCATCTAATGAAAAATGTAGGGATTGTCATCGTTCTTTTTTAGAACAAGGATGTGTTAAACAATGTTCAGGTTGTAATAGATTTTGGGGTGAAAGTGGTTGTAGATGGAAATATACTTGTTGTGGATGGGAAGAAACTAAATCTGGTTGCGAAACGAGACATATTTGTGGAACTCCTGAATGTGATATAGAAATTGATCCTTGTATTTGTGGTGCTTGTGGAATGTTATTAGGAACGGAAGGTTGTACGAAAGATATCGAACATGATGTAGTTTGTAATGATGAAGGAAGTGATACCGAATCATTTTAAAAATATATATATATATATATAATATAAATTATAATTAATATATATAATTTAGTCTTTATTTAGTATACATATATAATTAGATAGCCCTAATCCTTGTTTCATAAAAAAAAATATATATAATTATTTATACTATTTAAACTGTATATCTGAACTTTATTTTAGATAGTATATATATATTTTATTTATATTTATAATTACTATTTTGTATAATAAATATAGTATTAATAAGCGTAATGTTGTTGCCACAATGGCACAGTAAAAAACTGCGTTCTATATGATCTATAATACCTAATAGGTATTATCGGAGAATTGGCTTAATTACATCATCGACTTGGCATTTTCTTGCGTATTATGTGTATTATGTCACAATTGTATTAATTGTTAAACTTTTTTTTTTTGATAATTGGACCACATCCGTGTATATTATTAGACAGATTCTCCAGACGAACGCGCTATTGGAATTATTACTTTTATTACAGAATATTCTAAATATAATTCTATACAATTATTAACACTCGGTTAACGCGCCATACAACGCTATGTTCGCAAAATAATTCATTATAATCAAATCATTGTATCATTATTTCTAAATCTTGGCATCTTTTTCCTTGGCATCTTCTCAAATTCTAATATCTTCTCAAAGTTAAAAAATGGTTCATATTTGTAACTTCACATGAATCTGAAAAAATATGTATATTGGATTGTTTTCCATTCGAATGAATCTCTTTTCATTCTGAAATTCTCGGATGTAAAAAGACCTGTGCGAAAAAATTTTAATAATAATGCACATTTTTATTTCACATAAACCGTTTCAAAGACAATCAAGAAAAAACTTTGTTTTATAAAAAAAAAAAGGGTAAAACATTTTCCTGAATTTAATAATGGTATAACGCATCTATGAACGTTAAATACTAGCATACTAATATATACGTGTTTTTGTTCCTTTCTGTGTCTTCATAATTTGTAATCAGCCATTTTACCATTCATCATTTCACCATTTAAAAATTGGTAACACGTGATTAGAGATGTGCCATGCGCATTATGCGTTACATGATGTGATGCGTATAATGCGCATTATGCGCATGATAAATTTTGTTTTATTATATCGTAATTTTGGTAAAAATTATACCTTAACTCTAGCTAGAATTATAAATGTTATTTAGATTTTTTACAAAAAAAAATTGTTTTTTTTTGTAGCAAAAAGATATCTATCTGTTCCAACATTCACATTCATCTGCTGCATCTGAGAAGAAATTGGTTGGCTTTTGCATATATTCATGATATATTGAAATGATCGTATTTTTTTTTGACCTTATGCGCATAGTCTCTACATGTGATAAATAAAATTTTTACTGCGATTAATAAACGATAATCATGCAAGATAAAGTTAATAACTAACTAAATTTCGATAAACTATAATTATAATCAGTCTATATAGAGTATATATAGAGTATAAAATTACAGGTTTCTGATATTTTTGACCAAAAGAAATCAGAAATCTTTACAGAAGAAAGAAATTTCCTTCTTGAATAAATGCGCTGTATAACACAAATTCCAACAATGATAAAAGTAAAAAATTTCATTCAATAAATAAATAAGTACAGATTACTTTGATAAAAAACAAAGATTTTAAATGGTGCAACATAATAATATAATTAAGTTAAGAATAAATGAAGTAATCAATCTGCAAGAATAATTACCAAATTTTATATATCAATACATGTGGATCGGTGTTCTATATAACATCCAAAGTAAGAAAAACAACATAAAATTATACTCAAAATATACTCAAAATATACTCAAAATTTACTCAAATTTACTCAAAATATACTTGGAATACACATTTAAAAATTTTAAATTACGCTAAGTGTAATTCAAGTATATTTTAAATCTACTAGAATATTTAAAGCAATTTTCTTTTGATAGGGAAAAACCGCAATATAAGAATATCGATAAAATATAAAAAGTACAAACTAGTAATCAACAAAAATTTTTTGTAAATGCATGCAGATTTCATTTTCAAAATTCCATACACGTTTTCTTTTTTTTCTATCAAATATTATATAAAAAGTATAATCACAATTGTATTACGGCGCACATTTTAGATTAACTTTGTTTATTTGTTATTCAAATTACTATTGTGTACTTCAAACTGCTTTGAATAAATAATTTATACGTTATATTAAAAAAAAAAAAAAAGGAATATAAACAACGGCTTTTCCGTTCATTTTTAACCCATTTTTATAAAAAAAAAAAAAGAATGAAAAATTATTATTCATTAAAAACTCCAAAAAGTACACAAATTCTTGATAAAAATATTAAAGTTGATAAAACGATTAGACCTCATATACCCATTGAAACACAAATTTCAAATGTATTTGAAATCGAGACTGAAAAAATTCACGCATATACAAGTGAAAGTATTACTGTACTTGAAAAAATGCAATGTCGTCACGGATTAGTGGCAGCAGTATTGCAAGCTTATAATGGACATCAACATTTATGTTTTTCACCTGATGATATTTGGTTAACAATAGCTCAAGGTGTCAACTCTCATATTAATTTATATTCTGATAAATATAAAAATAAGTTTGTAAAATTTAACGAAAACCAAAAAATCGTTTTAAATGATGATAATTCATTAAAAAGAGATTGGTCAAAATGTATAAAAGATCTCGTTAAAGAAACTTCCAATCATATCGAAAAAATTGATTTAAAATCTTTATTGGAATGCGATTTTTCTACAAGTACTTCAACTACAATCACCGCAAGTCGTGTAATATTACTTGATTCTATAAAAAATTATTTTTCTTATAATATAGAAATGTTTTGTGGTATACCTAAAATTACCTTAGAAGGTAAACTTGAAGATTGGTTACTAATTCAAGAAAAATTGATTCAATTACGTAATTTAAATTTGGATTTGGATTTTTGGTTAAATGATTTGGATTCAATCATTCGTCAATTTATTGAAACTTTTAAAGGAAATGTTGATGAACAATTTTGGAAAAATATTGCAAGAGAAGAATATGGATGTGGTGGTCCTCCTGAATTAAATGGTTGGATTACAAAATTCTTTCCTTATGATTGTGAAGGAAACTTGGTCGATAATTGGTTAGATGAATCCACTTTACCAGATGGTAGAATTACTATTAAATTTAACATTGAAAAGAAGGGAGAAGAAGAAGAAGAAGAAGAAGAAGAAGAATTAATTTTCGTAACCGGATTTTTAGGTGTAAGACAACAAATTATTGAAAATTCAGATGGTGAAGTTATCGTAAAACCAGTTATTGGTTGGGCTATTATTGATGATATTGATGAAGATTTTGAAAATAATTTAATAATGCATGATAATATTAGTAAAAAAACCAAATTATTTTGGTGTTAAAAACAAAATTTTGTATATAAATCAATGATTTTCTTTTTTTTTTGTATATACAGAAAGTTTTTTTTTTTCTCTTTTCTTGGTGTAACATTTATTTTTTACAATTTGTGGAAATATGATAAGATGATAAGGTGGGAACAATATAAAAGTTGTACTTTTATTAGTTATTTTTTAGTGGTTATTTCATATATTTTTAATAAAAAATGACATGAACGAATAAAAGTTTAAGAAATTTTCTAATGGAGTAACTTAAAAAAGAAATGAGCGTAACTCGTAACGTAACTAGGTAACGCGATTCACGGTGATGTAACATAAAATTATACAGATGCAGTAAGTGGGAGTTCGCGACCACATTAATTGGTAAGATGAAGATGTTTATAGATAGTACCTAAGACTTCTTAGCAGTGATGTGCTCTTGGAAGTTTGGAAGCTCTATTGGAAGCTCCTTTGGAAAGATTGGGGCCTGTAAAAAAAGTCGATCCGTTTTTTATATTCTTCTTTTTTTCCGTAAAAGGCTCATATTTCCGGAATTAATAACCTTATATCACGGAATTTATCGAATCATTTACATTTTCTGTGAATGAATCCGGGAAAGGCTCATTTTTGCGGAGTTGTTACAGAAATAACGGATAAAATTTTTTATAGACAGTTTTTTAATTATACGGCAGCATTTCTCTGGTTAAATTATTGACAATTTTTTTTAAAAAAATTTCGGAGTAGCAATGACTACATAGAAACTTATTACAAGAGTCTGATAGTAGTACCAATGAAAACTGAACAACTACGTCGCCCGGGGACCACTTTACTCCGATAATTTATTGATAATTTCACAATTAATATATAAATAAACGTTTGTCACGTGAACATCGAACGTTCGCAAGATAAGAAATACGCACCATTGCTATGTTGTTATCCCAAAAATAGATAAAATTTTTCTTTTTTGTCCTGTTTAAACATGTTTTATTTTTTTTTTGTTTAGACCGTCAGGCCAATCAACAAATACTGCATAATCTATAAGGATAATATATTGTCTCGTATATTATTTTTGATTATATTGATATCATATGAAATTGTGATAACGATGTTTTAAAAATAGATTATTTTGGTAAAATCGATTTTTATTTGGATTAATCGACGCGTATCTGACTAGTGCAATATTTTTTAGTAGTGCATTGACTACATTCATAAACGATTATATAAATTTTCTAATTGGACATAACGAACGTAATTCATTCGTAACATAACGTACTGTAACTTGTAGGTAACGTGATTCACAGTAACATAAAATCATTGATAACTTAACACATAATATTTGAAATAAAAAACGTTCCATTCTGCAAGATAAATGATACGATGAAATGAAATGGTACCATTGTCATCATGCTATTTTAAAAATAGATGAACATTTTTCTTTTTTTATCCTGTTTAAACATGTTTAATTTCCAAAAGATAGTCAAAGTTTCCCAAGCCATCAGACTCCATGTGTTTGTAAATATTTGTTACTGCATATCAGGTAAATTCATAAGATAACGAAACTTGACAATTCTTTTTTTACACTTGGAACAAAGAATGTACTTTATAACTATAAGGATGATATATATTATATTGATATCATATTAATAAATAGTTTTATTTGTGAAAAGTAGGATTAATCAACGTGTATCTGCCTAGCTAGTATAGACTAATGGCAAATAAATGGATTAATACCATTTGCAATATTTTTTAGTACATTGACTACATTCATATATTTTAATAACCGATTAGTTACTAATTGGACATACGTACTGTAATTCATTCATAACGTAAAGTAACTTGTAGGTAACGTGATTCAAAGTAACATAACATAAAATCATTGATAACTTAACGCATTATATTTGAAATAAACATAAACATTGAACGTTCCGTCTGCAAAATAAATGATACGATGAAATGAAACGGTACCATTGCTATCATGCTATTTTAAAAATAGATGAAAATTTTTCTTTTTTATCCTGTTTAAACATGTTTAATTTCCAAAAAAATTTTTAAGATCGTCAAAGTTTCCCAAGCCATCAGACTCCATGTGTTTGTAAATATTTGTTATCAAGTTATCCAACAAATACTGCATATCAGGTAAATTCATAAGATAACAGAACTTGACAATTCTTTTTTTTACACTTGGAACAAAGAATGTACTTTTATAACTATAAGGATAATATATATTATATTGATATCATATGAAATTGTGATAACGATGTTAAATTGAATATTTTGATGATAGAAAAAAATAAATCGATTTTTTTTGTATACATAGAAAGTTTTATTTGTGAAAAGTAGGATTAATCAACGCGTATCTGCCTAGCTAATATAGACTAATGGTAATAAATGGATTAATACCATTCGCAATATTTTTTAGTACATTGACTACATTCATATATTTTTAATAACCGATTAGTTACTAATTGGACATACGTACTGTAATTCATTCATAACGTAAAGTAACTTGTAGGTAACGTGATTCACAGTAACATAACATAAAATCATTGATAACTTAACACATTATATTTGAAATAAACATGAATATTGAACGTTCCGTCTGCAAAATAAATGATACGATGAAATGAAACGGACCATTGCTATCATCTATTCTAAAAATAGATGAAAAATTTTCTTTTTTATCTTGTTTAAACATGTTTAATTTCCAAAATTTTGTAAATATTTTACAAATAACCATTATCAAATTATGTAAATCAATACTGCATATCAGGTAACACGAGAAGCCACTCGAAACTTGGCAATTCTTTTTCTTATACTTAGTATATAATTGTCTCGTATATTATATTGATATCATATGAAATTGTGATAACGGAATGTTAAATAATTTTTTTGGTTAAAAATATTAAAAAAAAATTTTTGACGAGAAATGATTTCATTCTCACAATTATGCAACATTGGGTTAATCAACACGTAAACACGCAAATCCGTCTAATAGTAATAAATGGAATTGTACATTTTGCAATATTTTTAGTAGCACATTCATATATCAGTTTAATAAACCGTGTAAGGTTATACGAACGTAATTCATTCGTAACGTAACTTGCAGGTAACGTGATTCACAGTGACGTGATTGTAATTTAACACAATCATAAACAAATAAACATGAACATTGAACGTAACATTACTATCTATGCAAGTAAGTGATACAGTGAAACGGTACCGTTGGTACCGTTACTAAAAACAATGTTATTCTTTTTATCCTGTTTAAACATGTTTAAAAATTTTTTTTTTTTTTCCAAAAAATTTTTAGTTTCCCAAACACAATGTGTTAATGTGTTGTGAATATTTTATTGGAGTAAAGAAATAACTGTTATCAAGTTATGCTTATCGAGGAGCCGCTCGAACTTGGCAATTCTTTTTTTTAAACTTGGCAAAAAAAAGAAAAAATTTCGTTAATCTAATAAATATATATTGTTTTTGGTTATATTGAAATTGTGATAACGGAATGTTAATTTTTTTAGTTAAAGTAGTATTAAAAAAAATTTAATGAAAAAAGATTTCATATTTTTACAATCTTTTTTTTTTTCTTTTTAATCAATTATGCAATATTAATAAATGAACGATAATATTAGCAAAAAAAAAAAAAAATTATTTTGATTAAATTTTCCAATTTGGATTAATTAACCCGTAAATACGTAATCTGCCTAAGGATAGGCCTATAGTAATAAATGTTTCAACAAACAATTATATCAAATATAAATAAAAGTTCCGTCAATGAAACCGGTACTAACATATTATGACAATGAATGCTATTTTTTTTTTATCCTGTTTAAATTTTTTTTTCATAGAACTTCAAGCCATCAGACATCATGTGCTGTAAATATTTTCTTGGGACAAAGAAATAACCTTATCAAGGTTATCAAGTTATGCAAATCAATCCAACAAATACTACATATCAGGTAACATGAGGAGGCGCTCGAACTTGGCAATACACTTGAAACAAACAATACACCTTTTTAATTTTTTAAAGTGTTTGAAATTTTATTTACTAAAAAAAAAAATTCGTATTGCCTCGTACATATATTGTATTGACTTCATATTAAATTGTGATACCGGTTTTTGGTTAAAGTATTAAAAAAAATTTGCTGAGAAAATATTTCACTTTTACAATCTTTTTTTTATGCAATATTAATAAATGAATGATAATATTAGCAAAAAAAAACGAGTAAAAAAATATTAAATTTACCAATTTGGATTAATCAACGCGTAAATACGTAATCTGTCTAAATAGTAATAAATGGAATATAAAAGTTTAGTAGTACATTCATACAAACAATTATATATAAAATCAGATAATTTCAATCAAATATAAATAAACGTACCGTCTTAGCGTTATTATGCTGCAAGATATGTAACCGGTAACATATTATGACAATGTATGCTATTCTTTTTTATCCTGTTTAAAAAATTTTTTTTCATAGAACTTTATAAAGTTCCCAAGCCATCAGACATCATGTGCTATAAATATTTTCTTTGGGAAAAGATAACCGTCATCAAGTTATGTAAATCAAATACCTTACATCAGGATAAGTGCGTAAGGATTTTCCTCGAAATAAATTATGAACCACACTTTCAAACTTAGTATACACTTTGAATAAAAATTATAATTTTTCTATTTTTAAATGATTGAAATTTTATTTACAAAAAAAGAAAATTTTTTTCGTTAAAACTATAATGATAATATAAATGTCTCGTATATTGTTTTTTGATTATATTAATTTTCATATGAAACGGAATATTTGTCAATATTTTTAGTTAAAGATTTAAAAAAATTCGATGAGAAATAGATTTCATCATCTATTATTACAATAAAATCTTAATTTAATCATAAATTATGCAATAAAATGGTGATCTTATGATTGAACAATATTAAATCATATCTTTTTGTTCTACCGGAGAGATTATGCCTGAAGGCTGAGTAAACTAAATATTTTTTTTTTAAATTTACACAATATAAATTATATTATATTTTAGTAATGTTTTACATAAACCAACTTCTCACAAATGCTTTTGAGCAAAATGATTTTGTCTTACTATCTTCAACAACCGCCCATCCAATAACTGGTGATACCACTGATTCACCATTTTCTTCCACATCTTGCCTTACTCCTAAGAACCCTGATACTAATTTTAAAGAAGGTCCTCCTTTTACATTAAAGGGGATGATTATTTTTCCATCAGGTAAATCACATTCATTTATTAAACTACCCACTATCTGTTTGTCATGGCGATCATATGGTAAGAAAGCTGTTATCCATCCGCTTAAAGTTGAGGTTGTCTGTGGTACGCAACAAGTACCACTAAATTCATGTGCTATCCTCTTCCAAAATCTTTCGTTTATATCTCCACGATAAGTATTCACCAATTGCCAAATGATTGGTTCTAAACGATCCAGCCAAAAATCTAAATCTAAGGATAATTTTCTTAGAGTTTTAATCTTATTTTGAATACGTTCCCAATCTTCTAATTTTCCTTCTAAAGTAATTTTTGGTATACCACAAGTCCAATCAATATTCGTTTGAGAATTTTCTCGAAGAGGATTTAATAAAACGATTCGACTTGCAGTTATTGATGTAGTCGTACTTGTAGAGTAATCACATTCTAATAATTTCATCAAATCAATTTTTTCCATTTGTTTATCAGCTACTTCAGTTAATATTCGTACACATTCTGGCCAATTACCAACAATTCTTTTTGACCAACGTTCTTTATCAAATATTCCACTAGCATTGATTGAAATTTGACTTCGTCGTCGTTTATTTTGAGCGAAGAGATGGGTATATTTTTCTTCATTTAAATTTATATGCCGAGAAACTCCTTGAGCTATCGTTAACCAAACATCATCGGGTGTTATACGTAAATGTTGATGCCTATTATAAGCTTCTAATACTGTCGCTATAAAACCGTTACTACATTGAACATTTTCCAATACTGTCTTATTAATATAAGGAGAATATTCGTAGTCTACGGATACGGCATGTACCATTTCATTTTCAAATAGTCGTTCTATTTGAGTTTCAATAGGTATGAGAGCTTTTATTCGATTATCAGGTTTAAGTTTTGAATTTAAAATTTGAGTTCTACGATTACCACCCTTCATTTTTGTTAAATATATTATTATTTTTTTTTTTATTTATTGTAAAGAAGAAAATTTTTATTTTTTTTTTTTAAAAAAAAAATCATTTTTTTGGGTTTGGGATCGGTTTATTTAAATAAAAATTTTTTTTTTTTTTTTATGTATAAAATATAAAATATTCAGCCTTTCATTATAAAAAAATTTAATTTACTTTTTATGAGTGAGTACATGCTGAATACATTAATTAAATGCAATCTTTTTTTGCACAGACAATTTTCCCCACATTAAGATACGATTAATCTAAATTTATAAAAAAGTGATATAGTAATAATGTAATAAATATGTAAATAATTTTTTTTTTTAACCAAAATGAACTTAAAGATATCTGATTATCACGCATTTTGTCTTTTTTTTATTGTGTGAAAGAAAATATTACGGGAAAAGATATTCCGCGATCTCCCAGTAATCCAGTGTCTTCGAAGTTCATGTTTTTCTGATTCACTAAGAGGTTGGTCCGGGTTTGTACACTATTTTGTAATGCAAAATACATTTATCATACGCTAGAATAAAGGAATATTAGATATATTTTAACGTCAATCTGTCATTTCTAACAATTTGCGGGGTATAGAATTTTTAATCGTTGTAAATTAAGTAAATTATAAATTGTCCTATTATTGTAGATCCAAATGCAGGTGTGAATTTGAAATTAACGAATGATCTAAATTGATTTAAACATGATCTGATAAACATAAATATTACTGACGTATAAGTTTATATTAAGTTTAATGGCTGATAAGAAAAATTTTATTATCAGGATTATTGAAGATTTATCTAAATTTAGTTATCTTTTTGTTTATATTTTATAAACACCAATAATCTGCTCACGCTTAAAACAACAATTATATAATTGGGATCGATCTAATGAAATTTCAAATCTTCTTTAAATTATAAATTAGGTTAGTTAAACTTTAATATTTTACAAAATTGTAAATCTTAATTAATAAAAATGACCGAGAAAGGGTCATAATTCTTTTTCATGTGCTTTAATCAAAACCTGAAAGCATCGAAAATCATGTTCGATATGTCATATATTATTGGATTATTTGACATATTCGTGGTAAAAGTAACGATTTATATTGGATTATTTTCTTGTGAAACCTTTTAGTTTTAATAAACTTAAATGGCATTTAAATCCGAATAATGAAATAAATTTTTCGGATATCTTCGGATTTGTTAGAAACCTTAAAAATTTTTTTCTTAATAAAGTTGGGATTATTTGTGATTATTTGATACTTTTGATACTTAAGGATTTTTTACCTTATATGATACATTTAACCATTACCAGTAAAATTTATTAAGTACTTTATCTTTACAAATCATAAAAATAAAAGAAATGTTTGGGATTTGTTAATAATGGCGTAATGTTTATATTTTGCCCATTATTTCTCAGATGAAATCTGGTTTTAACCGGATCAATTCGGAATTAAAAATAATGTTTATCTTTGATATTTATTAAAACACGTTTTTTTTCATTTTTTTTCAAGAAAAAGGACAAGTATTTCAATTATTTCTTCCTCCTCCTTTTTTTTTATCGTATCATTGTTTCCTACGTAAACAATTGGTTCGATTGTTTCAAATTTCGAATTTTCTCGTTTACTTTGATAGTTGACCTTTTTTAATAGATAGAAAATAAACAAACCCGCATATGAATGTGATAACAAAGATAACATATGAATGTGATATATTTGATATGTTAATATTTACTTTATATTTTTTGGGAAATTTTATAAAATTTCCCAAAGTTCATTATATTTACTAGTTTTGTTACTTGCTTTTTTCTTGGGAATTTTTTTTTTTTTTTTCAGCGGGAAAATAACAATGAAATGTGGGGTGCTGATTTAAATACTGATTAAGAAAATGATTATATTAACTGTTAATATGTACTTTTTTGGTGAATTAAATCTTTGATATGACTATATCCGTAATTCTTTGTTAAAAAAAAAAAATAATTATGTAACATTTGAAATTCTGAAATATTTTGAAAAGCTTTGAACTACATTTAAATTTAATATTTAAAACTTTTTTTTTTTTTAAAAAAAAAATAATATTTAAATATGATCTTCATTGCCTATACATTGAACATGGGATCATGAAAGTTAGAGGGCAATCAAAAGCATTTAAGGAATATTCATACACTGATAAACGGTTGTTATGCACTAAAGATGTCGTTGTATCACGTGAATTAAAAATTGCAGCTGGAAAGAATGGAATGTTAATGTTTAAACGTTTTTCATCAAAATAATTTCATTTGTCGAGTACGAATTTCTAATCAAAGAAAAAGTTCTTAATAAGAAAGTTATAAAAGTTCCGATATAAGAATGAATTCTTAAATAGGTTAGTTACATAAAATGGAGACTTAAACAAGAAAGGTATAAAAGAGTATCATATTTAAAGTTACAATATATTAATATATTAATATATAGGATGTGTTCTATAACATTCTATACTTCTATGATCCTTTCCTTTTCGACATTTTAATTCTTTTTTTCCTTTTTCTTCGAAGAAAAAGCCATTCAATTTCTTTTTTCCTTTTTCTTTGAAGTAAAAAGTCTTTTTTCTTCGACAAATGAATTTTTATATAGAAACAATATCACCCGTCAATTGGCGATAGAACAACATTCTAATTTCTTTAATTGATCCGTAATTCTAATAGCTACGGTAACTCTAAATAATCCCTGTTCGGTGTTTCGCTATCTTGTTTTCTTAGAAAGGAACAAATATATATATAGTATTCGTTATCTATACAAAACGCAGGATTTGGCGTTGACAATGACCATAGATTTACCTGCCCGGCTGCCACCATCACTAGAAAGGATTTTAAGGATTTTGAAGCTGGTCGACCAGTGATATATGTAGTAAACGTGATATCACATGCGTAATGTAATGATTAATCGAATAAAAAAATTAATCAGGTGTAAGTAAACTTTTAATTATTGGTTTACTTTCATTTTTTAAAAAACATCTGATATATAATTAATAGACTTTCTTTTGGAACATAACTAATGTTCTTTCCTGTTTCTTTTTAGGTTGGAATCCTTCTGGAACAGTCCTTAATGAGGTGGTGAATCTGTTAGAATATGTTCCTTTTCTTTTTGGAAATATACCTAATTTCCTTTTCTCTTGAATTTCTCTGAGACAGTTCTGTAATATTCTGATAGTGGCAATGTCTTTCTCATTTCTAGAAAGTTCCTTCTTACTAAGCGGTCGTTTACGGACACATACTCTGATTTTTGTCATTTAGATTGCTAGGAAGTAGGAACGCTATGTGGTAGAGAGTAAGTGTTACCACGTGTTTTGATACGCGTTTAAAGATCGCCTTGGTGATTGTATTTATTGAAGTTCCTCTTCCTCTTCTTGTGCTGACGTTGACGTTGTTTCAAATTGTTGTTGTTGCAATGTCAATGTAGGAAGTGTAGAAGCACGACCTCGACCTTGAGCAGGCGCAAACATTTGAAGGGAAGAGTCCAAATTTATAGTTTATAGATCGTTTGAGCTAAAAAAAAAGTAAAAAAAAAGTCCTCAATTTGAAAAATCGAAATTATTGTCCGACGTAAGTTGTTTGGCTAAGGCACTTGTTTGGTCAAGGCGGGTATAACACATTTTTTGTTAGGTTAAAACGTCTAGCTTATACATCCTTTATACGCTTCGTTGTTGGATTCTTGAATTCTTAATTACAGCGATTCTTTTAGAATGAATAATTAAACAATTATTTGAGGTAAGTTGGTCAGTTTATTTTCTCGTCAGATTTTTGAGCTCATACACAATTAAAAGGATATCAAATAAAAATATTTCATGTGAAAAAATTAACTTACTACTTTGAAATAATTATTACCGTAGTGTATAATTATGGAGAACTGATTAATAGATAGGCGTATCTGTTGGAACCTAAAAAACTGGCGTGGGCATAAAAATTAATAAAGATCATTAAAATCAACTAGTCAGATTTTTTTTACATAATATTTACTCTATTTATATTCACCTGAGTGATATTAAATATTCTTGTTCATCTTTATATCACCTAATATATCTTTTGGATAGCCGTTGACCTCAACGGTTGTAATTTCAGGTGAATATGCAGCAAGATGATTAGAAACACCCAAAGGATAACTGAGAATTTTCTATGCGCAAGGAAATTGACTTTGACTCCCTTTTGGATAGCTTATAATATATTGTACCTCTTTTATGTCATCACTCCATATGCCTGCAATCCTTCCCATATACTTGCTACCCAATATTGCACGTACCTTACTTTATTCTCTAATTCGTTACCATGTCTAGTAAATTTTTTTTTTTTTTGATATGGTTTACATTATATTACAACAGCTCGATAACAATAATAAAAGATAAAGTCAGTTGACTGTTTGCATAATAACAAAAATCAAGGTTTCTCGATAACAAAAAATCAAAGAATTCTCAGATTCAAAAGATCACTATCCCTATTTATTCCATCTCACAAAGTACTTGATCATTTATCAAGAAAGGAGAAAATAATTAATTTTTAATTAATAATTACTCTAAAATTACTTTTCATGCTGATTCAATCTTCTTTTTTAATTCTAAAGCAGTGGCGTTATCAGGCTCAGATTTTAATATGGTTTGTACATCTTTAAGAGCATCATTAAATCTATCCATAGCATGATAAGTTAAACTTCTTTCGGTTAAAGCAGGAATATTATTAGGTTCTCTTAATAAGACCTTATTAAAATCAAGTAATGCTGGACTATATCTACCCAAAGTACGATGCACTGCACCTCTATTACATAAAGCTTTAGTTTCATAATCAATATTAAAAGCTTTGTCTCTTATATTTTGTAAAGCACGATCCAAATCAAACAAAGCTAATGTGTTAGATCCTATAGAACGATAAACAGCACCACGTAAAGCTAAAGGATACCCCCAATCAGGTAAATCTTGTAATACCCTATTCAGATCATTTAATGCATCATCATAACGACCTAATGCGGCCAAAACTTCTCCTCGGTATGTTAAAGCCCAAACATTAGTTGGTTCTAATTCGATAGCCAAATTCAAGTCCTCATAAGCTCTATCATATCTTTTTAATACATTTAATAATGCACCCCGAGTTTCTAAAGCAAATATATGTTTAGGATCTAAATTTAAAGCTTTATCTAAGTCAATTAAAGCTTCATAATATCTTTTTAACATATAATAAACGGCACCCCGATTTGTTAAAGCAAATACACTATCAGGATTTAAATAAATAGCTTCATCTAAATCTCTTAATGCTTCTTCATAACGTCGGAAAGTTCTATTAACAGCACCACGACTTTCTCTTGCCATAACATTTTCAGGTTCTAATCTAACAGCTTCATCTAAATCGATTAACGATTGTGGACCTTGTTTTAACATACGATACACTTCACCTCTTCTTGTAAGTGCAAATACGTTTGATGGTTCAATTTCCAAAGCTCTAGTAAAATCTGATATAGCCTTATCAAATTCTTGTGTTAATCTATAAATTTCACCACGATTTCTTAACATTTCAGAATCATTTGGATTAATATTTAATCCAACGGTATAATCCATTACGGCATCATCATAAAAACCAAGTGATTGTGATATTTCACCCCTACATTTTATTAAAGGAAAATTATTTGGTTCTAATTGAATAGCAACATTTAAATTAACCAAAGCTTCATCTTTTTTATCAAGTGCTAATAATATTTCCGCACGATTTTTATGAGCGAGGAAACTTCTTGGAGTTAATTGAATTATTCTTTCAAAATCAGCCAAAGCTTCATGTTCTCTTCCCATCATTCTTAATACAGCACCACGTCTTTCTAATGCCAAACTAGTCTCTTCTCTTTCTAAAGATTTATTTAAATCATTTAAAGCATTATCTAACCTATGAGTTAATCTATAAATTTCACCACGATTTGCCAATATAATAGAAGCATAAGATGAATCTATTGATAAAGCTTTAGTTAAATCATTAATAGCATCATCATAAAGTTTAAGTGAACAATAAACTTTTGCCCTTCTTATTAAAGTAAAAATATTTTTTGGTTCCATTTCCAAAGCAGCATCTAAATCGGATAAAGCATCAGAATATTTTCTAAGAGAACTATAAACTTCTGCTCTAGATCTAAGAGCGAAAGGATGTCTTTGAATTTTTAAGGATTTATTTAAATCTGATATAGCTTTATCAGTATCATTTAATAAACGATTAACTTCACCACGAAGAGAGTAAGCTTTTGGTTTCTTTGGTTTACGATTAATAGCTATAGTTAAATCATTTATAGCTCTTGTCCATTCTTCCAATTGATAAGCAGCATAAGCTCTATCACATCTAATCGAATAACTATGTGGATAAGCAATAAGTACTTGACTAAATAAACGAATAGCTTCATTATATCTTAATTCTCCTAATTCTTTGATAGCCTGTATATAAGTTGGATTTGTATTTTTTGATTTTTTGAAAAAATTCATAGTAAAACGTTTATTATTCGTTGTTGAAATAATTGGTTTAGGTTGAAGAGGCATTGAAGTAGGTCTCTGTTTTGATTTTGAACCTTTAGTTGAAAGTTCTTCATTATTCTTATTATTATTTGATTGAAAATTAGGAAAATTTTGAGAAAATTGAATGTAACCATTATTATTATTATTATTATCGAACATATTAGCATCATCAGATAGAAAAGAACTTTTACTACGTTTATTAATTAATGAATTTGTCTTATCATCACTATTATAAGAGAAAGGGCGTTTACTATTATTATCGTCGGTAGAAAGAGAATTTGTACTATCATCCTTAGAATAAGAGAAAGGATAACTACCACTTATAAAATTTGTTGGAGAAATTTTTTTATCGTTATCATTATCATTATTAGTAAAAGTATTAAGACTAATTCTGTTATGATGAGAATTATCACTACCAACAGTATTAAAACCATTATTAATAATCATTGGTTTTAATGGAACACCAGGATGAGGAGATTCTTTCCTGGGAATTTGATTACCACTAAGAAGATGATTACCAATATGACCATTATGAAGAAGATGATTATCATGATGATTTCCAAAATGATTACTACTATTCTGATTATAATTAGATATATTTGAACTTGTAGTAGTAGTATGATTAGAATTTTGTGATAAATAATTAACTGGTAAATCCGGAGGGGTATGAGATGATATATCATTATTATTAACAACATTATCATTTGTAGTAGGAATGGTAATTGGATTAGATGAATGATTGTTATTACCACCATATTCTAGGTTTCTAGTATTATAAAATGGAAAGGATTCATGATTTTGAAATGAACTTTGAGGAGTAGATTGATCCTGAGGAGTATAAGTATCCATCCTTTTAAATGAATTCTGTTGTACATGTTGTATAGGTTTGTTATCTTGAGGAAGAGGAGGAGGAGGAAGAAGATTAGGATTCGTATCAATTATTGACATATCTGTTGTTGTCGTTGTTGTTGTAGTAGTCGTTGTCGTCGTTGTCGTCGTTATTACCTCGTTTGTATGAGAATCATTTTCCGGTGGAGAACTGAATGAAATATTACTAATCCTGTTTCTTATATCATTAAATCCTTGAGTAATTGGAGAAAGATAATTATATGAACTATCATCATCATCATCATCATCATCATCATCATCATCGTCATTACTATTAGCATCTTCTTCGGGTATATTATCTAATTTTGAATCATCATCATCATCATTATCGTCGTTGTCGTCGTCGTGGTGATCGTCGTGGTGATCGTCGTGGTGGTTAACATCATTTTTATCAACAACTGCAGTATTGGAATCACTATTAACAGGAAGATAATTGTCAGTAGTAACGGGTTCAATAATGAGTGGTTTGTAATCATCGGTAGTGACGGGTTTATCAGGATGATAATCGTCAGTAGTGACGGATTTACCGGAATGATAATTATCATTAATGACGGGTTTACCAGAACGATATTTATCATTAATTACGGATCTCCCGGAACGATATTTATTATTAGTAACGGATTTACCGGAATGATAATTATCAGTTAAGATTGTCTCAGTTAACTGAACCTTAAAAGGAGCAGTTTTTGGTTGCTTTAATAAACCGGTAATATTTTTTCCACTTTCAAATGGTTTACTACTTTGAGGTATTGAAGGAGGTTTTGAATATTGTGTAAATGAAGAAGATTCCTGCGACGAAGGAGTTGAATGTGTAAGAGAATGTCTTTTAAGATATTCATTTTTAATATCATTTGCTGGTGAATTAATAATATTTGTTGAAAAAGAATTATTATGAACCTTTTCGGTAAGATTTTCATCACTCCCATTCGGAGGAGTAAATTGAAGAGGATGTTTTGAATAATTACTACTACTAGTTAAATCACTATTACTGTTATTGGTCTCATTATTATTATGATTTAAAGTATTTTCATTATTATTATTAACATCAGAGACGACTTCATATTGATTATTAGCGGTAGCGGACTTGTATCTTTGTAAAGTAGTAGTATTAGTAGGTAAAATGCTATGAGTTGGAGCATCCATCATAATAGATGAGGAATTAGAAGCATCAAATGAAGAATCATTTAAATAATCCGGTTCATTAAATTCATTTGTACCACTTTGAAAATAATCATATCGTTGAGAATAATCAGAAGAAGATTGAGAATTTAAAGGTTGGAGTTGCTGATCATCATCTTGTTGATGTTGATGTTGATGTTGATTATAATGTTGCTGATGTTGTAGTTGTCGTTGTTTACGCCTTCGAGTTAATTGATGTGATTGTTGTTGTTGATATGATTGTTGATTTGATTGTTGTTGATATAATTGTTGTTGGTATGATTGTTGATATGATTGATGTTGGTATAATAGATGTTGCTGTGATGGTTGTAGCGGTGGTAATGGTTTATCTAAATCAGGTTCATTAAACTGTTCGTTTCCATATTGCGAGCCACCACCACCATACAAACTATTATTATAACCTCCATTATATAAACTATTACTATAATATCCGGTATTAGAACCCTAATTTTAAAATAGCGATTAGTAAATATTGATTAGCAATTAGCAATTAGAAATTAGTCAAATTAGCAAAATTTTTTTAACCGATTTAAAAAAAAAAAAAAAAATTTTTACCCGCTGTACTGGAT